CACTGAAAGGGAAAAGGTATTGATATTAAGTAATAATAACATTCTTAATTACTCGTGATATTCGTTCGTACGTACTCAATTATTATAGAGAATTGAAACAATAACAATAACAAACCAATCAAAACAGGAAGGAAGGGACCTTTCGATTGCGGTCCAGCACATTCTCACCCACTATTCCAAAAACAAATGGAAGTGGTTGCTGATTAGGGATGATAAAATAGGTCGGATTAGAGTGGTTCTTCAATTTTGTTTTGAGTTTCGGTTGATAGTGACGAATCCAGGAATTTCATTAAAAGTATTTAACGGTAAACTTAAATTTTTTAAGGTTGTTAAATAGTCTCGAATTCTAATATTACCATCTCTAAAATACAATTTTACACAAACTTTTTATTCGGAATTTTGATTTAAAGTTTTTCAATGGACAAACCAATAATACACTTGGGTCCCTACCTTCCGGTTGGACAAGTTAACGATCGAGTATGCATCATAAAGGAACAACATTTAAGATATTAACATTTTCATTAAAATTTTGCAAATCTAAGTACGTCATGATAAAACTAACTCTATACATATATATTTGGTCTTTCATTGAATATTGGATTTCAAATTAGTTACGTTTTATTGTTTTAGTCCTTTCATCTATTTCTCTTCATTTTAAATTTATTCTTTTCATTTACTACTCCTCCTCTCTCGTCGAACTCTCATTTCACCTTGACCTGTGAACGCTTTTACAACGAGTCTTGGATTCCTTGTCGGCTTAAACATCGTTGTCGTATAATTCGTAACTTTAACTGTGATGTTCATGTGTGCTCCTTCAATGTGACCAACATTTGTAAATCACAACACTACTAAACTCACCCAAAAAATTATAGGTGAAAAAAAGTTAATGTGAAATATGAAAATCAATTAATAGAAATGCATCACATATATTAGTCATTTAGAACGAACTTATTAACATAAACGAGAGTGGGTTTTTTTTTTGTACATCGGAAATGAAAGAGTGGGTCAAATTAATATCCAAGAGTGTGCAAATTGTAACACCTTATGCGAATCCCACATCAACAAAGCACGGGAGAGATCCATGGTTCATAAGTAAGAAACCGGTCTTAACTGACAAGACGCGTTTTGGGGTAAAACAGAGGAGTTCTTGTGAGAACTGCGAAGTTAAACGTGCTTAGTGTGGAGTACAACAAGGATGGATGACCTTATGAGAAGTCACCTTGAATTGCACCCCAAGTCGAAAACCGTGAGGGTCGAGGCCCAAAGCGGACAATATCTTGCTCGGGAAAAGGTTCGGGATGTTACAGGTGGTATTAGAGCCTTTTCACGTCCCTCTTGAATGATGGTGGGCCAAACCTCAATGAGGGCATTGAGTCCCAAGGGGGTGTATGTAACACTTTAGGTGAATCCCACATCAACAAAGCACGGGAGAGATCCATGGTTCATACGTAAGAAACCGGTCTTAACTGACAAGACGTGTTTTTGGGGTGAAACAGATGAGTTCTTCTGAGAATTCCGAAGTTAAACATGCTTAGTGTGGAGTACAACAAGGATGGGTGACCTATGAGAAGTCACCTTGAATTGCACCCCAAGTCGAAAACCGTGAGGATCTAGGCCCAAAGCAGACAATATCTTGCTCGGAAAAAGATTCGGATGTTACACAAATCTTGTTGTCCATGGGCCATGGCTTTGCATGTGTTGGACAAAAAGGCCCCTCTCTCTTCATTTGGGTTGTTTTATCAACATTTGGGCTGTCTGAAATAGATATGATGTACCGAAGATTTCATGACCGAACTCTCTCATGGACTTGGAATTTGATTGAAAGACAAGTAGGCCTTTTCTCAAAGAAAGGCCACCAACCCTAGATTTGTAGTTGGATTCGAGGTTTCCGATTTTCCTTTACATATATAAAAAAGTTTTGGAGGTTATACCGAATATTTAATTGTAGAATATTTTACACTCAAATGATTTAATTGTAGTTCAACTGTATTCTACTGCTATGCCTATCATTTTGGTTATAATGTCCAATATTTTTGGTCCGACCGGTCAATACAATAGAATTTCTTAAACTTTGGTTTATATTTAAGTCAAGGTTTGTGGTTGGATTCAAGATTTCCATTAGATATGGAATGACACAACTTTTTTTTTTACGAATGATTGATGATTTTATTAACGAATGATTCAATGCTCGCATAAAATTAGGCATTAAATCGGTGGGGGTACATTGTTTCGGCTTCTTGGCAACCTAAGCAACATCTATTCAACAGAGTTGTAGTATTTATTTTTATAAATAAATGACGTTTTATAAATAAGCAACATCTATTCAACATCTATCTCAACATTTTAATTTTTTATTGATTGTCACCCTTCATATGTTTTGTTTGCTTCTCGAGGTTTCTGGTGTGAATGAATTTTTTGAGTTTCTAATATGCCTCATGAGAGTGCTATGCTGGTTACGCATATTTCTCGTTTGCTTCAATGAACTTGTGTATGCTCTATGAGGTTTTTGTTATGCTTTAACAGACTTGTGGTATGCTTTATGAGGTTTATGGTCTTATTAAGGGAACTTGTTGTATGATTTTTTAGATTTCTAGTCTGCTTCATGGAACTTGTCATATTTGATACTTCTGGCAAACAATTCAGACAAAACTCTCATATTTGAAAACCCTGGCCAAAATTTTCTTTTACGTCAAAGTTGTACTCTTTATTTTTATAAATAAATGACGTGAAAGACACGCTACAACCACCTCATAACTGAATGTTGAGTTATAGATGGAAGAAATGTTTAACATTCAATAATAACGATCAATTATTTGAAAATTCTGGCCAAATTTTTTTTTTACATCAAAGTTGAGGCTAAAGTATTCTCCCTTTTTTATAAGTAAATGATGTGAAAGATATGTCACAACCACCTTATTATTGAATGTTGATTTTATAGATGAAAGAAGTGGTCGGTAATATTGATGGCCATCCCTAATTTCGGACAAAATTTGGCTATTTCTGTCAAAATTCTGACAAAATTGTCTTATTTGAACGTTGAAGGAAAAAAAATTATTATGTCAAAGTTAATACCAAAATAAGGTGTGAACCAATTTTATAAATAAATTGAGTCAAAGAAGAAATAAACGTTTGGATCAAAATTGTATTTTATGTCAAAGTTTATATCAAAATAAGGTATTATCCATAAAGGAAACTAATTTAAATAAATTGAATTAGTTAAATATTTAAAGAGATGAAAAGAATTGGATTGATGATTTGGATTGTAAATTGCAAACTCCAGACATGGGTTAATAGTTGATGGTTTGGATTGTAAATCAAAGCTGAAAAGTGGCGCAAGTAGCAAATTAAGAAGCCCATACTACAATACAACAGAGGAAGCAGCGGATTGCAATTGCACGACATGGCATACAAATGATTGGCCCAAAAAGACCAGATCGCCCTTCCTTGGATTTCACAGGGAGCTCAAAATTTTCAATTATGTATGTTATCGCGTGGAATGTTTATATAGTATTGGGAGGATGTCTCTAATAATAAAGATCATCTAAACTAATTTTGATGAGATTTGTGGGATTTAATCTACTTCTCCTACTCCTGTTTCATTGGCTTATTGGTTGGTGTGATTCATCAGATCAAATGAAAAATATGTTAATTGCATTGGTATTGAGTTAATATTTAAGGATTAATACCTTAGTTTGGTCCGAACTATGGGCAAACTTTCTACTTTGGCCCGTGTAATCGGAAATTACTATCCTGGTCTGAACTATGTAGCATACTTCCTTATTTGGCTCGAAGGCGGGTTTGACTGTCAAATTAGACGGTCAACCGAGTTTACCATTAGTCAAAGTCCAGCTCACTTCCACGTCAGCTACCAGAGAATAATTTTTTATTTATTTATGTATTTTCTCCGTCCTACTGACACCATCAAACGCCTGATGATGGGCAGCCTTCCACCATTGACACATTAGTAGCAAACATTTCGTATTTAACAAATAAAAACATGAGGAGAGTTCAGTTTCGCCATCCACCTCATGCCAACCGATTTGTCTTCTTCTATCACGATCCCTTTGAATGTAGAAAAAAAAATATTGACGGGGTGAGACGTCACTCAATGAGTAAATAATAATCTAATACAAACATCAATACCAAAGTAGTAACGAGTGATCATGTTGTGTCCTCGAAGTACTTCTCCTATCATGCATGACTCATTCATATCACTTACCATATTGTAACAACCGACAATGCATATCACATTCAGCCATGGTCTCACAACACATGTCATATACCACATCACAAAACCATCACGGTACAAGCTAAGGGATTTCATTGAATAACACAAACATCCATTTATCTCATCATTCATTTCCATATCGTATCAACAAAATAACAAGCATAACCAATCATATCAAGTGCATAATCACATGCACAGTTAGGTTCATTCAGTAAATTTTACTCTTAGAACTTGCCAAGCCATACACTCTTCCAAAAATAAGGATTGAGATTATCATTGGCTCCAATGCAGCATACCACCGCGGAACATATCTCAGCCGACGCCATTATACCACCGTGGGACATACGAGTCCTCTCTCAAACGTCATCCTCTTCAAGGATTTGACGAGCTCTTTTCAAATTCAGTGTGCACCAATCTTATAAGACGTTATCCAGTCCAAAATTCAATGCCTTGACGGCCTAGGAGATGCTTTCCCCTTGCAACAACATTTGGATCCGATAACGCCATTTTTTTGGTCTTTTGTCCCTAAAAAAGAAATTTCATCATAGAAACCAGAGCTTGAATTGATACTAGTAGAGGTTTCGGTCAAAAATCTCACATAATCACATTATCTTATCTTCTTCCCCTTTTTGCTGCTGCTGACGTGGATTTCAGAGGGCAAGATTTCCAGGTGATACCTTTTGGCTCCGGGAGGAGAGATTGTCCCGAGGTGTCTTTCGCGCTCGCAGTTGTGGAGCTGGCGCTGGCAAATCTGGTGAGGCACTTTGAGTGAAAGTTGGACGGCGGAGTTCGAGGAGAGGATCTGGATATGTCGGAGTGCGTTGGTCTTACGGTGCATCGTCGCCTTCCTCTTCTTGCTATTCCGGCCACGATTTTCGATTGCTAGATTACTTAAGGCGCAAATATATCTAAATTCGTTGGGTAGATCACATAAAATCTGTTTTTTTTTTTTTTGCCGCAAAGATATCTAAATTCGAAGTTCAAACGAAATAAATACGGATCAATTCAGAATAATAGGGGATGAAAAGGAAGAGGGAGAGTGTGCTAGCCGCTAGGTGACACATTTTTATTAGATTACTGAAAAACTTAAAAGAAAAGATTAAATAAAATGCTCTTTTATTGTACACCGTTAGATCTACGAAGGGAAGATAATTAAGTAAAATGAAAAGAAAAAATATGATTGGTAGGAGAGCGGCTAACGTGAATGCGTAGAAACTAGAAAGGCTAGAATTTTGAAATGGTGAAGACTTTAAGAAAGTCTATATTATGTTCTTTAGATTATACAATTAATTTATTAGTGTAAAACAGAACAAACAAAGATCTACAAAAAAAAAATTAGTGCACAACCCAGATACAATCTTGGCTCCCACTCCTTTAATTATATCAAAGCTAAGTCGAGTAAAAATGTACGCAACTCCTTGAACCCCCACGTCTTGTGACAAGAAGAATTTTTGTAACCAGTTGTCATGCACAAATTTCGATATTTAACACACTTTCGCTGAACAACATCAGCAACAACTTGAACAAACCAGTCAGGATACTAAAGTACGATCTGTCTCTTTTATTCATATCTATCCCTTTGCCACAACATATAATTAGCGCGATTGCAGGCCCAGGATGAATATTGTTTAGCCCCGGCCCGTTGTTCCCTTTACAGCTTTACTTAAAAGGAGAGTGTACGTGAACAGATTGTTGTAGGCCGGCCGAGTGGCTCTTTTTCTCTCTAAGGGGTTGCAAATCTTGTGCCCCATTGGCCATGGCTTTGCTTTGCACACTTGGATATGGGCTGGGATATGTCTGTACATGTGTTGGGCTGAAAGGCCCCTCTCTCAACATTTTGGGCTGTTTGAAATAGATATTATGTATCACAGCTTTCAGGGCCCAGCTCTCTCATGGACTCTGATTGAAAGACAAGCCATTCCTCAAAGAAAGGGAATCAAATCAACTAGATGAAATGCTTCCACTATGCAGCACAATAATTATTAATCAACGCAGGAGGTTCCGGTCAAAAGCTGCCGTTGACTATCACCGGGTGAGAAGCAAATCAAATCTCATATAATCTTCTTCCCCGTATCCTAATAAAAAAAAAAAAAATTAACAAACAGAAATTCCAATTGGGGAAATGTTATATCTCCAAGTCTACGCTCTGTAAACACAGCAAAACTGCAACAGCAAGCTAGAGATCATTAATTATGGCAGCACCACTTATTCTGCTGGCCGTCTTCGTGATCGTCGGCGGCTTCGCCGTCCTGCTGATCACCATCAAACGCCTGATGATGGGTAGTACTAGCAATAATCACACTCGCCGGCTGCCGCCTTCTCCGACGAAGCTTCCCATCCTCGGGAACCTCCACCAAGTCGGGAAATTCCCTCACCGCACCTTCGCCACACTGGCGGAGCGCTACCGCTCCCCTCTCCTGCTGTTCCACTTCGGCAGCAGGCCGGTGCTGGTGGTCGCCACGTCGGCGGCGGCCCGTGAGGTGATGAAGACCCATGACCTCGTCTCCGCCGGCAAACCCGAGTTCCGGACCGCCAAGAAGCTCCTCTACGACGGCAAAGACGTCGCCGCGTGTCCCTACGGCGAGTACTGGAGGCAGACCAGGCGACTCTGCGTGCTCCACCTCCTCAGCAACAAGAAGGTCCAGTCCGGCCGCGCCGTCAGGGAGGAGGAAGTCGGGTTGCTGGTCAATCGGATCCGGCAGAACGTTGAAACAGAGCAGGTGAGCAGGGGAGGAGGAAATTGGATTGTTTGGGTTTCCTTTGTCCGATATAAAATTCATTATTGAATCTCTTTCAACAAAGGCGAATTATCATCAATTTTAGACTCTGTTTTTATATAAGTGGGTTTCCTCTGCTTTACTGCAGCCGGTGAACTTGAGCGAGCTCCTTTCGTGCCTCGCCAACGACGTCATTTGCAGGATAGCTTTCGGGAGGAAGTACAGTGCTACCACCAACTTCAGGGACCAATTGGTGGAATTCATGGAATTGCTGGGAGCTTTAAGCGTGGGCGAATTCATCCCCTGCCTCTCGTGGGTGAACTGGATAACCGGGTTCGACGCTCGGGTCGATAGGGTTGCTCGGCAGTTCGATGAGTTGCTTGAAGGAGCTGTGGAGGAAGGTGTGGCAAGATTGGAGAAACAGAGCAATGTAATGGAAGACGACGGCCAAGCACCCTTTATAGATGTCTTGCTCCGCCTTCAAAAGGACGGCTCGGAAGCTTCCCACCTTGATCGAGAGGGCATCAAAGCTGTTATCTTGGTATCTATATTAACTTCTCCGATCTCTTATCTCCTTTTACAATGATCTTATACACCCAATTTGATGCTGGCCTAACCTTTTTCTACGTCCTGAACGGAGAAACTATTTAGTTCCAATAACTCGAGTTGTTGAGAAGTTTACACGTTAAACTCTAGAATTCACGACACATCAATTATTTCGAGTATGATATACACTAACTAGTTCTTAATCGAAACGATCAGGACATGTTCGTGGGAGGAACGGATACAACATCGACGCTCCTCGAATGGACAATGTCGGAACTGGTGAGGCACCCCAGGGTGATGAAGAAGCTACGGGAAGAGCTGAGAAGCAAAATCGGTCCAGAAACAGAGACGTTCCACGAAGCCAACTTGGACAAACTGGAGTACCTGAAGCTAGTCATCAAAGAGACGATTCGATTGCACCCTCCAATTCCCTTGCTATCTCCAAAACAGCTCACTCAAGACGCGACCATAATGGGCTACGACGTGCCATCGGGAACCATGATCATGACCAATGCGTGGGGGATCGGAAGGGACCCGTCCGACTGGCCCGAGTCGCCGGAAGAGTTCTGGCCGGAGAGGTTTCTCGCCTCTGCCGCTGCTGCTGACGTGGATTTCAGAGGGCAGGATTACCATCTGATCCCTTTTGGGTCCGGGAGGAGAGGCTGTCCTGGGGTTTCTTTCGCGCTGGCGGTGGTGGAGCTCGTGCTGGCGAATTTGGTGAGGGATTTTGAGTGGAAGTTGGACGGCGGAGTTCGAGGGGAGGATTTGGACATGTCGGAGTGCGTTGGTCTCACGGTGCATCGCCGGCTTCCTCTTCTTGCTATTCCGGCCACGGTTTCCGATTACTAGATTACTTAAGTACCCTTCATTTCTTGAGCTATGCATTGAGATGATGTGTGATTCCAATCATATCGTATCTTTTAAATTTTCAGTGCAATCAATAATTAATTCGCGCAAATGCTGCCTGACTTGACGGCTTAGACTATTCCCACCCACATGCTGTTCGCCGTTGCTTCTTTTTGACTAATTATACGGAGACTTTTAGTACTCACCTCACTTGGCAGCTGGCCCTTTATTGTTGATTTTTTTTCTTCTTCCACAAATAGTATTTCAATATAGATAGTTAGATGATAGAAACAATGCAACGGTTTTACAAATAGTCGAACTGTCGATAAAAAGAGGTATAGTGGTCATTAAATGAACAGGTTTGTTGTACCCGCAAGAAGTAAACGTACAAAATAATAGAGAGAATGATGATGGAGCTTCTTCTGCATCATGCGCCGTTTCTAGCTTCCGGACCTTCGCGCCAAAGTTTGGCAGTCACCACCAAAAATGGCTAACAAGGAAATCGTGAGTTTGACACCAAGTAATAGCATCACACAAGGATAAGAGATTCACAACGAATGGAATCAGTGATACTCGCTGCGTATACGCAAACTTAGAGTAGTTAGAACATCATATTCAAATCTACTTAATATCAAAGAGAGGGTGCAAAAGGCGATAAACCGTCCTAACAAAGAAACTGCGGCCATTTTCCTTCATTGTTTGACTTATTATACTTCGAATTGTTTGAGAAGTAGTTGGGACATCATCGTGGGGCTGCATTGAGAGAAGTTTGGTTGTTAATGACTTCCTTTTTGTTTATTCAAATTGTTTATGCTCCTCGCATTATTAATACGATGATCCATTTTGTGACAAAAAAAACATTCCTTTCATAAATAGCTCAACATTTGGTTGACTATCTCAATTTATTTTTGAACCATTAGTAATATTTTTGGCTATGGAAAAGAAAACTAGCCTACACCTTTACTTTCTTGAATGAAGAACACAAGACATACGAATTACTTACTTTTAGAGCGGCACAGGATTGGCAAAGAGGGCAGCCAAGTGTGCCTTCAAAAGGTGGCACTGAGTGAAGGCATCGGCCTTCTCGTACGACACAGCAACCGCCCGTGCAGAGTTGAGAATCTGATTCATCAGAGCCACGGGCAACGGATTCGGTTTCTGAAACCCTTCCGCCATGTCTTTCCAAGCTCCTGAAATCTCTCCCCACACAGCAGCTATGGCCTCCTCTTCACAGACTCCATGCTTCCTCATGTGGCACTCCACGGCCGACGCCACGTGCTCCCTCCCGCGCTCGAACTGCATGCGTGGACACATCATGGCCAAAAAACTAGAAGTAAACAGGCGGAGTGCCATCTTGTAAAAGCGCTACAGTAGGACAAACTATTCGAGTTATTGGGCTCTTGATGTACGTGTCAAGAGCCAGTTGATCTCAATAACTCGAGTTGTTGGAAGAAGTTCAATCGTGGATCATATACCACAATACTAACACGCCCCCTCAAACGAAAGTCACTCATAAGGGCTTGAAGTTTTCACAGGTCTAAAGACAAGAATACTATGTGTTTAACAAATGGGGGTCACCGGGAATCGAACACAAGACCTCTCGGTCACAGAAGGCTCTGATACCATGTCAAGAGCCAGTTGATCCCAATAACTCGAGTTGTTGGGAGAGAGGTTCAATCGTGGATCATATACCACAACACTAACAGTACGTACATACCTGACGAGATACGACGTCGTTTTGGAGCCTTAAGATGAGAGAGGCAGCGGTCATCACCTTGTTATTTTCATCGGTTACCCACTCAAATGCCTCTGCCGTGGATATGTGGTCTCCCATCCCACAAAATGATACTGTTAAAAGGAAGGGGTAGCTTCCGGATACTTTCGCAACCGTTATGTACTCCTCTGGAGTCGGAACGACACCTTCAGTGCGCCAACGGGTTTCCACCAAGAAGGCTCTGCACATTCTCTTGAACTACAATAATGGAAGAATCTTCCATTAGCACCAGGCAACAATGCCCCGCAAGTTCTGACAATTGGTCAATCGAAGGTGCCGGATACGTAGAGGCTAAATGAATGAATGAATGAATGGATGGTTCGAGATCCCTAATTATTTTACGTTTTCTAATTCAAATTGTTGGGACGAATTGATTCTAAATACGACACGTGTCATAGCGTATCTGGCTCAAATACTAGGCAAACAAACATACATGTACCTCTGCCTTGGAGTAATCAACACAGTATGTGCTTTCATGCCCAGCTTCTGAGAGGTCATGTTCCATTTCCTCGAACAAGTTAACGATGATCACGTAGATGTCTCTCATCGTGTCTGGAACTGCTTCCAAACAACTCATATCCAACCTGTGGCCGACCCAACGCACAAAAGCACACGAACATATTATGTTTATTTATGAAAATGTATGACCATCAATAAACCCTAAACCACACCATTATATACACATTAATTTGTACCGGTTGATGGCATCCGTAAGGATCTCAAGCTCGTCGTAGTTGCCGAAGTTATCATAGACGTCATCCAAGACGGTCACCAAGTATACGAACTTGGCAAGTATGATCCTTGACAAGCTATACCTGGGGTCGAAATTAACTCCATTGCCCCAGTAATAGCACTCCACAAGTCTGTCTCTTGCATATGGGAACTTGATAGGCACTTCAAGACTCACCCGCCACCTAGTAACGACCGAAATTGTTAATTAAATTGTACGTACTTCTTAATTTCTTATAGTTAAAAATTAAGTTCATCTCAATAACTCCGAGAATAGAAGTCGGTCAATATAATTGAACTAATGTCAGCAATACTGTTGCATAGATGAACTTGAATATATAGTTAGGAGGTAGCATATATGGACTAACCTTGAAAGTTGGTGGAGCTCCTCCTGATATAATTTCTGCAATATGTTAAAGTCCAACTTTGCAAACTTCACGATAATGGTTTGATCATGGTCGTCGTCTTCTTTAGAGGAGACATCGATGGAGTGCCTTGCAAGTGTCCTGGGGAAACATCTCCATACAGGAAAGCAGAGGGAGTTGTATATTGAAGAAGAGCTGTCGTGAACAGCAATATTATTGGGCTCCAGGTTTTTGGTTGTGAAGGTCATGGCTTCATCCAATATGTCTTCTCCATGGAATGCCACATGTGCTGCGTCGTACAAGCTTAGTAGCCCTTGATCATCCGAATCTAACGATTCTCTGAACTTTCCTTCATTGTCCATGAACTTTCTAAACCCATCTGCACACAAAGCAAGCACATGGATATGGCTAGTTTACTTACATCTACATTGAAAGTATAGGTGACGACACGATTAATCTAGGTACATGAACGAACGAACGAACATACCGGGAGAAACACGAAAGCCTTGTTGTCTGAGGAGTCGAAACCAGAGAGCAGCGTGGTACAGATCATCGTCGTTATAATGATCTTCGATGAATGATTCCCCTCTGAGCACATAAACACTTTCGAGAGCTTCTTCAATCTCCGTCTCGAAGTGATACCCAACCCCTAATCGCTGGATTGCATCTATGAGCCGCAGCTTCTCAGATATCGCCACATGGTTCTCTGTAACCATGCTCCTCACCTCTTCTTTCAGAGCTTCGTATTCCCTCATCATTTCCAGCCGAGCATTATTAGTACTAGAAGAATGGGGCGCCGGCGCCGTGAGGAAGTGATCCCCCCAGAGTGTGTGCTGGAACTTAGCCGACTCCATCCTGTCAACAACATGTGCGGCAGCTGCCCATTTTTTCCCCACGTGAGGAAGTTTGAGGTGGTTAATAACTGGAAGTAGTTGTCGATGATGATATATCCGGCTGGGCCTGGCGGCGACAGAAGGAAATGGCGGCCGATGCGTGGCCTTATAGTGAAAAGGGGGAGCAGCTGCCATGGATGGATGGATGGATATATAGATGTTGAGTGTTGTTTCTTTCCTTCTTTTTTTCGCTCTTGTGTTTCACAGAGAAATCAAGCTATGATAAACATGGAACTGGTTAAACTTCCGATAGGATTAAAACGGTTGCGATGAGCTTTCTGAGTTTCCAAAAATTGAAGATACAGATCAAGAGATTGAATTAATTAATCTGCAACAACAAGCAGAATGGCTACACCCTTGCAAGTTGGCCAGTATACAATGTGAATTTTCTGGCCGCCCACGATGAGTGGTTTGTTGCTCCTAAGATTAGCACATATTTAAGTGTCTCCTGCAGCTCTATCAACGTTGTACATTTTAATACTCATCTTTGTCAGATACAAACCAGAAACCACTACTAGATTTAGGAAGGTTTATTGCTTAACCAGATTAGCCGCCAGCCCACATGCTGTTTGACGGTTCTCTTTGTCAGAACTCCGTGTAGGTGCAAAGACCTACCAGCAAGAGCATCTTTTTTTCTTCTTCTTCCTGGTACGTACTCCGACATATTCCCCTAAACTCCATCTTGCTAAACATCAACCAACCCTTCCAACAAATTTTCATCATTTCTCCTTGTACGCTTTATAACGACAGTTTTCGTGTCTGTTTGTTTGCTGTTTGTGTACATTTTCATCTCCATAATTTCCCGTCAAAAAATTGTTCCCCGCCGGTCTCTGCTACGATCAATCACCTTACCACAACAGAGCTCGATCTCCCTCGTCCCTCCCCTTAGCGGTTTATACAAGATCCCCTCTCTCGCCTCTTCTGCCAAAAACAATTACAAGAATCCCAAATTTACAGGCCTCTCTCGTGCATGGAAAACACTCAACTCACTACTCCCTCGCCGTGAAAGAGACTCCAAACTTCTTCTGGCTACCAGATACGTTCGACCCAACCATCCTCGATTTGCCGCTACATTGGCAGATACAAAGTACATAAAACAACTCCCACGTTCTCCAACCGTTGAAACACTGCACAAAGTACAGACATCCATCAGCTCTTTAGTGATCGGCAAAAGACGAAGGCAATATTTCTAGATTCAAGCAGATTAAAGATTTGAAAGTTCAAAAAAATGTAATCTACCAGTCGAAGCAGAACAATGAGAGCATCAGTTCTCTTCGCTAAATGACTGGAGTCTTTTGACTAGATTTCCTCTCAATTTTGCAGGGATCCTTGGAATGAACTTCCGCTTAGCATCGGTGATCAACATGCCCCTGCATTAAAAAGAATTTGGTGTTATGGATATGCTATACTTGACTCAACACACTGGGGCGATTTTGCAAGTGGGGAGAAGGGAATGCGAGTTTCATGTATCCAAACAACCATCTTTCTTTACAAACTTCAATTGGTTGACACCAGTCTATCAGGCCATGTATATACCCTATCCTCAGCCTAACATGAAGTAGGTAAGATAATAATGTTGACTTAATGACATTGGGGTTTTCTCGATTTAATGGTGATCGACAACTCGTTACTATAGATCAGTTGCAGAAGTGATCAAGCCATGCATGATGTCTCAAATAGGAGCGAAGTGTACGTACTTTAAGTCATGTGCGCTATGGGTGGTTCCTGCTTCTTTAGCACATAATCTCTTCTTGGAACACATGTGGGTGTATACCTCATTGGACCAATCAGATGATCGTAAAAATGCAGATGCTTCTTGCTTGAGTCTGCAACATCAACAAACAAAGACACAAAAAAAAAACTTAACAATATTTTATCTAGCAACCCAAGTTTACTAATCAGGTTGACATAAAAGCAGTAACACAATAGTTTCTTAAGTATTGACTTGACACCTTAAAAACTGAAAGGCATCTCACCACCAAGGGATTGTCCTAATGAAAATTGGATTAAAACATCCAACTCCCCCTAGAATCGAATCGGGTAGTTAACATCACCGATAAAAGAAGGCATCTTAGCCAATAAGACTATGTAGTATGGGTCTGAAGAAGAAAATATATCTAGCCATTGAATCCTACAATTTGCATGCCACCAGCGCAACTTTAATTACTGACGATTGAGCTAAAAGAAGCAGCCCTGGCCAGTTTAGAAAAGATATAATGTCACTTGCCTCATCTGTCAGCTACATTTCAACGGAACTAATTCGATTCCTATAGATACTAGGTTTGGATGTGAAGGTGTGGTAAAATCCACAAAGGTTCTAATCCATAATACATTACCAAAGTAACTGTAGGCCACAGTCATCACTTATAGAAGAAACACTGAGAAAACCACTCCATGTATGAACATGACTGAAACGGACGACTAGATGATGGAGAAAAAGTCCAGAATGAAACAAATCATAATAACACAACACAATCTGGAGACATAATTTTGTGAATGTATAATTATCAACACAGCTTTAGACTAAATCAAGCATATAAGATAGATTGTAACTTACAGTTCCTTCAGCTCATCAACCTTGGCTCTCGATTCATCATCTAGAGCAAACAAAGCACTGGACTCCACGTTCAGTTTTCTCTTGGACCTGGAAACATGGGATTCTGAGGCACCATTTACAGCTTCATGGTGAGCAGGTCTTGACTCTGCCGTTTCCTTGTGTATTAGGCCATTGCTCTTGCAGGCAAGCGGCTTCACAGAACTAACAGCGCCATTTTCAGATCTTTTACTTTCACTAGCAACTGCATGTGGATGGTAAGACTCTCCATTGACAGCATTATCTTTTGCTCTATGTCTGGAACCATTCTCGAGTACTGATGACTTTGGCTCTTTGCCAAGTTTACCCATTTGAAGTTTGCCTCCTGAAGTACCATTAGCTACCCCATTTGCTTTAGTATGAACCTCAGCCCTCCCATTGCTAATTTGAGGAACCATCTTAGAAACAGAGTTACCAGTAATATTGAACTTTATTGGTGTAACAGAAGTGACTTTGTCAACCTTGGATCTGCCTGAAACATCCTTCCCAGAAACCAGTGGCTTTGAAGAAAATGGTTTTGGAGGAAGAGCCTCCTTAGTACTTTTAGAGGCTGCGATGCCATTCGGGTGACACGAATGGACTCCATTTGAAGTACTTTTAGAGGCTGCGCTGCCATTCGGGTGACACAAATGGACTCCATTTGAAGTACTTTTAGAGGCTGCGCTGCCATTCGGGTTACACGAATGGGCTCCATTTGAAGTACTTTTAGAGGCTGCGCTGCCATTGGGGTGACACGAATGGACTCCATGTGAAGTACTTTTAGAGGCTGCACTGCCATTCGGGTGACACGAATGGACTCCATTTGAAGTCCTTTTAGAGGCTACGCTGCCATTCGGTTGACACGAATGGACTCCATTTGAAGCAAAAGGAGGCTTTGTATGTACTGGCTTTGGATTAGTTCGGGTGAAGAAAAGAATATATACATTCTCTGACAAGACCTCCTCTAAGTTTGACATGGTGACGAAAGAGTCATTGCAGCAATACCACCGGCCCATTGCATCCTGTGGTCAAAATGCCACAATTTAAGTCAGTGAACCATCTTCTGGCTTTTACTACCAGTATCAGCAGGCACTATTTGAAAATATACCTTAATATAAGCGTAGTAATGTCCAGAGTCGGGAGAGAATCCTGAATGCACTATTGTACCAAAGAGACTATATTCTGGCTGAGGATCCTGAAGAATTACAAGTATGAAATTAGGGACAATCAAATATGCAACTCAGTAACATCAATAATAAGAACAAGCGAAAAAAGCAAAGTCGCAACAAACAAGAAGTGTAAACAGCTATTAAGCCAACAATTCAACATGTTATTAAGCACCAGCAGTAGATGAAGGACTATACACATCTTTCGCTAGGCCTAAGCAACGTAAGCTGGTGAACTAGAGAAGCAAGAATAACTAGGACCTGTATATAGAAACATCAACTCATATTAAAGTTGAGCTTGTCTCACTAAAAAAATAGATAATTAGTTTCCACAGTTAGTTCTAGAGCACTAGGTACTTTCACCTTGCCAGATTACAAATACGAAAGGGTAAGGGCCTTGATGAGTCTATGCACAATACAGTTCAGTTAGCCAGACTGTGCCGGACTCCCATAGGCATAGTTGTATATCTGTCTTGATTTCATTTCAGTACACCACCATTTACAGTTACGTAAACTGTGGCCGTCAAGGACTTGTGATATTAAGGTAATACACCTCGTGCCTGCTAAGTAATCTCCAGGTGTAATGGTATCTTTCTCCATTCCAATACTTGGTCATCAAAACCACCATCAATCCATAGTCTAACAACTCATCCCAATCTACCCACTCCCCACCCCCTAGACAGTTACCCAGTTCAAGAATAGGCTTAATCAAATTATCTCAATGGTAGTATCTCCTAGGTTCCTATCCATTAGCTTCGCTGTGTCGACATAGTATCTCCTAGGTGAAGACACAAACAATAAGTCAAGATACACTGTCAGCTCCTTGTTTCCATCTAAGAGATTGCACGCTTGTTTTTTATTAAAAGCATCCAGGTGTAATAATGTGCACAACAACGTTCAGAAACAATTCCACAGAACAGTGGCAGTCCACAGTTGGTTCTAGCACCAAATAAACAAGAAAGATGAATTCTACAGTGCAGCTAACCATACCTGGCTCGACTTGCACATGAAGCGTGAAAGTACCAAGACTTCTTCAAATGCTATAGTCCTATCAATTTTCCCGCCAAATATGCCCTCAAATCTCTGGCAAGCACACACCCAACTATAAGTCTCTCTACTCCAAAAAGTATAGACAAAGCATAGCCACTTTTTCCTGAGTTACTGGTGAAACCAAGACCAAAACTTAAAACATACCTTGAGTTGGATAACAAGGATATTAGGCGCTTGACTTATTGACATTTGCTTCCTTGCCGCCACCAATTTCTTACAACTAAACAAGCATTAGTCCCAAATTCGAACAAAACCAGAACAAGTATAAACGAGAAAAAGCCAACTAAAACAATTAGGTAGTTACCTTTCACATCTGTACTTATTGTTGCCATCCAAAATCTCTGGCTGGAAAAACTTTTGCATGGCCTCTAAAAGCGATCCACTGTGCAAAATGTCGAGACTAATGTCCATAATCTCATCGACCTTATTCGACTCGGCATGACAAGACAAGCACTTCACTTGGCTCTGCATGGCACCCCCGAATATATCCTTAACAACAGTACTTCCGCTAGCAGGGTCGATGCCCTTCCGCGACAGCTTCTTAAGACGCAAGCAGGTGTTGTGGCATGCATCGATGACATATCGCAGGAATTCGTGGGCGTCTTCCTGTCGGCCACTTCGAAAATGCTCTGCATAAATCCTGAGACAACTCAGGATCTTGGCCGGGGCATCAAGGTTGCGGCCCAAGCTCAGAGAGCGGACTATCCTTTTCTCAAGTATACAAAAGGGGCATTCTCGCTTAAGCTGCCCGTTGGAAACTGAATCACCTGAAGAAATAGTTTGACAAAACAAATATTCAAAAACAGGATTGATAAACATATACCATTAACTTCTTTTCCCTAAGCAAACAGAAACTCTAGAATGTTGCCCCTAACTCCAATCAAAGCAAAGGGCAAAATAATAAACTGGAGGCAATATTGCTCTCTATGATTCCTATTCCTACTTCCAAAGAGAACCACAGCTCATTGAAGGAAGAGGGAAGCTTACAGCGAGATGAGTGCTCTAAACCGAGGCAGAAATTGGCGAGAGGAGGGGTGTAAGTGAGGCACTGGAGGACACTGTTGAGGTAGCAAGTGTTACCGAGGTTCCTCAGCCCTAATGGCGGTCCATTCTTCCTTTCCTGACTCAACAAACTCGGCTGCCAACTCATCTGCAATCGCAGGCCGCCCATTCACCAAATCGACACGCCTATTTGTTGCCGACGATCCCCTTGCTTCTTCTTCATTAGACGGGCAACTACACAGGGCAAGCAAAGCTAGCAAACCGCCGCGTCCTTTATTTCACCGCCGGTTGTTATTTGGCCATTCACCGCCGCAACCAGCCAGCCTCCGCCGTCGGTCGCTTCGGCGATTACCCCAATCGCATCGGCCGCGTTGTTTGTCGATCTCTCCCTCCCTCTCTCTCTCTTTCTCCCCCCTATTTCTGAGTCCCGCGGGATTCTGACTCTCTCCCTCTTTTTCTCTCTCCCTCTAATTGATTAATCCATCTCGGAATAGAAATCGTAATTTTAGGGATTTTTTTAATTGAGGGGCGGTCGCTACTGGACGAGACCGAGTGCTAAAAGTAAAGCCACCCGGTCCGTTTGTTCGTCCGCTTTGCTACAAGGCCGGACTTGTTACTCTGACCCAAAGATTCTAGTGGGCTAAAGGCTTGATGGGTTGATAGTCTGGTATGACCTCAGTCCTCGTAAGGGCCCAATGTACATCTTGGCCTTTGTTAGAGCCGAAAGGCCCAGCATCCTCGTAATAGCCGGGAGGTAGCCTCGTAAGAGCTTGAATGACAATGCTCAATGGGGGTAAAGCTAGGTGTGCAGCGGTTCGTGTCGGACTAAATCGACGTTGGATCACACGAAAAGAATATATAATGTAGTGCAGTTCATGGTAACATGAATTTTATAAGTATCAAATAGAAATAAGCTTAATTGATATTTAAGCGAGACCAAATCGGATCGAATGTGATGATGCTTAAATCATTGATCCTTATATTTTTTTATTATTGGACCATGATTCTCATTGTTTTGGTCTGGTCCGTACTAGACCATTACATACCCCTAAATAAAGCTCACTTGCGGGCTATTCATTTATTAGTTTGTACTATCATGCATAGCAATAAATTAATCACAATTTGTGAATGTCCTAGTAACATAAAATATTATGAAATCGTATCGAAGATTGTGTTGAAACTATGGTTCAACAGTTTCATATTATTAAAAACAGCATACGAATAAAATATTTTATGGTCTAAAAAAACTAAGTAATACACCAAAAACTATGCTCCCAAAATGGTTATCACCTCACTACTAGTTTGTTTCACTATGTCACCACACTCCTTTATTTTCTGGTCATTTAGATGAGTTTATTCGCATCCTTTAGATTGGGAGAGGCTTGAAGATAATGTAGCAGGAAAACTTGTGAAACACAAATATTTATGTGGACGAGAGCCAACAAAAAGTCTATGTTGATAGGATTTTGGCATCAAATGCTCACCTCCAAATGCTCATCCACATTCCACACTACAAAACTACAAACTTCCGCTCTCATTGTAAACCATTTCCATAACTTTTTTTCCAACACATAGCAATGTAGCGCACATTCATAAAAGTGGGTAACGGTTCGGTTAATCTGAGTATTCCAAATGTTAATTGTAGATTCAACCAGAAGGTATGAAAAAGTCTTACCACAATTTCAAACTCGTACACATTGGCTTCTCGTTTGAAGAGACGTGCAATAAAAATAACATGAAATTAATCGTTATCTCTCTACAACCACTTGAATTGTTGGAATGAACGAATTCACAATACGTGTTTCAATTTGGTTTTTGACTCGATTCAATCCGATCATGAACCGAACCGAGCATAGTACAGTGTTTTTCTTATCGAGCAATGGGTTTTCTTGGTTTCTTCCGGCGATTCCAGGCCCACCCATTTTTGTCCCCAAGCAAATCTTCACATACATGGCCCTCCTAGTGGCTGTTACACCCTTATCTTTCTTTCTCCCCACACACCCCTTAGCTAAAACAATCTTCTGTGTAACTTACTCCTATCCTGCACTTTGGTGCACACACACCATCAAGCCGTTGGTAAGAACTGAAAAGCAAATCCCCTTTCCTTCTCCTTCCTCTATCCGATTTTGCTGCTAACTCTGTTTCTCTCTTTTTTTTCCCACCACCATCGCAGATTGGCCTTGCCTGAATTTGGAGCGCGGGAGGAGGAAAGGGGAAGATGGCAACCATTACAAATGTGACCGAGTACCAGGCGATTGCAAAGCAAAAGCTGCCTAAAATGGTGTACGATTACTACGCATCCGGTGCTGAGGACGAATGGAGTCTTGAAGAGAACAGAAATGCCTTCACCAGAATCCTGTGAGTTGACTCTCGCGACTTATTGGGACGAATCGGGTTAACATGGTATTAGAGTCTTTTGATAATGAAATGGGTTTGGGTTCAGGTTTCGACCGAGGATTCTGATTGATGTGAGCAAGATCGACATGACGACCACTGTGCTGGGGTTCAAGATCTCGATGCCTATCATGATTGCCCCTACTGCTATGCAGAAAATGGCTCACCCTGAAGGTCCGATCACAACATATACTAATTTTCACTACTCTTATCTGCTCTGTTTTCTATAAGCTAGATGATGATGGTGTAAGTAAATATTTGTTCACTGTCCTGCTGCAGGGGAATATGCAACTGCTAGAGCTGCATCAGCTGCTGGAACAATCATGGTTTGTTCTTCTTTTTTCCCCCTGATGTTAAATCGTATAATCGAGATGGTTGAGACGACGGATTCACACATGAAAAATCATGACGCTGAGCCCTGTTTCGCAGAAACACCCTTTGAAAATGTTACTGAGTAGGGTGGGGGGGAAGATTTGTGCCAAATTTTGATGTTTTTTCATGGTCAAGTTTGATTGAATGGATGCATATTAATAGGGAGGTAGCAAAACAAAATATGGACAAGAAAATATATAAGTATTGTAAGTGATGAAACCAACAATTGTTAAGGGCTCCGGTAAAGATCGATGTAGTTTTTATTTTTATATATTTGAAATGAAATTGTATCTCCAAAACCATAGTCGAGATAATCACGATAATGGAGATCAAAGCAAAATATATATAAATTTCGGGTACGTAATCATCAAGAGGGTAAATTTAGGTGATAAAATATAGAAGTATTCCATTGTATGCCATGACAAGAAAATTTCCTAAAAAAAAACATGCCTAATAAAAGTAAGCCCATGGGGCTGCAGACGCTGTCGTCATGGGCTACTTCCAGCGTGGAAGAGGTTGCTTCAACTGGGCCTGGCATCCGCTTCTTCCAGCTCTACGTAAGTCCACTAAAAGCCTTGGAGGAATAAATTTCAACTCGGATCACTTTATTTTGCAGTTTCTAACTTTCCGGTCCTGAATCCCATAGGTCTACAAGAACAGGAATGTTGTTGCTCAGCTGGTGAAGAGGGCTGAAAGGGCTGGCTTCAAGGCCATTGCTCTCACCGTTGACACCCCGAGGCTGGGCCGCAGGGAAGCTGATATCAAGAACAGGTCCTCACATTTTATCCAGTCCTTAGACTTCTTTAGTTTCCTCCATCTGGTCCCTAGAGTTCAAAGTTTGCTTTTGTTTTGCTCTGGTTGATCAGGTTCACACTGCCACCTTTCCTGACACTCAAGAACTTTGAAGGCCTGGACCTTGGCAAGATGGACGAGGTAATTAATGATTAATCAAATCAACTAATCTTTGATCTCTAATTAAAACACCCCGAAATGATTCGTTATTAACTCGTCTCTTTGCAGGCCAATGACTCTGGACTTGCTTCCTATGTTGCTGGCCAGATCGACCGATCCCTCAGCTGGAAGGTTGCATTCTGTGTCTTTTCAGCAGCATTTTAAGCTCATATGATGATTTAGATCTAGATTTTGATTGCGAATTAGTGAAGTTTCTACCGCGGTTAATGGTTTTACTCCGTGATATTAGGATGTGCAATGGCTTCAAACAATCACCTCCCTGCCCATTCTGGTCAAGGGTGTGCTCACAGCTGAGGACGGTAAGAGCTACCAAACCACTTTGGTGATATGCTGGCTCAAAGTTTCGACATTAATGAATTCTCATTCTGATCTTTGGTGACTGTATGTAACAGCAAGGATAGCAGTTCAAGTAGGAGCAGCAGGAATCATTGTGTCCAACCATGGTGCTCGTCAGCTCGATTATGTCCCTGCTACCATAAGGGCTCTTGAGGAGGTATGTCGTGCTCTTCGTCGTCGAATATTTCCTAACAACTCAAGTTATTAAAACGAAATCACAATGTGCAGGTTGTGAAGGGCGCACAAGGGCGAGTCCCGGTGTTCTTGGATGGTGGTGTGAGACGCGGGACAGATGTGTTCAAGGCGCTGGCACTGGGAGCCTCTGGCATATTTGTGAGTTCCATCCAATCTTTGTATACTTCGTGTTAGTACGCGGTATAAGATTTATTTATTAAACCACTCTTAATAACCTGCATAGATTGGACGACCGGTGGTGTTCTCACTGGCTGCTGATGGAGAGGCCGGAGTGAGGAACGTGCTTCAAATGCTGCGTGAGGAGTTCGAGCTGACAATGGCGCTCAGTGGCTGCCGTAACCTGGGCGAGATCACCAGAGGCCACATCTTCACTGATTGGGATGCTTCTCCCAGCCACCCTACTGCCAAGCTTTGAAGGCAATCCCAAAAGTGTTCAAGATCTCTGTTTTCACCCCTGCCATTTCCATGGATCCATGAACAGACTCTCGTTTGTTTGATCGATCACTCTGGGTTTACCATACATGTGTATTTTGATTGGAAACTTTGATATACCAACCTCTTCTTCCTTATGTTTTGTTGTGAATGGTTGAAACTCTATGCCTGGTACTAATCAAATGCCAACCTGCATTGGCTCCCCTTTGTATATCTAATGTGGCAGAAGTATATGTATTATGTGGTACTAACTAATGTCGACAACATTTAAAAGAAACCATGAAACAATCAGAGAATAGACAATCACAAAGCGGATTAATTATATTGAACATCACCCACTTATTTAGTATGGTAGTGCTAAAAATAGTTTTATGTCTAATGCACGTCTTTGATACTCTTATAATTGTTAGTAATAGAATATTTTGTATTAAAATCATGGTTGAATCATAATTAAACTGTTTCGTACCGCGAAAACCGCATATCATTTGGGATCCAATATATGGTATTTCCAATCCGACCGGTCGATAAAATATTGATGGACGCAAGCTGGCCTAGGCTTGGGCTTGGGCAGGATTCGTCCAGCCCATTTGAAGTCCAAGTGCAGGCCCGTTAGCGGGTGACGAGTCATCTATGTCCAGCCAATCAACTTCGTCGTTTGCACCCAAAATTCCCCAATACAGTTCTCTTTTCCTCGTCGGCACCCTTGAATCGGCAATTTGCAAAAACTCGGGGACTTGCCGCCGCGGCAATGGACGAGAACGGAGTGGCTACCGGGCAGTGCAAGTACAGGTGCGGCACTGCCGCGGAGACCCTACAATGGATCAAAGCAATCATCGAATTCATACAACCTTACAACTTCTTGATCACGGCGCAAGTCGTAAATTTCTTCACGGACAGACTGTGGGAAGCTTTAGATAAGGAATGGGTTGATTGCCTGCGGAATGAACCAGTTCAGCACCTTCTTCTCATTCCTTCCGGTGTAGTTCAGGTAAGGGTCGACTTCTTTCTCCAGTGCAGTAGTTTCAGTGGAGTTGTTTGGTTATGGTTTGTGTGTGTATTTGCTTTACGTAGGATCATTGGCCGGCTTCTCTCAAGCAATTCATTCTCACTTTGAGGTCCCTCGCGTTTCCAAGGGAGCAAGTGAACCTGCAAAAGGTACAAGTTGCTTTGAGCTAAGTGTGACTGTATCTTTGTTCTCTTTGTTGGCTCCATTTTTACGGAGCTTTGGTGAATACAAAATATTCCACTAATTGAAATATAATTATACTTAGCAGCTGGTTATAGGTTTGTGTGTTCTTCTTGCCCAAAATGATTTCATTGCTCTTGGTAGTTTGTTCATCTTTTGATTTAATTTTTCCTTCTAATCTGCTGCAGCTTTTTCCCAAGCTGAACATGACATCGCTTAGTAGTGTCCTTTCCCAGGGGATGAACAAGAAGAAACGACACGAGGTATGTTATTCATATCTGAAATGGTTATTGGTTTTGCTAGTGGCCTGACTTGGATTACTGCTCATTGTCTTTAAGAGAGCTATGGATGAACCTATTCCTAAGTTGATTTAGTGGGAGGAAACCATATAGTACAAATTCGTTTTTGCATTTCTTGCTCTATCACTGAAATTGTCTAAGTACAGAGTCACATTCTTATATCAGTGAATTGGTTTTTTGTTTCTGAGCAGATTGAAGTCCTTTCTGCTATTGTAAGTTCAATTACAAATGAAGTGGGTGCAGAAGTGATTGTTGATGTTGGTGCTGGTCAGGTTTGGACTCCTTTTTTCCCTTCCACTAATAGACTGGCATGTATGTTTGAAAACCCACTAGTACTAGCAAGATTGAAGCTGCTTTGCTTTCAACAGCCATTTGCAGAACTTATCTAATTCCCTCGAGAGGGACTTGCAGTTTACTTGCTTTCTTCACATTACTGAGGATATGAACGAAATGAGTGATGGCTAGAAAATTGCTAATTACAACTGAAGCAGAATAAAAAATGGGTTGAACTTGTTTAATTTTCTTTGATGTTCTCTGTGTGTGGCATGGGATTCAGGGGTACCTGGCACAAGTGCTTTCCTTTCAGTACCACCATCATGTAGTTGCAATTGATGCTTGCTCTCATCATGGCAAAGTCACAGAGTCAAGGGCTGAGCGAATAAGAAAGCACTATGCTGCTCAAATGCGTAAATTGGGGTATGAAGTGGTCGTCTGTTGTAATGTTTATTTGTGGTGTCATAATTTTTCTTTTGAGCATTAACACATTATACATTAGTTGGCTTCTTGGCATTATGAAGAAGTGTGTAGCTGTATTTAGTAACGACCCGTTCCACTTCCCCCCTGTTAGTTCAGGAAATGGGACTATCAGTACACCCAGGACAATAACTTGCCGTGTATTGTCAACTGACATGCTAAAATCATTGGCCGACATAGTACCACCAGCTGATGATGTCAAGGGGGCACAGTTAATTAACCAAGATACGGAGGGGAAAGCTTCGTTGGTACTTGCTGGTTTACATGCTTGTGGTGATCTTTCAGTGACAATGCTGAAGTGAGTATCTTTCTGTTTCGTGTCATTTATCATTTTCTTTGGTTTTCTTGAAGTTGCAGGCACTGATAGTGCTATATCAAGGGCATGAATTGTATGATTGCATTGTGCTCTTTAAGTTTTTTCTTTTGCAACTATTTATTTTTAGTTTCTCAATACATCTTTATAAGTGTTCTTACAATTGGACCAGGACCTTTTCTGAATGCAAAGATGCTAAAGCTATTATTAGCATTGCTTGCTGTTACAACTTGTTATCTGAAGAATGTTTCAACTCTGCTGGTTCTCAGACCGGATTTCCTGTGAGCAATGGTGTTAGAGCCACCAGAATTTCTCTGGGGAAAAGTTCCCGTGATCTTGCCTGTCAGGTCCACTTATACCTTGCCTCTCCAATCAGATGTTGCTTTTTTCTTCTCAATTCATTATGTACGTGCAATCTGTAGGTTAATTATACCCACGAGAGCATTAGCTGTACAAGGGAAAGGGTTAAGATGCTGGGTTGTTTTAGCATGTCTACCTATATCGCGAGCCACATATTTGTAGTCTTTGGACATACTTAAGCAGTTCTTGGATATGGGATGCAGTTCATCTACTTCATTATTTTCTCTTCGCGAGTATCCTGTCCACATTTAGTTTCAGGCTGTTGATCTCTAATTGCATCTTATCTTTGTTCAGAGTGCAGAGAGATGGAGTTGTCTCGACAAAGATGCTGGTCTTCAGAATTTTGATTTGCATGCCTTCCGTGCTGTTTTCCAGAAGGTATGAGCTTGGCTGAGTTGGTTTATGCCAACTCTCTTTCTTTTTATATGCAGCTTATGTTCTTCAGAGCTTACTTGCTCATAACATTTCATTCCCTGTCAAGGTTCTTTTTAAATACTATCCTGGAATCATAACTTCAAGACCCTCGGTTGGCCGTCAAGGGAAGGCTCTGCGCCGCAAGCAGCAGAGGGGGGTCCCCTATTCCTTGGAAAATGCTGAAGGTAATAAACATTTCCTCTTGGAAACTTCAAAAAGGACAAACATTTGTAACATAATGCAGCCTCCAGAATCTAGGTTGTAGAATTGGTAAACCCAGTCTCACCTAACCAAACCTTAATTATATTCGGCATTTCCTCATAATAAAAAGAAGTGTCTCTTGCAGATGACGATTATAACTCAGCACTGAACATAAATGCAAACTCAGATGGTGGAGCTTGTGATTTGGTTAATGAAGGACTTGCAGCTCCAGATAAGTGTACACTCTTTGAGAAATTCAGTGTGTCTGGACTCTCTCGCCTTGGCCTTGAACCCTTGCAGGAGATTGATTTCCATGAAATCTGGAGCGAATCTCAGCCTTATGCAGTATGTTGCTACCACCTGTTTTGGATCTCACCAGTTTCTTTATGCTGCTTTTTGTTCTTTAGCACCCTTTACCATACGACTAAAAGTCTGTTTCTCCCTTCGCTTTACTCTTCTCCTCATGTTCAACTTTGTATTAAACCCAAGTAAATATCTCGTTCCAACTTCCAAGTATATGTTTTATTGCTGTATAACAACCCAACTTATTACCACTGTTTATAATCTGCAGGAGCTTATCGGGCCATATTGGTCTCTTCGAGCTGCTATGGGACCTGTTTTGGAAACTTTGCTTTTGCTCGATAGATTATTGTTTCTCCAGGAGCAAGATGGACTATTGGATGTAGCTATGTTCCCTATTTTCGACCCTGCATTATCCCCTAGGAATTTAGCTATAATTGCTAGAAGAACTTGACGCTAAGGTGCAAATGAAGCATTACAAAAATGGTATTGGAATTGCTTGCATAGGTTGCATTGCATTGCTGACGTGGAAGAGAAGTGCAGATATGATCTTGATGCCCACCTCCTGGTTGAGCATTTTCTGTCCTACTGGTTGATGCAAGTTATGTGGAATGTCTAACGGGAAACTATTGGGAACTGTGTATGTTGCCCCATGAACGGGTTGAAATTTTAACGACGCTCTTACATGTTTTTCTTTTTGTGTAACTCATCGGCGAAAGCTTTGGTTTTAGTACTAATACCTTAGCCAAGTGTTTGTGAATTCCTGGAGGCTTCTTATGCCAACATTCGAGTGCGACAGACCTAGTTAGAGTCTTAGTGGTCATTTCTCAGGGTCCACCTGAGGCTGCTTACTATTGTTCTGATGCAAGCACTTGTAGGACCTTGTTAATGTTTTCCTAGTTTATGCAAATAATTACAGGCTTTGTGATCATTATTGTAATTTGCTTACCCTACCTGCTTTATTATTGTTCCATTAAACTAGGAGAATCATTGTAATGATCAATCGTCATCCATTGAAGAAGCTTCAATATTCGTGTTTGAAAGGACTTTGATAACTGTAGCTTTCTTTCTATTAGCAGTGTGCATGGAGGTCACTGTTGGCAAGTTGGAAATATTCTGGTTGATTATATTTTGATAGGGTAAAGCGTTTGTCCGCTCCCAGTTTGTCAGGTACCAATTTCCGACCCACTCTAGGATTTCCCATCATACACGGACTTTGATGAGAAAGAAGGCAATAAATGATGTAAGTACAGTTTTTGTTTATTACTTATATCCTTGTTGGATCTCTCAAGTTGGATTTTTCTTATCAGGGGACTGGGGAATATTGCTGTATATTGATGAAAATCTAGCCGGTCTTTTGCAGTTTCTGACTGGCGGTTCAGCTGTAGAAGTCCTGGCAGGTAAATTATACCCTTCTTCTCTTTTAATTTTGTAGGGGCCAATGCTATGTTGGTCCCCATACTATATTGTTTTACCAAATACATCTTTGTATTATGAATGCCAACAAATATCTGCCTGTGCTATTTTGTTCATCAGTTTCTAGTCCCTGTGTACTGAATTATGTCCAAATCTTACTAATGAGGTTGACCTATTGCTTAGTGTGTGCTTTCTTGACGAGACTTGTCACATGTGTTGGAAATTTTGAGGTAGAATTTTGAGGTGCAAAACATGAATTTTCAACATATTTGGCATGCCACTTATCAAGGAAGTGCTTACTAAGCATGAGTTGGATATTAAATGTAACTAGTTTTGATAGAATCTTTAATCAAGGGACTAAAAGTCGATAAAGGACATATTAGAAAGATTAGAGATACTATTGACCTCTTTTTTAAGCGAGGAACAACAAAAGAACAATACAACAAGGACAAAAGAAAAGAAAAAGGAAGAGGGCAAAGAATATTGGATAGGTTTGGCATTTCATTATTGTTTGTAATAGAAACTGGTGAGAGTAGGTTCTTGAGATGAATTGAATTTGTTGGGAAAAGGCTTGGAGGGGTATATGATTTTGGAAGCTCATTAGACAAATCAGCATCAGTTGAAGTAAGCAAAAGAAAAAAGAAGCATTAAGGAGGGTGGGATTTGATTATTTGTTTTTTCAGTTCCAACTGGCAATGCCTAGCATTGGGCCACGTGTTTAGGAGAATATTGTGATTAACTTAAACAATTCCTTCTCATTTTTGTTTTTTTTTCTCCTAGTAGGGTCTCTCTTCCCAGTATCTGCCGACTTCCCCAGGAATTTCTTAGGCAAAATATCTGATTTGGTTGGAGGTTGACCCGAATCGGTTAAGATTGGAGTATAATTCAATTATGTTTCGATTTCAAATTCAAGACTTCCCCTGCTCTTTCTCAAATCATCAGATTTATCTCGAGTACAAGGGATAGAATGAGGACTATACATAATTGAATCTGATCGAATGCAATTTTGATATGATTCTGGTTATCTTTTTATCTCTGTCCGGTTCTATACCAGGTTTGATTCTGGACCGGGTTGATTCATGCACACCCCCCTCGCTGATATCCCTCTCTTCTTTTGTCTGTCTTCCTTCTTCAGGTACATATCTACCTGTGACCAGAAATAGGCGGAAAGTGAATGATCACATACTACTTCAAAGACGTCTAAGTGCAGTCTCTTCTGAGAAGTTCAGTCCAGATATGCTCTCTTGAACTCTTCCTTTCACAATTGCCTTAGACTGGTCAAAGAACTTGCAGTCTTTCTTTTGTCTTAAAAAACCACTACTGCTCAACCATTCTTAGAACAGTCTTCTTCTGTGGTTCATATTTACTTGGTTTTTATCATAGACAGCAACAGTATTGTTAGTTAGTCCTCTCATCTAAATTGACCGCTATCTAACCCTGTGGATAGGTTCTCCTGCCCGTGTGCAGTGTCACCTTAGTCTCTTACGGCATTGTTTTTTTTCTGGCATATGAATAGTATCAAATACTTCTAGGAGCATTAAGATAAACATCAATGTTCACGGTATTAGATGTTAGACTAGAGGTGTTTGGAACTGATAAAGTTGACCTATAGGGGACGAATCTTTGCAGTTTAGATTGATACTAAGCTACAATCATGTAGATTGAACATAAGGAGGTTAGGCTTCGTATATTCATTTGCGGGGTTTCTGTTGTAGTTTTTCAGATCTGCAAAATCACTGACTGGGATATTTGGTATAGAAGATGTGAAGGTCGTGGGGGTGCTTGAGTATTGAATGTTGTTGGAAACTTGACCAAGTCCAGTGTGGGAATTTGAGAGCTTCTGTGTGTTAGGAAAGAGAAGGGGCCAACCTAATCTTCATCAATCTGCCATTTTTTATATATAAAGGAATGACATCATTTGTATACAATAAACCAATAAGTGGATAGTTTAGGAAGATCATAATCTTTGTTTTAGTCATATCCATTTTGTTCTCCTTTTCTTGTTTAAATAAATCCGTCAAGTCATCTCATTATTAGCTAACTGTCATTTTCCACTCATGGGAGAGTTGTTTGAAAATCCCCTGGTTTGTGGTAAGATTTCGAATGATAGAAGGGAATCGCTAGTATATGTTGTAGGTTGGATGGATGGAGGGAGGTTTCGTTATGGTCATTAGGACGTAATTGTTATGTATGGATCAATCCTGTTAGCAATGAACTCGGGATCTGAATTTTTTTGCGTGGAACGAATAATTGGCGAGGACGAATTGCTGTCATAGTAGAGGGACTTGTTTGTTGAAATAGTATAGTACAGGGACTGCAAATTTCAACAAACGGTTTGTACTTTGTAGGAATGTTCAAGTTTAATTGATGAGAAGTTGCGCACTTGCACTAAGGTCTTTGTCAGCTCTTTCCATAGATAGATTAAGGTACCGACGATGAGGAATTGAAATTCCGGTCATTATAGGGAATTCTGGTCATTGCAATTTCGTGTGCATATTCTATCCTTCTTTCTCTCGGTTTTCCTTTTCTTTTTCACTTCAAATTTGCAAGTGGGCATTTTCATGTATTATACGACATAGGTATGTATATTACCTAATGTAAGTTAGGAATTGGGTGGGTATATGTTGGGTTTAAGAGAAGGCGTCATTTTTTGGCACGAGGGAGTAAACTTGGAGGAGTCAATCTTCTTCCCCGTGCTTGTATTTTTACTTGTGGTTGTACACCATATATATTGATGATAGTTTAGTAGAATTATACCGATAACCAAAAGTAAAATACAGCCCTGGGAAGAAGATAAGTTTGATTAGTGATAACTCCTAGTACCGACTCCACAAGGTGTGTCGAAGGAGGCGATAATATTTAATGAGCGAGATACATAGTGAGCACTAAGCATTGCGCGAGGGGTTGTTAATGTGTTGGATAGTGAGCGGGCAGTCTTGAATTCGATTATGATTCAGGAATGAAGTGAGTTGGTGTCAATAGAGTAACGAGTAATGTTATTGGTCACCGACCTCATCATGAATAGAGAGGACAACTGTGAGGAGTTGAGCTTGGCATCCAACATGAGATTAAGATTGGGCGAATTAGTGGCCTCCTTGCCTTGAGAAAAGAGAGGCAATAGTTGTAGAACTGAGAGATCCAGTGTCAACGAGGAGGCTACAAAGATCCTTGTTCGAGAATTGTTGAGTAAGAGCACCAATACAACCAACCAGAGAGAAGTGAATTGGGAACCGACTATGGTGAGAATACCGCAAGTGTAAATAAAATAAAAATTGGCAACATCATATGAATGAAGGAAAAAGAAAGGTTTTTGTAAATCGAACTAAAGCAAGATATCAAGCAGAGCTCGAGATCTTGTGCGAGGAGCCTGGTTTGGTGAACCCTTACATACACTTACAAAACTTCCACACATGCGTGGGATGTCCAATATCAACACGTTATCGTGCACATCTTTCATTATCTGGATCATAATAAGAGATAGATTTTGGCATTCACTTGGTAAAAGGAATGTCTCTCTCTTGGATGATGTTGTTGTCCATCTCTTTGTTTTCACCGATGATAGTAGTCTAAAAAACAATAAAAACATAATAATTCGAGGTGAAAATTGTTTAGATGACAATTTTAAGGATGAGATTTGGCCAAACATCTTACTCTAATGATGATGAAGGCACTATGTCAATTAGTTATCAATGTGCCAAACGCAGTCGTCATGGGGGTTTTTTGGCAGGTAGAGGCTAAATTAATAATGCAAATAAGGTGCGTCTCTCATCAAACACCACAAAATTCCATAGTGGTTGGAAATTTTACAAGAACCCACCCTCCTGCCCAACAAACTATTAGAAATGAGTACAAAAATGGTGACGAGAATGAAACTTCTCTCTCTACAACCCACCAGCAATTTGGCAGTGATTGGTTTGTCCACATCATCATTTCCCCACAAGGAGCTGAGCCATATAAATTAGTGCTCTTTGTAAAAATTCGTTAATACCCGTATAATACCCGAACTAGTATTACATGTGTTTAAAACGTTTTATGATGTACTATTGTAGAGTCATTTCATTTCTCAGTTTATTCGAGGCTTAACGTGCTATATATGTATAGCACTTTTGGTACAAGTGCTTTTAAGAAAACCAATTAATAATCTAATAATTTTTAACATTTGCATTAAATTTTAAATAATTCATTTTAAGTGTGTTATTTCTGAACTTTTAAAAATTAAAAGTACCGTTATGTTCAATCGACATATCAAACTTAGTACATATTGATATTGTAAATTATTAGTATCTTATTTTTATAAATTGAATGATCCTTGAGAAGAATTTGTAAATTTCATTTGGTCGTGAAGGAGCTTTTTGTATGGGTCTAGTCAGTCTTGCTATCCTTATCATGTTTTCTTTTTCTAGAACAATAGTGCAAAATAGTATCATAATATGTTAAATCATCTCTATCAAACTCAATTTCCTGGAAGTTACACGAAATTTAGTATGTCCTCGCGAACTCAATAAGCTTTTGAGCTTTCAAATGAGTACCATAACTTAACTACAAACACGATAATTTCATTCAGCAAATTCACTCTAAAAGTATTGCGAGTCAAGGAAGAGCGTAGTACCTTACTTTGATATTGATATCCTCTCCTTCAATTAGTCATATAAAGAAAAGAAAAGAAAATCAAAATATATAGGCTATCTTTTTTTCTTCTAAGAATTAATAATATCAAATCCACTCATAATAATAATTATCATAATAAAGGAATAGAACCAAGAAGAAGAAAATGCTCCTCTCACCCTCCCTATCTAGCTCCCTCCATTTCTTTTCTCTCATATGGAGAGTATGACTAGTTGACTTTCCTATTTTACTTATAAGCACCATCTTTCTTATTCTTTCTTCTTCTTCTTCCCTCTTTATATAGTTGGGAAGGAAAACCTGCTTCTTATATGAATAGATAGAATCCCCAAAACTCATGTAGCCTGTCTTTGTTTCGGGTTCTCTCGCCCAAAGCAAATAGACTAAGCATATAAAGCTCCCAATTCCCCTCTTCTCCAGCTTGCTCTGTTTTGCTTCGTCTCTCTCTTCTCTATCTCTCTAGAACTTGATCAAAGTTCAAAGTTCAAACCCAGAAGAAACAGAGGTAGCTGGACAGGATCATGAGCAACATAAGCATGGTGGAGGCCAAGCTGCCTCCTGGGTTTCGGTTTCATCCGCGAGACGAGGAGCTGGTTTGTGATTACCTGATGAAGAAGATATCCAGCTCCAACTCCTTCTTCTTCATCGAGGTCGATCTCAACAAATGCGAGCCTTGGGATCTTCCTGGTAATTAATTCATTACTTTACTCTTGCTATGGTAATTAGTTGTTACTTTTACTGCTTGATCAAAACTTGGTTGTTGAAAATTTTACTGTATCTATTGGGGGATCACTTAGACATAGGGTTTCAAGTGGTTGCTAAATGTCCAACTTTGGGCACAATATCCTGTCCTTTGGCAACCAAGAATTTAATGGTTGCACGATGAAAAATTGTCACAAAAAGGACCATTATTGTGGATTGCAAGTGGAGGAGGAATCTATTTAATTAGTCGTATGGGGATAATGGCATTTGCAGTACTTTTATGGTGTAAGTTTATCAAGTAAAGTCTCGATATTAACGGTTTTAACGAGTATGTTAGTTTATTTCTTGTGGTTTTATTAAAAAGATTTGTTTAAATCTATTACTGGCGTGGTCGGTTCATGGTAATACAAGCCCTTCTATTGTACCGCATAATCATTTTCTCTTCCCTCGCGCCTCCTTTGTATAGAGCTTAATGAGGTCAAATATTAGGCAAATATATGATACGCAAGTTGATTTGTTATTCACATAGTCGAATCTAATAAATATTTTTACAAATAACCATATTAGCTTGGTTACAGCTGTACGGTGCCGTGCAACTTATTGATATGGTATAATATCATGAATATGGGGTTTTCAAATCCGAATTGATTACGAACGGTAATCATTTTATATTACAGAACATACAAAAGTTGAGATATATGCTCAAACAATCTGATAAAAAGACAAATAGTTAAAGATTGTGGTTAGTGCTAATTAGATTGTGTTGTGATTTGTTGTACTTCCTTTTAGTTAAAAACCCAACACCTTAATTTTAACCTCTAGCTAACTGCTGCATAAGCAAGAGCATTAACCTTTAATACCATTACTTATATTACCTAATCTCTCCTAATCACTACACAACTCACACCAATAATATGATTAATCGGTAATTAATAATAATAATAATCTTATCATGAAAATTGTTATATTCACTTAACAAAAACTTGGTGTCTAAAGTCTTTTGAAGAAATTGACAGTGGCGAGGTAGGAGGGAAGAGATATGGTGCATGGTCCCAACCTAAAACGTCATTAATTACCTGAAACTTGGGGTATGTGTTTGTACTTATTCTACATAGTTAGTACCTTAATTATTTTCCCCATCACACGTGTGTGACGTACACACGTGCTACCTTCTACTTGGGGGTATCTAACAATTCATCTTGGGTTTTCACTTACTCACAACCAAACCTTATTTAACTTAATCTCTACCTAATCCAATACCCCATTTGTCAAAGCCACCAAAGTATATTCACAAAACAAAGGTCTCCAAAGTTCAATCCCTAGTTTCCAAAGTCAAACAATCAAAAGGTAACATAGTAGTAATGTGAGAATAATAACACTCTGTGAGATTAACAATATCATAGGATCAGCCAAAATGTCGGACACAAATCTAAAGTGTCATACAAAATTCATAATATGAGAATGCATTTCCTTATGTTTTGTTATGTTGTTTATTTAGCATCTCTGTTTGCCAAAGAAACAATTCGACCTCAAATATTCTTTTTGTTCCATATCGTAGTTTTTTTGTTCGAATTCTTTAATTTTTCCAAGTGATAATAATTATGCAAGGACCTAGCTCCTAGTCATCTCTAGGATATTTTAGATGATAATAATGGAAATAGAGGAGTTCCATTGGATTTGATTTTAACGAAAACCCTCGGGTAAGTGGAAATCGTTCTTGTTGATTCGATGCATGTGTGAAAGTTTTGATTAATGGGTAACAGTGGCCCGTTTTTACTCTCCCGCTGCGGCCGCACTCCGCCATCTGCATATTCACAAACGACTTTCCTTCTACTCTGATCAGTTCATTACGATGGTGGTCATCGGCTATGTTCTATTTCAGAACAGTAACCCACTGATATACTAGTGGCGCAAAAAACCCATTGGAGGGAGACATCGTTTTCTCCCGGCGGGAAATACCGGAAGGTGAAGTTTGGTTTCCGATCCCAACCCTGCTATGATTTTCTCCTCCCCATGATGAAATGGGAACTAACACCCATTATCAGATGGTGACGCATGAAGTCTGGGTTTTGAAGTCGTGCCCTGACTATCGCCTGTAATTCCCCAGATGGTCGGCGGCGATCAGTCCCGACTGTAAGCATTAAAGTCCCTGTTCTCTGGAACCAATCCCTTTTGTTTAAACTTTAAAAACAAAGATTAATTACCCTGTAACGGATGGTACCGGATTGGCAGTGACGAGCCTTTAATTGGTCATATTTATGGTCTCGAGGCATTTTACTCAAAGCCATCAAGGCTTGTAATTATCCTAAGAATACTAGGCATTAAAGTCCCTGTTCTCTGGAACCAATTCCTTTTGTTTTTCACCGGCGCGGGCGGGTCGGGCGACGATTTCGGGTTCGGATTCTCCAGCTGGAACCCAGACGAGTGCTTTCATGACGCTTCGTTTCTGGTTGTTTGCAAGCTTGGAATCCCGGCCAGCTGTGAAGCTCCTCCGGCGACTGGAAACACTTGCCTCCGGTGACATTGTTGGTCCGGCGGTCCATGCAATCAATTTTCCTCCGGCGAGAAGTAAATAACCAATTAATGGCCTCATTGGTCCATTTATTTGGGTTTTAATACATCAGTTATTTTATTTGATGTTATTGGGTCCTTAATGATCCGTTACAAGTGATTAATGAGTCACTAAAGCGGTCCTTTTATGGCGCTTTACAACCTTTATGGTTGGTTTATATATCAAATTATGGGATAGAAAGAATTAACTTCTGACGGTCATAATTAATTTTTGACTTTTAGAATTAATTAATTTATGGTTTTCAAAGTACCAGAGGAGTAAACTGTCTAGTTCGCTGCCCGGTTTGCTGGAGAAGACCGGAAAGTCTTGAACATCTGTTCTTCAAATGCCCCTTGGCCACAAGATTGTGGTCGCTCATGGGTCTAAATGATTTCATCTCCTCGGCCCCGACTGTGAATTTCAGTCTCTGGTGGCGACATGTTATGCTTTCTGAGCACCCCCCAAACCCACATTCTCCTATACGTTTGTATATTATGGAGGATCTGGAAGTCTAGAAATAAGGTGGTCTTCGAGCATGTCCAGCCTCATGCCCAGTCTCTCGCTCGTCAATGTTTTTTCCAAGTTCGCGAACTGTCTTCCTCCCTTCCTTTGGTCCCTGCTCCGCCCCAGCCTTCCCGCTCTCGCCTCTCGTCTTGGTCCCCTCCTCCTGATGGCTTTGTGAAGATCATCTTTGATGCTGCTGTTCGTCCTTCTGGGTGCTCGTCTGGTCTTGTGGTGCGCAGTTCAGATGGGCATGTGGCTCTGGCTTTAGGGTCTCTCCATCCCGATATTGCTGATCCCTATCTTGCGGAGCTCCTAGCAGCTAGGGACGCCTTCGCCCTTGTAGTCTCCAAAGTGCTGCCTCGGGTCATCATAGAAGGAGATTCAGAGGTGGTGATTCGTCAGCTTCGTCAAGGTGCTCTCTCTGACTCCATTGGAGGTCCGGTGCTTCGGGATTGCTCCCTTCTCCTTTCTTCCGTCTCTATTTCTTTAGAGTTTAGGGCAGTTCCTCGGACTGCTAACAGTGCTGCCCATAGAGTGGCGCAGAAAGCGCTGTTACTCTCCCCTTTAGAGTTATGCGCCTTTGATTTTGTGGGTTGGCTTCTCTGGTGTATTGGGTTGGGCAGGGTCGGGGTAGATTGTATAGGTTTTCTCTTGACATTTCTTGGAAAAAAAAAAAATGGAAATAGATATAGGACAAATAAACTTTATTATGAGATGCCCATAACCCAAACAAACATGCCGTAAGCAAATGGGAACCCACAACTCATGGAATATATGCACTAATTCATCGAGAGAAACCAAAAATGAAATAATGCAACCTTTTATATTAATTATTACTTGAAATAAAAAATGGAATAATTTAAAAATGAAAGAATTTGATCTTTTGTATTTATTAGTACTTAAAATAATGAAATTATTCAAAATTTTATATTTATTAGTACTTGAAAAAAAAATGGAGTAAGGTTGTCAAGTGGTAATTTAACTTCTTCTATATTGTGCTCCAATAATGCTCTACATATCCCTTGCTCCATAAGAAATTGACCTCTCAACCACACAAAATAAATAATTATAGTGATAATAAAACCTTCTAATTAGAGAAACACATATACATGAAGAAAGTAATAATCAGCTAGTTTAGCCTTACTTGCATCTATCACTTTCTCATGGTATCCGCCACTTGTCACCTCCATATATATAAGAGTTCTAGTATAGTGACATCTCTATAATAAAATCTGCCACTTGTCATCTTTCGATTAGCCTTTCCATATCTGAGTCACCAAGTATATTTTTGTTGAGCATGAGTAGAATCATGAATGACATCGATCCATGCTCAATAAGTAAATATGATTCTCTAGCTACCAAAATTTACGAGTAGGAATGTAACCCGATTCGAAGCTCATACCAAAATTCTATTGGTTAAAATTAGAATTATTAAACCGCAAGTCCTAAAAAATTACCAAAAATCGAAATCACTGTTCCTTAAGAAAAAATCGGGAGTTACTGTTCACTACAGGATTTTTTGATCGCATGCGGGCGTTTTCATGTAAGCCCACGTTCACCACATTGGGTAAAACAAACGTGGCCATTGATTGTTTTAAAATCCCTTTCACATGCATAGGCTTACAAAAGAAGGGCCACACCTCACCTGTACCATCCAAACCCATCAACCTACTTCCCTCTCTCTCTTTCCTATATTCCAAGCAATCACCATTCACCAATCACATCATCATTCCCACTACATCAAGCCTCCTCCATCTCCTGTCTCTCCTTCTCATTTCTCTTACTCTCATAATCATAGACAAAAAATTGGGTGGCAGGAAAAGAATAAGGGAAGACAAACAGCTGAGTACAGAGCTAGAGATCCATTGTGGATTGGACGAAAAATTTGATAAATTAGTTATAGTAATTAATTGAGAATAAAATTTAGGATGCATTTACATATCATTTATTGATATATTCAAAATTTTATAATGAGCCATGTACAAATAACAATTATGCATATGACCGATTGAAATATCAAAGGGGCGCATATTCAATATTAAGAACGAAATTTTCACAAAATTTTAGCTAACTAAATCGTAAACAATTGTTTCCTACCTATTTAGTAATTTTTTTTTTTGTATTTTTGACTACCATTGTATCTTAATTTACCAATTTTTTAAAATATAATTTTAAACTAAAAAGTTAACAAAAAATTATTTTATAATGTTCTTAAATGAGTTCCTGACTACACTCTGGGCTGAGGTGCATTTGTTGCATGAGCTGAGTACTACATGTGTACAACAAAGTATATTGTTGTTGGTCGAAGACAACTCTTCCTTTCAAACTTGGAAACTGGTCGCACAAGTTTGCTTAAAACATCAGACAAGAATTGAAGTTATTGTGACAATTTACGGTTTGCAATAAGAGATAGCTGCCTACTGGTGATTGGGCGTTCATGAATTTACAATATGACATAACTAACTAATTACTTATTGACAATTAGGAAAAAGAAAGTTAAGGGTTGAGTGTCGACAGAGGGTACAACCTCCCTATTCATCTTACCCACACAGAAGGATGATAATTTATTGATTATAGTGTCTAATTATGCATACCAACAACATAAGAAACATAATGGGATTTAGCAAAGAGGAGGATAAGTTAAATTTAAGAGCAATTTAAATTCACAAGATAATAATTTGAAATTATAATATTAAATAGTGTATGAATCATTGTCAATTAAATATGTATGGTAGTTCTTCAGATATATAATTGCAACAATGGAATCGACATACACGATTTAGTTGGTATAAACATTTTATATGATACAATATTTTATGAATATTACTCAAACATGGCCTTCTTGATATCCGTGTTTTGAAAGTATTCATATTTGTTATTATCCAAATAACACAAGTAATTGAACAAACTTGATCATGATTTCGCATTGCTATTTTTCATGGCCAAAGGTCAAGTTCTCAAATTTCAATAACTCCTAATGATGACTTATGATTTGAGCATGACAAATTAATGCAACTTATAATAATGATTATCTTATTATTGTATCCCGCTTTTTGTTGTCGTACTTTCTTTTATATATATATCTGGAGTTCTACGGTACCCAGGGTGTAATTCAGGGTACCACATACCCTGAGTATGAAAACGTTATTCAGACCATTAATTGACTGATCTCTCGGACATAATACTATACTCTAACCCTTAAAGATCAAAATCTAGGTCTTAGTTGTCTAAATATAATACTCCAAGATCAATTTAATTAGAATAATAATCGACGGTTATGATTCGTCCAAATAAGCCCAAAAATGAATGCACCATCTCAGGGTTTATAGTTTATAATTTAGATAATTAGGAACTAGGGTTCACTCATTAAGGGTTAGGGTATAGTATTAGGTCCAAAAATCCTGCTAATTCGAGATCTGAATAGCATTTTCATACTCAAGGTATGCGGTACCCTAGATTTCACCCGGGGTACCGTAGAAGGCACCATATATATATATAAAAAAAACTTCGTAAGAAAGATTCAACATCTAGGCCAAACAAAAAAAGGGCACACGAATCACAATGCTTGCTCTACTTTCAAGTTACTTTTTTAGGTTACTCATATGGAGATGAGAGCTTTTAAAGTTAATGAATGAATTTAGTATGTGATTATCCCAAATGTGAGAAAAGTTTGTTTCGCCTTTTTAAATTAATCATTTTTAAATTACACGGTTTGTTGAAAATGAATGAAATGTTGTAAAAAAAAGTTACCGCGGCTAAGCGCGGGCCAATTGACTAGTGTTAATTAACCACCCTATATTTTCACCATCTAGAAGCTAACTGTAGCTAGTAAGAATTCCTTCTTTGCTACTTGGGTATTATCCGTTGAAAACTGATCCCATTTTCGTTGACTTTTCGACCCAACCGAAACTGGCCAACAAAAAGCTAAAGGGAAAGTCTTCGGTTTGTGGATTAATTGGGCCGGTGCCGGCCAGATCCGCTTACCCACTTGGTTCCATCTCGTTGTTAATTCAAATGCTCTCAATATGATCATCATAAAGCTCGATCTTTAGCGACTTACGTTCATGCATGCATGCATGCTTGATTGCTGCGCGCGGTGCAGAAACAGCGTGCGTGGGAGGGAAGGAGTGGTACTTCTACAGCCAGAGGGACCGCAAGTACGCGACGGGGCTGCGAACCAACCGAGCCACGGCGTCGGGCTACTGGAAGGCGACGGGGAAGGACAGGCCGATTCTGAGGAACAAAGCCGGCGGCGGCAGCCACCAGCAGCTGGTCGGGATGCGGAAGACGCTGGTTTTCTACCAAGGTCGAGCCCCTAAAGGCCGCAAGACCGACTGGGTCATGCACGAGTTCCGCGTCGAAGGCACCCTTTCGCCCCCGAGAAGAAGCGCCGCCTCGCACAAGGTTCGTTCTTGTACTCTCTCTGATCTCTACTCTAGTCTCGAAGTTTCGGATTACTATTTAATTTGAGAGGTTATAATGTTTCGAGGTTGATTTGCTTTTTTTTTTTTCTAGCGTTAGACTTGTTATGTCACATAATACTCGTGAAATTGAGGAGACGAAATTGCAAACTAAGGACGAACCTAGGGTCCGACCTGTTCTCTAATTAAGTTTGAAAATATCGGGTTTAGTGTTGGAGGGGTAGTATAGACACCGTTGTTGATTGGGGGTGATGTTGACGACATTATGATGAGTCATATTTCGTATGTTGTTGATCTTCGTCGGACTAACAGACGGATTAAGTGACATGCATCCATCATGAGAGGGAAAATCAAGTCGATGATAATATTATTGATTAGTTTGACATATTGAAAGGGAAAGATTTATTGCAGGGTCATTTTCGAATGATCTTTTGCGTGAAGTTGTGATTGCAAGGAATCATGGAGGCATATACTAGAAGAAATTCTTATGATTGGATTTAGGATCCAATTAGACTAAGCCACGTACAAGAAATTTGTACTTAGTGTCACTATAAGCTGACCTAAGATGATTCTCTTTGGCCAGTTTATAATTAAGTAACCCGTGGCGTGATATTATAATTAATTTGTTGTCTTCTAATGCAAGTCACTAATTATTGTTAATTAGTGTTCATCATTCTCTTCTGCTCCAAACCCTATCTTTAGGATCTTGATTATAGCATGAAGTTTGGTAGCTGTTGGTGATCTTCTCTCTCAGCTAAATCAAATGATTGAGTGTAGTAATTAAGTTAGCTAGGGTTTCTTTTATTCTAATTGATTTAATAATTTGAATATGAAATGATATAATTACAGTTACTAATCTCTTTGGATTGCATATGTATTTGCAGGAGGATTGGGTGTTGTGCCGAGTGTTCTTCAAGAACAGAGATGAAAATACTGGTCCCAAACAAAGCATTGGGATGGTGACCAGGAACAACACGAACACCATCAGCTACGACGACGAGGATGACGATTATCTCGACACCGATAACAACAACTCATCTTCTCTCCCGCCATTGATGGACTCTTCTTACAACATCAACTTTGACCAACAGCAAACTGCTCATGATGACCAGTATGAGCAAGTGCCCTGCTTCTCCATGTTCTCCTCCCACGACCCACCACCGTCTTCGAACTCCTTGTTTCCTCAGTTCTTCTGTAACAACTCTGCTGCAGCGAACTCCATGGAGTTCGCTGCAGATCATCAGCAAGTACTGTCTGTTGTTCCTCCTACTGCTGTCGTGGAGGAGGGAACATTCAGTACTTGTGACAAGAAGGTCATCAAGGCGGTGCTGAGTCACCTCACCAAGGTGGAAAATGCCAGTGATGATATTAGTAGTTACCCTTATTACGATCATCATCATGTTGTTAAGGATTCGTCGTGCTTGAGTTTGGGCGAGGGGAGCTCGGTGGAGAGCTACCTCTCTGATGTGGGTATCCCTAACCTTTGGAACTCTTATTAATTGACTTGCCCTTATATGTATGGGTGCCTATGCCCTTAATTTGAAGACAATCCTTGAAAAAAAGAACATGATGAAGAGAATGTAATGGTTTGTATAAATTTAGCTTTGTGGAGGGTGTAAATTTATGTCATTTCATGTATGATGGTGAAATGTGTAATGTCTAATTTATACCCATTTTCCATTTCGGGTTGTTTGTTTTTGTTATGTACTACCACTTTTTAGGGTCCTTGTGGGTGAAGCCTAGGGTATTGGAGGGGATTAGAATTTGAAATGGGTGACCTATTATAAATTGAAACTAATTTTCATTGTCAGGCATACATTTTGAATTTTTTTTTTTAGAATATTCATATGTTTAACCTACATCGAGAATGAAAATTTATTATAACTATTCAGTTTTCTTTTGAAAATTATTATTAGATAACTTAATGACTTATACCTTCAATTATTAATAATCTTTAATTATAGTATTTAGTTTGAACAAAAACATATAGATTCATACTTGAACACATTATTTTGGACATTGAATTGCCACTTTTTATGGCATTTCTAACTTCTAAGTCATCTTTGTGCACGGTCCAAATGGGTAAAAACTAAAAAGGCCCAAATAGGAGGAAAGATAGGAATATACAAAAGTGGGCTGCATTCATGTTAAAAGTAACAGGCTCAATATGTAAGGTCATAGGTCCAATAAATCTAATTCTGTTGAGAAAAACCATCAAGTTCAGGACCTCTATTCGAAAATGAAAAAGTATAGGCTCTCATTTGAGAAGGGTATCAAAGTTTAGGGATCGAAATGAGCATTAATCCTCCGACGGAAACATCAACAGTTGACTTAGTAGTCTCTTCACTATCCTCCAAAACCAAAATCCACTTGCTCCCCACTTGCTCCGTTCCTTCTCTCATGGTGGATGGCGCTGTGCTTCCTAAAAACTTCATCTTCCTTCCTTTGTGGATATTCCCAAACAATAATAGTAAAGAAAGACGACGAGACGACCCGCCATTGCCAGAAAGACTCCACTTTTTTCATATATGGACGACTGAGAAAAAGGTTGAGGCCTTTTAGGTGTTAGTTTAATTGGATTCTCCGGGCGGCAATTTTCCCAATTGCGTATTCAGTTCCCACCGGTAATTTTACCCGATCAATCGCCGGCGGTGACCATGTGGATTTACTGTCTCCTCATTGTTCAAGTGTTCATCTTCCTCTGGCAACTCACCCGCAAACCTAAACCGCCAGTCAACTCTCCCGCTCCGGAGACAACTCCACCTCCTCCTCCTCCTTCCGCAATTTGTGTCAATAATGGAGCAGCGACGATTCCGATTGTTTACAAGCACGACGTGTTCCTGAGCTTCAGGGGAGCAGACACCCGCTTCAATCTCACCAGCCATCTCTACGCTGCTCTGAGAGGCCGCAGCATCCTGAGCTACATCGACGATGTTAATCTCCATCGAGGGGCGGACATCGTCGATTCGCTGTGGGGAGCGATCGAGCAGTCGCGGATGTCCGTCGTCGTGTTTTCAGACAATTACGCCGATTCCGGATGGTGTTTGGACGAGCTCGTCAAGATTGTCCACTGCCTGAAAAACCTAAATCAGGTGGTCTTGCCGGTGTTCTACGGCATGCCTCCCGAGGATGTTCGAGATCAGACCGGGAGTTACGGTGTTGCTTTTGCCAAGCACCGTCAGTCGACGGCGTCGCCGGAGAAGTTGAAGATGTGGAGGGCTGCGTTGAAAGAGGTCGCCGGTATTCCTGGCTGCGAATCTCTCAAGATCAGGTAACAAAATATGGATTTGGTCACTGAATTAGCATATATGAATCATATTGGTCATTGAACTAGTGAACTCTGTATGACCAAACAGCACAGAGGCTGAGCTCGTCAAAACAGTGGTTGAAACTGTCCTAGCAACATTGGAGCAGATTTCCCCAGCTCCACAGTTCCCCGGTTTGGTTGGAATCCACACCCGGATCGACGATATTGAATCCTTGTTGCATCTGGATTCGGATTCAGAGACCAGGGTCGTCGGAATGTGGGGGATGGGTGGCGTCGGAAAGACCACGTTGGCCAGAGCTATATTCGATCAGTTTTTGTCCAAATTTGAAGCCTTTCATTTCCTTGGTGACTTCAGGCAAGAATTGGAAAGATGCTCTGAGCTCGACCTGCAACACGAGCTCTTCTCGACCCTACTGGGGGACGAATACAACCATCACACTGCTGAAAGAACCACAAATCTAGCATTAACTTATGCCAAAATGCGTCTAGCTCGCACCAGGGTTCTTGTAGTTATCGATGATGTTGAGGACCCTGTAGCACTACATAACTTGCTGGATAAGCAACCTCGTACTCTGTTTGGTCCCGGGAGTAGGATCTTGGTGACGAGTAGAGATCACCAGGTTCTTCAGAATGTGTGTGATGAAGTCTATGAGGCGAAGGGGCTGAACGACTACGAATCTCTTCAGCTCTTTGCTTCGAATGCGTTCAAGAATGTTATCTCTGATGAATTTATGGAGCTCTCATGGCGAGCCATAAGGTACCCATCAGGCAATCCACTGGCTCTCATAGTCCTTGCGAAGGCTCTGTTTGGGAGAAGCAAGGACTACTGGGAAAGCATATTGCTGAGGCTTCACAGAGGGGCGCCAAATCAAAAGGTTCAGAACGTATTGAAGATCAGTTTTGATGGTTTGGATCGTGATGAGAAGAATGCCTTTCTAGACGTAGCATGCTTTTACAAAGGAGAGAGTCGAGGGCATGTGAAGTCCATGTTGGATGGTGCTTATGGTGATGGGTCTTCTGAGAATATTGTCACCTCGCTTACAGATAGAGCTCTCATTGGGATTGCGCATGATGGGTTGACAATTATGATACATGATTTGTTGCAGGAGATGGGTCGTGGGATTGTGAAAGCAGAGTCTGATGATCCGGGGAAACGGAGCAGGCTTTGGGATCAGAATGACGTCTACTCTGTGCTTACCAGAAAAGAGGTAACTGAATTTGAATGCTAATTGCATGTTAATGTTAATGATCAGGATCGAGTATTAATTGTTGTCACGGAACTTGCTTATGTATACTCTATACACATTTGGTATTGAATTCAGTAAGCGTCTTAGCTCCATCGGTTCTTGCTATTGTGCTGTTGATGTGGCAGCCTTGAACTAGGGTACAAGAGGCTGCCATATCAGCAACATACCAACCGATGCTGATGTAAGCAATGAAAATGCTAACAGTGATTTGTTAATGCGAGTTCGGCGACCTAATTGGTATTTAGCCCTTTGGTAATCACTTAAGGTGTTCATATCTTAAATAGTCTATATATTATGATCTTCAGGGGACGGAAAAAATCAAAGGCATATCGATGGAGTTAGGGAAAGGCCAGATGCAACTGGACTCGGATGCCTTTGCAAGGATGAGTCGTCTAAGGCTCCTTAGGTTCTACGTGCCACGCGATGGTTACGGCGATTACACTGAGGTGCAGTTGCCTTCAGAGGGGCTTCAGTTTCTTTCCAATCAGTTGACGAGCCTCCAGTGGCCCCATTTCCCTTCAAATTCTCTTCCACCTACATTCCGAGCAGAGAATCTTATTGATCTTCGTATTCCTTATAGCAACGTCAAGCATCTTTGGACTGGCGTCCAGGTAATGTGCTTTTCCAGATATGCATACCCATTGCTATTTTTCATTTTCTCAGACGAAAGGTCTCTTCTTTGTATTTGTGTACTTATATGTTGTTACAAACTTCATATTTCAGTAACCACCCTTAACCCCTGTGCTTATATACATGCCTTTCATGCATGCCTGCACGTTGATACAACTCTAACCAATTGGCCTAATTATCACTCCTCAACAGAATCTTGGAAACTTGAAATACATCCATCTCAGCTACTGCATAAACTTGGTGGAACTGCCGGACTTATCACTCGCCAAAAGAATCGAGGACATTTGTGTCCTGGGATGCGAAAGCTTGGTGAAGATCCCATCCCACGTCCAACAACTAGAGAGTCTAGCAAACTTGAACGTCTGGAACTGCAAAAGCCTCCCTGACCTCCCAACTCAGTTTACATCCAAATCAATCAACTCCCTCGCCATCTCTGCCGAGAACTGCCCCACAGTCGCAAACTACGACCAGCTCTACCTCGGCACCCAGGAAGAAGAAGAACAACAAGAAAAAGAAGAAGAAGAACAACAACAACAACAACTTGACATGAATGCACCGATAGGGAACAGAGTTCTGGACGTTAGAAACAGCTTGCACATAACGGACCTCCGCTTGAATGGAACGATGATCCAAGAGATCCCAGCAACAATTGAGCTGCTCACCAACCTCGTTCTCCTCGACATCTCCCAGTCGAAGCATCTATTTTACATTTCGACCAACATCTGCAAGCTGAAGAAGCTGGAGAAGCTTGACCTTGCAGGTTGCCTAGGTCTGGAGACGTTTCCGGAGATTTTAGAGCCCATGGAAAAGCTAACTCAGTTGTTCCTGGGAGGGACGTCGATTAAAGAATTGCCATCTTCGGCCGTTTACAATCTGGTGAACAATACAGCATTGTGCCTCAACAATTGCAGGAAGCTTGTCAGGATTCCTGAAGATATCCAGTTCTTTGATAGGTTGACGTTGATTGATATAAGGGATTGTGAGAGCCTTGTTTGTTTGCCGAAGCTGCCTCTGCGAGTGCAGATGCTAAATGCAGATGACTGTGTGTCGCTGAATGAGTTCCCGGATTGTAGCGATCTTCGGGAACTTGTGTCTTTGAGACTCGGGAACTGTTTCTTGCTGGATCAGGATGCAATCGTTCGATGGATGGTGAATGCCTTTGCCGATGTTCAGGTTTGTATACGTATCTCTGTAGGATTAGATTAGGGATGCTGCTTTCTCTTTCAAAGTAGAACTTTACATGGATAACAGTTAACATTCATTTCATCCCAGTAATGTAAGTTATTAGGTAAGATTAAAAGAAATTGATCTTAGATGACAGCGAACTTATAAACTTAGAATTTGTGCTGATCTGCTATATCATGTGTTTAATCAATGAAGCTTTTATACAAAACCGGTGCTTCCCAATAACTCTCATTGCGTCGTTGGGAGACTATAGCTTATACAAAGATAGATGCATAGGGCTGTTCTTATTGTTCGCCATGCATATTAATGAATGTTTCTTTCTACAGAGAACAGCCGTGGAAATATACTTCCCCGGGAGTGAAATCCCACATTGCTTCGAGTTTCAAAGCAGTGGATCCGAGGTCACCATCCAGCTGCCGTGGAACATGGACGATCTCCTCTATGGGGTCAAAGGAATCGCATATTGTTTAGTCGTGGAGGACGACGGCAGTTGCTCCGACATCGTAGAGAACACTGATGACATGCGTCTAGGCAAATATAGCGCCACTATACCCCCTCTCCAGTGCAATTGGGAGACTACATTTCCATTAACGTCATCTTCGGCCAGACTTCATAACTCACGCGGGACATGGTACCAAAATGCATTCAACCGGGGTTTTACGCAGTTCAAGTCTGATCATCTGTTCATCACTTACAGGAGCAGGGATCATGAGCGGGAGATATTCAATCCGCGTAATGTGGGATGTGATGTTTCCTTTAGATTTGAGTTTACTCATGTTTGGAAGGTGAAGAAGGTTGGAGTAATGATCGTGGAGTTTGATTATGGTTATGGCAATGACGACGATGATGTTGGCTTCGATGCTGAGTTGACGGATTGGACTGCTGGTGGTGATGATTATTATGATGATCAGCCATTGTATTTTGGTGATGATTATGATGATAAGCCATTGTATTTAGATTAGTTGAATCAATTAGGTCCTATCTAAATTAGGTTCATGTTTCCTTTTGTTTCTAATGAGATATGTTCACTGTAGAAGTTTAATAAAAATCCTTGGACCTCTATTCCCCTGCAAAATCTGAAGGAACCCTCAGGAATCGAACAACGGCAAACATATATAACGCGGGAAAATTGCATTTACGTGGCGCGGTTCTGAAAAATCAAACCGGACCAGTAGATGGTCTAACCAGTCCGAGACTGGGTTTGATTCGTACACTATTTTCAGTAACTATTTGTAGCTGGAACTTGGAAGGAACCAGTACTAGAGAAGAGACAAGAGTAGAGAACGAAGAATACGGACTTCTGCGGGGAAATGGAGAAGCTGAAGTCTCTGCTTCCAGACGAGCTCAAGAGGATGGTTTGGAACAGCACGGTGGAAAATCTTCCGGCGGCGAGTTCTTCTCTTCTTGAGTTCCTCCTCAATTTGCCGCAATTTCACCAAGTAAGAACCTCGCAGCTCCGTCGTCTTCTTCTTCTTCTCTCAAATTTATTCACTTTCCTGATTCTCTGTATCGATCGATGACGCCTCCTTCAGATGGTTAGAGATTTGGCTGCTCCAGAGGACTCGCTGTGTGCGAAGAATAAAGCCGCTGCTATGGAATTAAAGAAGAAGGGCAACCAATGCTATTCAAATGGAGACTACGCTGCAGCGCTGCATTGCTACTCTCAGGTGCTTGCCTTTCTTAGGTTTACTAACTTCCTCCTACTGGTCTCGGTAGAAAAGCTGAATCGGTGACTTCTGGAAGAGCTCTTGTTTGCTTCCCTGACTTGCTCGAGTGCTTTTTCTCCCATGTACTATCGAAACAGGCGCTACGAGTTGCTCCGCAGGAAGCTGATGACAGGGATAGAAGTCTAGTTGCAGCATTGTTTTTGAACAGAGCTTCAGTGTTCCATGTGAGTGATGGAAATATATTGACGATCAGATGAAGTTGAGAATTTTACCAAGCTAATTCAAATGAAAGGTTGCTTTTTCATTAGAGACAAGGCCTACTAAAGGAGTGTCTACGAGACTGTAATCGAGCACTTCAGATTTCGCCTAGCTATTCAAAGGTAATGTTGTATAGCAGTTGTGATATTCCTCCTAGATTCAACCCTTATGCAGTTTCATTTCTTGTCTCTAATTGTCACCTCCTAAATTTCTTTCCCTATCCTATTTCATGCCCTTATTATGCAGGCTTGGTATAGGAGGGGCAAAGCAAATGCTGCTTTGGGAAATCGTCAGGAAGCAATCCTAGACTTGGGGGTTGCGAAGGATATGGAGATTTCGTTAGCTGGAAAGAGACAGATAGAATGTGAATTAGACATGATTATTAGCCAACGACAATCTGCAAGCAGGATAGTGGATCAATGTAGCCAGATAAGTACGGGAGGAGCAGGTGCTGGTACTAGCAATACAACTCTCAAAACTTAATTCTGTTGTGTCTTAAGCTGCCATCTTTGTTGGTGGAAAATGAACTCTACTTTGGACATTGTGTACCCAATACACGGAGTTCAGTACTCTCTTTTTGCCTACCTCCATAATTAGTTCACAGCTCCAAGTATCCGTCCAAAGTTTTAACTAGCGAAAAGGGTAGCCAACTTGCAATTTTTGTATCCATCATGCATTTTGGAGGTGTAGAGTTGAAATAAAACAAGCTGCAAATTGTTTTTTACAGGCGAGCCTTGCCAAAGTAGCCTTTCATGCGTAACAACACATGATAAAGGAAGAGGGATGGCTGCACAATGTGATATTCCTCAATCATCCTTGATTCATAAGGAAGAACCATATGCCCTGGTATAAATATCACTATGATGTGTATTTCTTAGTTGACATTAATATGGAGAATGTATGCATACTTCTTTTCTAGATCCAAGCTTTGCATAATTTATGGATTGGTGGTTTGAAATTTTAACTGCCAACTGGAATACTACTTAGCCTCAAGACAATTACTGGTTGCATTTGAGTTCAATTTTCTTCAACGGACTTTCAATTGCACAGGTTATACTGAAGAGTTCCCGGGAAAGTCATTGCCATTACTGCTTGGGTGAACTACCATTGGATACAGTCCCTTGCCTATCATGTTCAATCCCCTTGTACTGCTCCGAACGTTGTCGAGCACAAGCAGGAGGAGGAAGTCTTGTTAGGCATCAAGAGGAACAGAGAGATAAGTCTTATGGTGACAGTCTAGAAAAGCATGTTATGGAGGTAACTTCACTCCATAATTCTACTACAGCTGTTGAGTGCTTCCCTGAGCATAAACATGAATGTGGTGGTGTCCACTGGCCTGCAGTCCTTCCGCCGGATGTTGTCTTGGCTGGCCGCATACTAGCAAAGCATCTTTCTCAAACTGGCATTCTGATGAACCCCGAAACTCTAATTACTTTGGTACTTATGAATTCCTCTAGAAAAATTGCTTGTTGTCTTTCATATGCTTCATGCAGCATCAAACTCACGAGCTGATGACCGTCTTGTAGGGGTTCTCTCACAACTATTCACTTATTGCTCAAGGTACCAAATTGGAGGTGCACATATATGCTAGTGTCTTGCTGTGCTGTCTACAGCATGCTCTTGGCTTTGAACTTCCAGTGAATGCTATCTATTTGTCCCAGGTTTTTCTCCCTTACTAAAGAACACATCAGCTGATATCATTGTAGAGGATATAAATATCATCTTTTTGTTTTTCCCTTCCTAAGGCACTTCTCGTTAATGCAGACTGTCATACTTCTATCACAAATCAGGGTGAATGCTATGGCAATTATTCATATGAAATCTGTTGATCCTCGTGGGCCTCATGCTTTCACTAGTACGGTGGAACAGGTTGAACATATGTTGCTAAAACTACTCCTATCTATGGGGTTGTACCCTACAATTTTATTTTAGTCAGATGCATCTTTAGTTTGTGACCAGATGTTTTTCAGTGACAGGAATTTTCTTTATACCTTGGTCGTTTATTTTCTAGGTCACTGTGGGTCAAGCGATTTACAAAACTGGCAGTATGTTCAACCATTCTTGCCAGCCCAATATCAATGCGTATTTCCTCTCACGAACTCTTTTTGTACGGACAACAGAGGTTGTTCAAACAGGGTTTCCTTTGGAGTTGTCTTATGGCCCACAGGTAGTCCTGTTTTTGAGTACTTCGAAGAACAAATATGAAAAATGCACACTTGTCTCAGCTCTGTCATTCCGATAATTTAAACTTGAAGTTCCTGTCTACCTTTTCTTTCCAGGTTGGGCAATGGGACTGTTGTGATCGTCTTCAGATTTTAGAAGACAAGTACTCATTTCGATGTCGGTGCAGTGGCTGCTCAGAATTGAATATAGCTGATCTAGTCCTGAATGCTTTCCATTGTGCCAATCCTGATTGCATCGGTGTCTTGTTAGATACCCCTGTGATAAAATATGAAACGGGCAAGCTGACAAGCTCTCACAAGACATCACGCTTGAATGGTGGGTCAGAGGTACACATCATTTGTTTCTCTTTCTTTTTGGTTGAATTGGGAAGTATTTTAGTCAAAATACTTATGATTTAGCATAAGTTACGCTTTTCTCAATTATAACAGGTCGAGAAGATCAATGTCAAGAGTTTAGTTTGTCTTAATCTCATGTCCAACAATAGCTCTTGTCATATCAAACCTGCATCCTGTTTGAACTGTGGTCATTACTGCAATCTTGATGCTGCACGTGAAGCCGTGGACAATGCTTTGAGTTGTATGCATAGGTAACTTGGTTTGTTGGCCTTGTTCTATGAGATAAGTTTTTCCCATTTCAAAGCTTGGTTTCCATTTCTTTGAAGATCAATTAACTTTTGACAGTCTAGAGGATGCAATAGCATCAAAAGAAATCCCGAGTATGGTACTATCAGATGCTTCAAGGTCCCTTGGTCTTCTGAGATCAGTACTACATCCTTATAACAAACGCATTGCAGAGGTATGCTTCCTAACTTCTTATAACAAATAAGTCATTGCAGAACCGAAGTGTTATGGAGTTGCTCCCTTTGTGGTTGAGTGTAAAGTGGAAGAGTAACCTCATTAACTCTTAGGTACAAACAAAGGGTGGGCGAGGGAGACAAATATCTAATTAGGCATTAGTAATCGCCGAAACATGGTGAGGGGGAAAAGAGTCTTTTAGATGAAGGCAAGAATTTTGTGGTGACATTAGATGCATACCCCAGGACCATTGGACATGCCTACCTCTGTATTAACTATTATACATGTGAGGAACACTTGCAGGCTGAAGATAAGCTCGCACAAGGGTTTTGTTGGACTGGAGACCTGCGATCTTCTAAGGGTTTATGTTCATCATCAATCAAGGTAAAACACCTTTAACTGCCAACCTTTCTGTTGTTTGACGGTAACCTCCCGTATGTTTCTGCATTTGCAATCTTAATGGTTTATCCGAATTTACTATTTAGCTTCGTATGTGTTATGTTTTACATAGACTAATGTAATTGGGATGGATGCCAGATACTGGAAGTGCTCTACGGCAATGATCATATAGTCATCGGATATGAACTCATCAAGCTCGCAACCATTCAGCTATCCTTGGACGACCCTGAAGTTGCCAAAACCATAACCAGGCTTGAAAAGATATTTCTCCGTTATTTCGGGGCTCATGCAAACTTGGTTTTACCCTATCTAGAAACCCTGAAGAAAGAATCGCTACCCCTCCATAGGCAGTTCAGTTCAGTTGAGATTTAGTTGACAAAATTTTCTCTCATGTTAAACTCAGAGTAGTGGTATTAGAAGCATGCACAATGTATCATCTTGCTTCTAATGTGCTAGCAGGCTAAGTTTGTAATTCTAGATATCAACAATGTCGTACTTATATTAGGAATTTTGGTTCTGAATGGCATTCATCTTTGTAGCTTCATTCCTATCTTTTTTATTCAACTATATAAACAAGAAGAGTGGGTAGTTCTGTCCAATTCGAAAGCAAATTATCCAATCTAATCAATTTAGATTTTGAGAACACCAAACTCATAATATCCAATCTGATCTGAACAGAACTGCAATATACACCTGCTCCAAACCACCATCAATGATTAAACGAATGGTTAGAGGATCCAGAACTTGAACATGAAAGTATGCAGCAGAGATTCACATGACTGGCCTAACTGCAGGATTCAAAATACAAAGCATGAGCCAAATTCAAGTCCACAATGAGATTACAGATTTCCGGGAGGTATGTCATAACAATTCAACAGAGTCGCGTGCCAATGCCCTGGCTTCAGTAAACGATGGAAGTTCTGCAATACACAAAAAGATTTGATGACAGGAAAGTACGAATGGATTATTCATTCCCAGTCATTCCCACAAATAGCCTCCACATTTCAGCTTCAATCGAGCTTAAGTCATAGTTCAGGTCACTTCCAAGAGCACAGCACGACCACCCTCTCAGACTAGCACTATTTACAACAGCTAGTTCCATATGCTCCTAAGATTCAGCAAGTGCCTTGTCGATCTCTTCTGCATGATCCTTGAGCATCTTCCACTGCAAGAAAAGAAAAGAATTTTTACCGAGACCAGGTAAACCGACACCATAAATACTGATGAATTGGCAGTTAAGTTGAGATCCTACCTGATCCACACTCAATGATATGCCTGCAAAAGGGGGAATAAGTTAGACGAAGAACCAAAAGTTTTGAAGAATAGGAAGTCTAAGTAAAAGAGGCATTCAAGCGTTCGGATACTAAATATCTTGCCCAGAAACTACAGCAAAACATAAGAGAACATAAAAGTTTTCATGTCATAGATTGCACTCATCCTTTCAGTTTCATGGTCGTTTATAGTTGCCTGGTAGTATCAAGCCTAGGGAAGTGAAAAGCTACTTTTATACTCAACATGACAACTTTACACCCATCCATAACAAAGTTAAAGAAGTAAACTACAGATGCACAAGGGACAGTGCAACCGTCGACGATTTGCAGCAACTCACAATTAGAATCACCAGCTAACATAAACTTGCTCTACCATTTCAAGCCAGCAAGCATATCAACCGAATAATCTATTCACAAAGGTAAGGTCTTCCTCAACCTCTCAATAGTCAATACAGAGGAACACAATGGAATGCCCATGTTAAGAAAATGAGTAACCGAAGAGTAAATCCAGTAGAGCATCTAATGAACAAACCAAACAACATACCGAGACAAACCAAAAGCAGAAAAAGAGAGAAATGGTAAAGACACCTTTTTTGCCAGGGAGCTGTTTCCCATCCTTCACATAGAACTCACGAATGTCAACCCAAACCTTTCCTTGCCAGTTCCTCACTTTCACTCTCCTATTGTGAGATATCTGCAGCAAAATCACCCCAAAGTAAGAGTCAAACATCTCGCAAATGATAGAATTGTCAGCAACAATCGCTGATTAGAAAGTTCTGAGAATCCATATTCAATTCCACCTACATCGCAGACAACGATCTCGTCAGAATCATCGGAGGAATCAGTCCTCGGAGCTTTCTTCGGAGGAGCACCATGGCCGTCCTCAGACGGGCCCTCATCCTCCTCCTTCCGCTTAAATCTCCGCGACATGCTTCGAACTACGAAGAGCCTTCATAATACAACAAAAAAAGAAAGGGAGAAAAAAGTCCTCCGGTAAAAAGGCTTGAAGAAGCGCTCGCAGGGTTCAATAATCAGATTCAGTCAATAGGAAATAGAGTAAGAGACTCAGTTGAAGACCTGCAACAGTGTTGTTCGCTAGACGGAGAGCGTCGCCGGCTTTCCCTCTGAGATGGACTAAGGGGGAAATTGAAGAGAGACAGTGGAGAATGGAGATCGATGGGTTCCGCCGGTTAGGGTTTATACTTTATATATGAACCTATGAGCCCGTTTTATCTTCAGAGCTTTTGCCGGGCGGGCGGGAAATTAACTACTCGGTTCCCACCTTTTTTAACACTTAAAACTATTTATATTAGCAGAATAAAATATTTCTCCATAAACATGTTTATAACTAATTTTTTTAATTCCATTAAACATGTTTATAATTGTGTGCTAATTATTTTCCATGAATTTATGCTCTTTGTGAAGGAAATTAAGCTAAATAGTATAAAAAAAGAATATAGTCTCATTTTTATAAAAATAAAATTATAGATACTTTCTACCTCCAAAATAAAGATAAGAGAATGATCTATTTGTTCAATTGCAGGCTGTTACAGATATCTTCCTTCATCTCCAAATGGGAGCCCTATTCATCGCTAATCTCGAACTGGGCACCAATAGGGAGGTGATCACTCGGGTGGTAATCGTTTGGCAGTCCACCAACAACATCAGCATCATCATCTGCTTCAGGAAGTTTGAGAAAGCTGACTGGTTTCATCTGATCGCCAGGTGAAAAGAATATGTAGTCGAGCGTGTTCGTGAAGCTAGGAGTGCAGTTTGTGAATGGAGGTTCTCCGCCCCTGGTCTCCGAGTAGACACTGCGCAAGGGAATGGGTAGCTCATCCAGACATTCCACCGTAGGTGAGGTCAAAGCATCACCAGAGACGAGGTACCGGTAAACCTGGCAGAAGGCAGGAAGGAAATGTCAAAGAAAGAGAGAGTGAATGGTGTTACTAAACTTTGGATCGAAAAACGCATGGTGGGGTGATTGCTAGGTTAGTTGTTTCATACTTCAGTGACAAGTTAAGATTTGAGGTTCAGTTCACGAACCTTGTCCCCAGGGATTGAGTTGAAGTCACCAGCAAGGATTACTTCAGGTGCACAATCAAACTTCTCAGAAACCAGCATCTTGAACTTTGCCAGCCGGGAGAGAAGATACTTTGCTTGTGCGAGCTTCACATCAGCCCATTCTGGATCCCTTGGCACCAAAACCACAAACTCGTTTAGCTCAATCAACATAACTGTGATTATCATCTAACAACCAACAACATTGAGGTTATTTTTGCATATACCAGTAAAGATGTGTATTTGCAACTATAACAACATGATGGACAGGACCCTTGAGTTTGAAAGCAGCCATTATCCCAACACAGTCTCGTTTCAATCTCACACGAGGGTCGTTTGGATCTCCTCGATCTTCGCGAGTGTTCTTTGATGGTGGAACTGGGAACAGATAGTTGAACCAGTGGAAGTACAACAATCAGCTTTGCACGAAACAACCAATCAATAGATCAATCCATGGAAACGGTCGTCAGCTAAATCACCATTACTACCATTGTTAGCATGTTGACTTTTCTGTGTATCGCCGTGTGAACTGGCTCCATCTGGAACTGAGTTTACAAGATCATTGTATTCCACCCTCTCCTCTAAGAGCAACTCTGCACTGCAATAGCCAATTGGTAGCAAAGAAAGTCTTATAGTCAGTTAGCAATCTCATGGAAGCATTTATAAGAAGACAAGACACAGTTTATTGCGCTTTAGGAGCAAGTTCGTCCTATTTTTATTAAAAAAAATTGCAGTTACCAGTCAAGTTTGTAGAAGATTCCACAACCGTCACGCTTAATGCCAGTCCTTTGAATATAAATACTAGAATAACCATGGTTCACCATGTTTGGCTTGTAAAAGCTATCATATTCATCCAGTTCCTGAGTACAGTCCACAAAAGAGAGAGAAATAGCACAGAACTAAGTTCATACTATTACATGAAAATGAAGTAACCAATTTGTTTCGAGGGGAAAAATGGAAAGACCTGCAAGCAGAGAAACTCTGCTCCTAAGCTTTTCAAAACAGTTAGGATTGCCTGGCTACGAGCCTTCCACCTGAGTTCAATGAAGTAGATGTTATGAGCACTGGAACAATCAACCATATGTGCTTTTCGATACATTCTGAACAGCTATCTTCCCTCCAGAAGTGGAATTGAAACGTCGCAAAAAGGCTACCATAAGTAACTTGAAAAGATCCAATGTATAATAAGTGGCAAAGAGAAAGCTTGCATTAAGTGGAATGCAGAAGAAGAGGACATGCTTAATAGCATGATCCTGCATAGATCTCCCCAAGCTTATTTGGTAGCAATAACAAAAATTACTGGTATCTAGATAGAATACTCACTTCAAGCAAGCAGATGGAGAGTGTGGAAACAGAGAACTCTTCACGTAGGCCTACATGACATGGAAGCACAACATGTAAGACTTTACGTTCAATACAGTCGTTTCAATTAGATCATTATAAATGCTGTCAAAACGAACAATTTCCATGGCCATATTCCCGCCTCTAACAAAGTCTTTTAACTACTCTTGCAGGAAGGGGAATACTCAAGGAAAAGAACTGTGTGTGAAAGCTTTAGCATACCTGAGCCAAGATGTTGTAAGAGACAACACTGAACCTTAAGCCTGCAATATCACATTTCAGATATCAGATCGGGTTATAAATGCGATATCATTTCGCATGTACCTTTATCAAATCAAATTAACATCAAGAAAGTAGTGGCCACAGCAAAGTCATCTACTTTTGTAACCAAGCTTATCGGGTTTGTTTGAAAAATTAAGGAATGTTGAGAACAGAGTGATTCTGGATAATGATATCTTATGAGAACAGAGTGGAGTTACAGCAACAAGTGTGAGTGCTTTAGTTTATTTAGAGCGCAGGCCTGAGCAAACGGGTCTGCTTATCATGATCAGAATGCCTCCCTCGATCTATCTCATCTGGCCAAGGTTAGCACAGATGATTTTTTATCACAAAGAACTCTAACCAATACGCAAATTAATCAATATACATACCATCAGCCTTGCTTCTAGACCAAACTTCACGCCCTTCAACAGGAATAAATTTAGGGCACATCGGCATTGGGGTTGAGCTCATTTTAGCCAAGCAGATTCTCCTGCACCCAACGAATTCAAGCCAACCATTACCCACACATAACATTCCTGTTTTGAAGACTCCTTACCCAGCACATCAAGCAAAGTTCAAAACTTGTTCTATAAACCCTAAGCCTGTACCCATTGCTCTTTTTTCTCTCTCGAATATATGAAATCTAGAATGTACCCATTGCTTTAATGGAAAACTACCTGGCAGAAGAAAAGGCAGTAGGAAGATGATGAATCAAAGAGAGAGACCTCAGCATTTGCAGTCTGCAGAATAAAGAATCCCAATTGATATATCAATTAACGAACGAACTAATACACAGACATAATCTAGTCGAAAGATTTAGCCTTTTTTTACCGTAATGAAGTAATTAGCAGTTATCGGAATTAAAATTTCAATGGTTACCTTCCTTCTCTTTATCAGCAAACAGAGTTCCGACGACTAGTTATCACTGAAAACTGAAGAGTAAGTTCCATAAGCCATCCGTCGGAACATCTTGTGATGTTCTAGCTTGTGCTCAGACTATGCTAGTAGAAAGCCGCCGGGAAAAGGTCATTCTGAGGGTTTATCAATTTATCCGGGAAACTTGAAATTGGGACTTGGCGGCGGCGGCGGCAGATTGGGGGAATGCGGAAAGCTTGGTTAGTAAAGTGACATTTGATGCCTGAAACTATCAACTTATCTCTTTTGGTCCCTTAAAACTTTAAAGAGTTTCTATTCAATCCCATAAAAGTTTCTATAGGGACTAGGAAGCGGCGGAGGAGCGCGCAGGCAAAAGCTTCAGCTGCTCAACTACTCCGTCGCGGCAGCAGAAGGCTTTTCTTCATCTTCTCTACCACTACCATGGATTCTCGTTTATACCTGAAACCCAATAACATCATTCCTTTCACTCCCAGTTCAAGGGCTTCTTCCCCTTTCCTCCCTTCCTATTTCCCGCCTCGGCTTCGGCTCGAGTCTTTTCGCCTTCGACCCACTTCTCTTTCTGCTGTTGTCAAGAAGCGCAGCAATTCATCTTCCAACTCTACTACTACTACTACTACTACTACCATTCGTTGCGAGCTCAATGGCAAGATCAATGGCTCCTCCCAGTCCCCTGAATTCGACCCTCGATTCCTTGACCGGGTAAAATTCTTCCCTCCTCTTGCCGCGAATGAAAATTCTCGTTGTCGTGAATGGGACGTTGAGTAATGCTGCTAGCTAGTAAAAGTTTCCAACTTGTTGTGTTCGTCACGACGGGGGACTATAGTTTGATGATGTTGGAGTTTTCCACAGATGTAACTGCCACATGTTCTTATGTGCTTCCTTTTAGTCATGTTATTGCCTTTTTGTCTCTGGTGGAAACCTTCAGAGAGAGTGGGTGTTTCAAGTTCCGAATTCTTTACTCTATTTCATTTCAGGGAATTTTTCAAAGTGTGTTAACTGTTGGTTTTGGTGATCATTGTTGTAAATTTGTTCCAGCAAAAGGCACTTGAAGCAGCAATGAATGACATAAATGGTTCATTTGGAAAAGGAAGTGTTACACGTTTGGGTAGTGCCGGTGGAGCATTGGTGTAAGTTCACTCCTTCACTTGCTTGAATGGGACTCCGGACTCCGGTGCCTTTGGTTGTGGAATGTTGAAGCATTGAGATATATGTACATGTTTTTATGCAGTGAGACATTTCCCAGTGGCTGTTTGACATTGGATTTTGCTTTAGGTGGTGGGCTTCCTAGAGGAAGAATTGTAGAGGTAAATATTTTCTCCGTCTGCATCCTTGTCTGTAAGTTTTATGTTATTATGCTGAGGACAAATAATAGACTTCTGACCCTTTGTTGTTTGCAGATATATGGCCCAGAGAGTAGTGGAAAGACTACCCTTGCGCTCCATGCAATTGCAGAAATCCAGGTGTGTGCCTTAATTATGCTTCTGAGTTTCTGTAACGTTTAATGGTGATAATTTTTATAGATTTCTTTTGTGCTAAAAGGTTTTTTCTTCTCCCTGCTAAAAACTGCAGAAGCTAGGTGGCAATGCGATGCTTGTGGATGCCGAACATGCTTTTGATCCAGCATATTCAAAAGCACTAGGGGTGGATGTAGAAAATTTGATTGTTTGCCAACCTGATCATGGGGAGATGGGACTCGAAAGTAATGCAACCTTCTAGTCATCCCCCCCCCCCCCCCCCCTTCAGAAATAAAACCATGCATTAGTTAATTCAGTGCTTTTTGAATATGAAGATAAAATGTGGTTGTTGCAATGTTTCAGTTGCCGATCGTATGTGCAGATCTGGAGCAGTGGATCTTATCTGTGTTGATTCTGTGTCAGCTCTTACACCACGAGCAGAGATTGAAGTGTGAATCCTTCTTTAAGTTCTTTTGTGGGTTCCTATATTCTAAATGAGATTGAGAAAGTTCATTATTTTCTCTTCTTTAATGGATAGGGTGAGATTGGGATGCAGCAAATGGGTCTGCAGGCACGGCTCATGAGTCAGGCATTGCGTAAAATGTCCGGAAATGCTTCAAAAGCTGGGTGTACACTTATTTTCCTCAATCAAATTAGATACAAGGTATCTTATGTATTTAAAAAAATTGGGGTCGAAATATTGACTTACATTTGTCATGTACGTGACTTTAAATATCTGTTTATGCAAGTTTCACTCATTGCACCTCAAACTCCATGCCAGTGTTTCTTAGCTTTGCTGTGCCAATTATTGTTAGATTGGTGTATATTATGGGAATCCAGAAGTCACTAGTGGAGGAATTGCCTTGAAATTCTTTGCATCAGTTCGTCTCGAGATACGGTCTATTGGGAAGATAAAGTCTGTACGTGTTTGTTCCTCTTTCCTTCTATTTCCAACTTCATTTTGTTGCTTGGTAAAGAAATCATGATGCATAATGTGTTCGAACACAACTGTGTCTATTTCTGAAAATTTTACATCTCTTAATATTTATCATGTGGGAGTTTCTGTTGCTTATAGGCTAAAGGAGATGAAGAGGTGGGACTCCGTGTTCGTGTAAGAGTACAGAAGAGTAAGGTACCGAAATTGGAGGTGTTTTGTTTCTCTTGTAGAAAAGCTGAACCCTTTTCATGTCACTTCTACCTACTTTTCATTATTAGCTGCATAATGATCATATTCCAGTTAATATTAGCCATAAAATTTGTTAAAATTGCGTTTTATCAGTAGCGGGGCATTTTCTAAGTCATTACTGTAACAGGTGTCAAGACCATACAAGCAAGCTGAGTTTGAAATCATGTTTGGAGAGGGAGTCGGTCAACAGGTTAGTTTTCTGCTGCAGAATTTTGAGAGAGAACATTATCAATGTTATTTTCTCCATGCTGGTGTTTTTGTTTGACGGCTTATAATTTTTCCAGGGTTGCATATTGGATTGTGCTGAGATGATGGATGTCGTTCTAAAGAAGGGCTCTTGGTATAGCTATGAGGACCAAAGGTTTGCTCTTTCACTTTCACCTGCTGCTTACTATTTCCTAAGCATCAAATACCTTCAAAACACTATGCTAAGATCCGTCAAATTTGTTCCCTTCAGCTCGACAAAGTTCTGTGCACTATTATTGGTTGTCCCCGTTGTCAATACTTCCATCATTCACAAATCTAACTAGCCCGCTTTTAATTCCTATTTTATCTCTGTCAAAGGTTGGGGCAAGGAAGAGAAAAAGCGTTGCAGTACCTGAATGAAAATCCTCATCTGCTTGAAGAGATAGAGAAGGTTCTAGTTTAGTCCATATTGGGGTCCTTATTAAAGTTACATGGGACAAATGATGATGGTGAATGATTTTCATCCGTGTTGCAGAAAGTTCGATTGATGATGGCAGACTCGACTTTGCAATCTGGCCCTCTGTACGCAAGGCAACTGGCAGCATTGTCCCAGGACGAGAGCACGAATGATGATATCTAGTAGATGATGCAACCATCGAGTTAACTGAAGTCCTTTGCAAGCAAATCACTGAAGATTCACTGAAGCTTCTGAAGTAAGATTGAGCTGAGGTACTCTTCTCACTGTTCTACCATGCCAGCTGAGATCTGTTATCACGGCATGCTGTCAGCCTCTGGCGCTAGTAACTACTGGAGATTGCTGAACTAGAAGGCTGGATTTTGACAAGAGAAAGAGGTTAAGAAAGAACAGTTGGTTGCTAAATGCTGACTTCTTTCTGCCTCGAAAAAGAAAGGAAATGATTTGATGCGGAATAGAATGCAGAAGTTCTTGGGGGTATCTCGTAGCTTAATGTTTCTGTATTGCCAACGCCATTACCTGATGCTGAGCAAATGGTTTCCATTATTTCAATCAATTCGGCAAGCATGCAGGTTTACGCATTGAGATTATGATTAATTTACTAGGGTGAATGTGATTCATTCCACAATGCCCCTGTAAAAAGCAAGCTCAAAGTAGCTCTTGCTGCTCTTCATCATTTCCAGGTATTTCCCTGGTAACATATTTGCACCGGTAAGCTAGTGGCGTCTATCCATTTCAGTGAGTAGCTTTGAGTTGCTTCAAAAACAAGTTTACTGTCACAACAGCCAAGAAGCACAAAATTATACAACACAAAGTAGTATCCATAGATTTTCATGAGAAGACAGCAGCCACATTAAATACACAAACATAGTAGTGGTCTTTTGTTCACATGCATCTACGTAGTTTCTGCTTTGGGGGAAACAGGGGCGACACAAGCTAATGTATACGACTAGAAAGATCGATGATAACCATTACACAGTTGTCTCTTCCCTTTTCCGATCCCTCTTAACAGAACCGTTTAATTACTGAGACAAAGCACTGGTGTTGTAGACAAGGAGTGCCCCTCCTGCTAGAATCCCCAACAATGTCACTGCCCAGATCGCCAATCCAGTCAATCCTGCAACCACCAGGAACTTAAGCAATTAGATTACAAATCCAAACAGAACCAATATTCGATTTCCTTATCGGATTATGAATCGCAGCAGAACAGCAATCAGAAGAGCACGACTCACCTCCGGCATAGACATCGCCGGTGGGTGCCCACTCATCTTTGTTGTAGATGGGGCTGCAACACAACACAGGTGCCATAACATAACATAAGCAGAGGACAGAGCTTTGATTATCAGCTAATTAAGCACTCTTTGTCAAATTGTTTACCTGTAGCCATCGACGTTGGCACCATACTTGTCGACGAATTGGTACACTCCCTTTCCCTGCATCGATCAAACTAGTTAGATTAGATACGATTGTTGAACACCAAGAGAGGGTGAGAGAGAACAAGTGTACCGTGGGCTTCCTGCCAGAGGCATCAACTCCTCCCCTCAGGTCCATGCCACCACCGGTTCCTACCCAAATTAAGCAAACAAACAGTCATATTCAATGCCACCATGATCAAGGTCGGAAATTAACTTGAGAACCAACTCATCTCAATCATTCAAAGATGTTGAAAGAGGTATAGTATACCATTTACTTCCACCAACATCCAGTGTTTACATCATAGGCTAAAGAATACAGATTTTGTAACAATTTCACATCTTGTTTGGAATTTCAGCTCTTATATATACATGCATGGTTTATCTTAGAGAGAGAGAGAAGGAGGGAGTGAAGGGTCACAGTACCATAGGGAGTGTCAGTCTTGATCTTCTTGATACCGCTGGCCACGATCTTGAAGGTCTTTCTGGTGAGGCTTGGAAGGCCAGTCACTGAAGCTGATGCCTTCTCAATGAAAGGGGAAGTGGGTTTCAAGGTCAATGATGAAGCCACCATTGAAGCTGAGGCTGCCATTTCTTCTTTTGTCTCTCTTTCTCTCACACAAACACAGAACAATGAACAATCTGTTCTCTCACTTCCGTCTGCTCCTTAATTATTTCCACACACCAGAAGAAGATGGAAAAATTTCCAGTCAAGTTTAGTGATTGTACTGACGCCACGTGGCAGTGGATGTGTGGCAGAGGTCTGGATATGAAATTTCCTCTAATCCACTTCTTTCTCAGCATCGCGTGTAGCATTATCTGCTAGATTGAGGAGACCGGGGCCCGCCAGATTTGTTAGTACATTGTTTTTGGACGGGCCTGAAGGCCCTTTTAACGAAAAAATAAGCCCAAATGAGATGGGAAAAGTGGCCCTTGGTAAAGATGGGTTCAAAAAGCCCAACAAACCGGACACCAACCAACCCGGTAAAACCCCGGCGCGAAATTAATAACTCTCCTGTAACTACCAACTGCCAATTTGCCTTGTGCGTCCATTTCTCACGCAGCGAATCAAAACACAAAGGGAAAGTAAAGAAGGAAATCGGCTTGCCGCCATGAACAGCATTGCTTCCAAGGTTGCTGTGGTGGGAAGTGGAAGTCAGTACATAAACAATAATAAAGTTTGCGTCTTTTTAAGATTTAACTGTTTTGTTCTTTCTCCGTCGCTATTTCATTTGGGAATTTGTAAATCTGATTCGACGATACTGACAAAAAAAAGGGGTTTGAATTTTTCTGGGATGGGTTTCAGTATCAGGAGCAGTTTGTGCGTCCACTCTCGCAAAAAATGGTGTCTCAGTTACCCTCTTCGACTCTGCTCGAGGCCCCGGTGGCCGGATGTCTCGGAGAAGGTGAATTCCTCATTTCGATCCCCATTTTAGTTTTGGCAGAAATGTGAGATTTGGGTTTTGTTTTGATCTTCCTGGATTTGGAGGAAAATTGTGTGTTTTGTAATGATTGTGAAGCTTGGATGCTGAGCAGGGAGATTTCCGAAGATGGGAAGGAGCTATTGTTTGACCATGGCGCTCCATTTTTCTCTGCAAGTGATGATGATGTGTTGAAGATTGTTGGCGAATGGGAAGCCAAAGGCATTGTTGCTGAGTGGAAACAAAGCTTTGGGGCTTTCGATTTCGCCTCCAAAGGGTTTCTGAACATAGAACAGGTTGGTTGATGTCTTATTTTGATATAGCAGCTAGTAGACAAGGAATAAGAGTATTTGAGCTATGGAAGGGATAGCTTCGTTGCTTCATTCCTCAAGGATACATAGCTTTGTAATGCGCTAAATAAATGTGCATGGTTTTGTTTATCTTTGTTCCTGATTTCTGCTTCAAGCACCTTGGGCCCTGCTAGAAGTTAGATATAGTAGTGTATTAGAGTGTGAGGTCTGTCAAGAACCAGTTCATCCCAACATAGTATGAGAGCCTTTGATGGCCGCAATGTCATGTGTTCGGAAGGTCATTTGTTCGCATAATCCTCTATGGACACCCATTTCCGACTAATCATGAAATCAATGTAGGAGGCATACAAAAGAAACTACTTGATCTACGCTCATTACTTGTTTTCACAAGATAAGATTATCTTCTGTACTATTCTCTGTAGGAACAAGCTTCCAAGAGATATGTTGGGGTGCCAGGCATGAACTCTATATGTAGAGCTTTAAGCAATGAAACGGGTATGTTTCAATATCTGACTGCTGAACTTACCAGGCTGCTGTCGGTGCTGTTACTGAACCTATGACATAATGTGCAGGAGTGGAGAGTAAGTTTGGTGTTGGAGTTGGAAGGATAGAATGGGTGGATGATGAAAAATCATGGTCACTGACCAGTTCTGATGGCCAACAACTTGGTCATTTTAGGGGAGTGGTTGCTTCAGACAAAAACATTGTTTCAAGAAGATATACTGAGGTGACTGGATCTCCACCACCGCTTGGTAGGATCATTGATAAATTGTATTTGAACTAATTTAGATGAACAAATGCTTAATACTGCTGCACATTCATGGATGTTGTGCAGTTCATATCTGTTCTTGTGTCGTCCTGAATTACTTTGTTAGTGTCGGTAAGCTTTAGAATATCTCAGCATCTTGATTTGTGAACTCCTCTGATGCTTTTCAGACCTGAGTTTTGCTCCTCAGTTGGTAGCCAAGTTACAGGACATTCCTGTTATTCCTTCTTTCGCCGTGATGTTAGCATTTGCAGAGCCTTTGTCATCAGTAAGTTGTTATTACTTTGGCGCAGTCCTTGTTCCTTGCAGTTTAATGACAAACATTTTATTCTTCATTAATGATGCGCTTACTAAGCATGATTCAATATAATATTAATTTATTTGGATGGAACTCGAAAAGAGAAAAATGATACCAAAACATGGTAGAGACTAAAACTCAGTTACAAGAACATGGTAGAGACTAAAACTCTCATCACCCTATTTGTATTTATGCCAGATATATAACTTATCTTTCCAATCTAATTCCTTTCACTAATGGAAGTCTGCTGGTATGTTTAGATACCAGTAAAAGGCATATCATTCAGAAACTCAGAGATCTTGAGCTGGGCTTACTGTGACAGTGACAAGCCATCTCGTTCAAGCACAAGGTAAACCTATGGCAATCATCTTAACCATTGCTTTAAAGAAGAGAGAGACGCGGACACTGAAACTATTGTGTCCGTCTTTTTGGCAGTGAAAGGTGGGTGCTGCATTCAACAGCGAAATATGCAGCAACTGTAATTGCTGAGACTGGACTCAAGAAGCTGTCAAGTGAGACACTGACAAAAGTTGCGGAACAAGTGTTGTCGGAATTTCAAAGCACTGGACTCGAAATCCCTCCGCCGTTCTTCATGAAAGCTCATCGATGGTGGGTGGATTCAGCATACATAATCTCATTCTTTATGAAAGCCTTGACATTTTGAATTGATCATCGGTAAACAAATGCAATTTACTTACAGCTATTGCTAATTTTCCAGGGGAAGTGCTTTTCCGGGGGCGAGCATAGCGGCTGAAGAGAGATGCCTGTGGTTTGGGGAGAAAAAAGTAGCCATTTGTGGGGACTTCTGTGTTAGCCCAAATGTTGAAGGTGCAATACTCAGTGGACTGGCTGCTGCTGCAAAGCTTTCAGCTTCACTCTCACTTGTCCATAGTTTGTAGCTTAAACAAACTCGACTGAAATTTATGTAAGAGGTGTGCTACCCTTGTTATCTTTTTTCAATTGTGTCGAGCCAATAATTATAAACCAAAAGTACCAATGTGATAACACCTCTTAAATCAAATGTTTGTAGACAATACCATATAGATTCTCTGGATTGAAGGCTTACAAATGACACCTATCAAATTTGGCATTTGTTGTGACAATATAACACCAATCTCATTAATGATCAGAACTCCACTTAACTAGTTAACTTTCTTCCACACATAAAAACTATTTTACTAAAACTCATTTACAAGACAAAAAGAATACCGTCTGCCAAACCTTTATCAACTCAAAACTATTTTGCTGAAGAAACAAAGAAAAGAAAGAGCTTGCCTCTAATGTACACACAAGAAAAAAGATGATAAGGCAAGCTCCAAAGAGAGGTCAAGTTTCCTCCTTTTTCACTCATCTCATATTTCCTTATATACACACATCCCAAACATGACCACATAGATTGAACTTGATCAATTAATGGTAGTGCCCATCACAACGTAGAGATATATGCTCCATCAATAAGAAGTGGTAAAGGTGGTAGTTGCATTTGTTGACGTCAGGAATGTCAAGGTTGCATTTGATGAAGTGGAAAATGTGGTGTTTGCATTCGTTGACGTTCCGGAGGAGGAATGGTCATTGTGGTTTTCAGAGTCGTACGGAGAAATGTCGTAGGGAGATGATGATGGTGATGTTTTTGCTTCAGAAGGCTTCCCCGTTGCAGTTGATTGACGTTGCCTCGCCTTAGTAGGAGGTTGAGCACGTACCTTGAGGTCCATGAAGTCAGATATGAGACCAGGCTTTGATATCATACTGTCATCGACCTCCTTCTCCCCAGTCAGCATCTTTACTACCGTTGACATGGAAGGCCGAAGCTTGGGAGCATCTTGAGTGCAGAGTAGGCCAATCTTCATATACTTACAAGCCTCCTCAGCATCAAAATCACCATTAAGGGCCGTGTCTACCAGTGCTATGAGCTCCTTGCGCTCGTACAACTGCCATGTCTGCATGATTAGGAGAAGAGTTAGGCCTAGAACATAGGACCTCTTAATCATCAGAACCCTAATAGCACGTTAAAACCAGCTCATCCTAATTTATCGAGTTGCTAAGGAAGTATAAAACCCAACCAATCAAAACTCAAAGATAAGCACTCTTCCATATTTTGACTCCTCTCTCCATTTCCCCAACTTAGAAACCATTCCCATGTCCATATGCACTTCGAAATATCCTATCTTTCCATCTCTCTCTAGGCTGTACTCAAACTATTCATAATATGATATCATGAATTTCTTGTAATCCAAGGAAGACAACCACAAAAACATGGAGGACAAAAGAAGGATGGATTATCCACATATGCAACTAGTAAGTAGCATGAGCGAAAGCTTCCTGATGTATGTGGCTAGATGGTAAAGTTTTCATACCCGTTCTAAGAGGTATTGCTCTTCAATTGGCAATCGTGTGTTGGTATTGCATCTCCCACTGACTATTTCCACGAGCAGGACACCAAAACTGTATATGTCTGCTTTCCGTGTCAACTGTCCCCGTATTGCGTACTCTGGTGCCAGATACCCTCTGCAACAACAAAAGCAGATATAATGCCCCATAAACATCTATTCTAGAACCGAAGATGTAAACACAGCAGCTCAGAATTAGACATCAGCAGAGGTAAATTTGAAATCCAATGTAGGTTGGTTAAAGGACTTTCCATCTAGTTTTGACCTTGTGTCGACAAAGTATAATATTGAAAGACGTGGGGAACAAGTTCAAATGCATCAGAGAAATGGAACTCACATTGTCCCAGCGACGCGAGTGCTGACGTGGGTCATGTGTGATGGGATCAACTTGGCCAGACCAAAATCTGCAATTTTGGGTGTTAGATCTTTATCCAGGAGAATGTTGCTCGCTTTGATGTCTCGATGCACTATATATGGTCGTACTTCCTCATGTAGGAAAGCTAGTCCCCTTGCTACTCCAATGCAGATTTTAGTCCGTGTTCTCCAATCAAACTGAATATTGATGTAAGATCCACCTGTAAAACAAAATGGTATTTGAGCACTCAAAATCACAACTTCAGAGGCCAAACTGCAATTTAGTAACGAAATTGGCTGAAGTAGAAAGAAACTACTGTAAGCATACCAAGAAGTGTTTGAGCCAAGCTATTATTCTCGAGATAGTTGTAGACCAAAATTCTGTGTTGTCCTTCAACGCAGCAGCCATAGAGCTTAACCAGATTCTCATGCTCCACCACTGAGATGGCTTTTATCTCTGCTAAGAACTCGCCTACCCCTTGTCTTGATTCAGCCGAAAGAAGTTTTACTGCCACAAGTTTCCCATCTTTAAGACGTCCCTGAACATTAAGTAGCATTTGGTGTAAGGTTGTAGATTACAAGGAAATGAGACAAACAAGGAATAACATGCAATCTGAGTTTTACCTTGTACACAGAACCAAAACCACCCTCCCCTATTTTATTAACAGGGCTGAAATCGTCAGTCGCGTGTCTCAATTCCTTGTAGGAGTAGGTTTTAACATTGTGAACACCAGCAAGTTCTGCTTTTCAGAAGGGAAACATAGTAAGATATACTAGTTCACTAGTATACACAGAGCAGTCATACATCAAACACACTTCATGTGCAGCCTTACCGTTCTCTTCTTCAGCATCATGTCGTTGTGAAGAATCGAGCCTTCGACTTCGACCAAAGAAGGAAAAGCAAGTCATAACTGTTGAGACACCAAGGGAACAGCCTAGGTTGGTAAACCTTCTGGCTTCTACAAGTGTGCTGAATCAATGACTTTGAAAACCCAACCTGGATAATGAAAGAAACATAATGCAATCTTAGTGTATGTTGCAGCAGTATCAAAACAATCAAACAGGTAAAATATTGAGCGATAAAAAAAACCCACTGAACGGTGCCAGTTATGCCATTAGGCCATCCTATGCTAACATCATTTCCATGGATGAACTAATAAAGCTTAAGAACAAGATGTTGCTGTGCTTCTGATCCTATCATTTCAGAAGTTCAAAGCAAGCATTAGAATTACATCATCAACTGGCTCTAACCCAACAATGCACTTGTTCTCCTATAAATATATTTTTTGTTCAGTTACCAATTGCCGAAGAACCCAGGAGATCCTAGAACGCTACAATTAAGATTACCAGCACAAGAACAGAAAATGAAAGTCGTAAAGTTGACTACTTTGCACATACAACAAGATCTCAGGAAATAGAGGATACGACATAACCCAACATCTAGGAATCTCCAAACTATAGGGAAACGCCAAAACCACTTCAACCCGGCAAAGAAAAGAAGACAAATTTAATTAGCAAACTATAAACAGATGGAAATGAAGCAATACCCAGAAGCCAAAACTAGCCAGAGAAGGCAGAGAGAAAAGGAGAAAGGGAATCAGAATGGAAATGAAGTGGATGGATAGAAGAACGAACCCCTTTTGTATATCAGTCAATCGGGTTGAAATTTCAGAAGCAGATGTGTGAAAGACAGCAGTCTTCAGATTTGAATATTAGAAAGAAAGGGGAAGCGATGCCGGAAAAAGAAACAGAGCCGCGGTTGGCGAGGGGAAGAGAGTATTTGATAAGATTATGGTGTTTGTTGGGTGGTTTGCCGAGGAAAGAAGATCAGGGGAAGACTTAATTTAACAGCAGCAGCTGCTGCAGAATTGTCAACCCGCGGTGGCCTTTCGTGGAATAGAAAAAAATACGAGCTGCTTGACTACAACAGGGAGGGAGCTGCTTTTGCTTACGTGCTGTGCTGCTGTTGCAGAAATTCCCACCGCTTTCCAAGTTGCTGCTGCCAGCCTCGTTTGTTTGACCCGAACCATAAAGGCGTTTGCTTTCGTTTCAAGTTCGTTCGGGAGAAAGAAAGAAATTCTTCCCAGGTGAACAAAGACAACACTATTTAGTATTTAGTATTTACCGTTGATCGCTATAGAAGAGTAACTAACTGAATATAAATATCATTGGTCAACGATCTTGATAATTGTTTAATAACAGGGACTGTTTTGTAACAACCCTCATAATTGGGTGACCAATCAAGTCATTTTACTCACCACTAACCCATGGCGGGAGTTGGCTGCCTTTTTCAGTTCCTTCCCTCACACACCTCCCAAATCCTAAACCCTTCCCATTCCCACTCTCCCATAATAAGCGGGAAACTGAAATAAATTTTCAGCCAGAAAAGCTTTTACCCGCCGCCTACCTCCAAACCCTCAAAATTGAAAATAAAAAGACCCAACCCTTTTTGGCAAATCTAGTGTCTTTTGATTCGTTTCTCACCTCCCCAGAATTTTGAATCCGCGCGCGCGAGAGAGAGTGAGGAAGTATGAGAACTGTGAAGCGGGAACGCAGTACTGGCAGCGCCGCCGCCGGAATTAGAGGGAGCGGCGGTGGCGGTGGAGGTGGAGGTGGAGGGAAGGACCGAGTTCTCAGGGAGATAAAGCGGGAGCGAATCCGAGTTAACTCGGAGACGGCGACGGCTGCTGAGGAGGAGCCGCACGTCGAACAAGGCGTCGAGGAACGGAGAATCCTCCGCTCCAAGTATCGCGCCTTGCGCCATAGAATCGACGGTACGCTGTTTTTATCTTTGGTTTCCAGCTTTCGTTTCCATTCTTTTCTGTCTCTGTCTTCAATTTGTTGATCTCGTTTTGTAGAGGAGAGGGACGATTTGACTAATGTGGATTCGAAGACGTTCGGTTCGTTCATCAAGGAGTTTGATACTCTGCACAAAGACGGTACTTGCTCAACTCCATATTCCGCTTTTCAGTTTTTAATTTATTTCTCGTCAGTCGAGTGCTCTTGGTTCTCGAGAAAATGGATTGAAATTGAATACCCATTCGTTTGAAAATTCCCAGTTCGGAAGCCGAGGGAGCAGGTTGCTGATGCGGAAGCATTGCTGGGATTAACTACAACATTGGTTACCTCTGTGAAGGCGCGTTCGAGTGACGGTATTACAGTTGGAGGGTTTGTCACTAAATTGATGAACTCTTTTGGGCACTCCACACCGACATTAGGCGATGAAGAGAACTCCCCAGTTTCAATCGCTTGGAAGGAGATTGGACTATTTGTTTCTCCTGCGTTTAGGAGATGCAGTGGGTTCAGCACCATGTGAGAGCGAAGCTTTTATTGTTTTAAAACCATTTCCATATTCCATAGACAGTTTTGGTTCTCTTCGTGCTGTATGGAACATTTAATCATTTCTGTTTTCTGTTTGCAAAAGGTTGGGGCCAATGAACACTGAGATGAAGCTAAGGAAGCATAATGTAACGCAGAGGCCTCGAACGAGGCCGGGGCAAAGTACACGTCCTGAAGAAGTAATGTTCTGTTTGCTTCTTGTCCTCTTTACTTTTGATTAATGTTCATATTGGTCAGTGAGAGTTTAAATTGGCCAAGTAAAGGAATGTAAGTAGTTGCCAATTTTAAGTGTCACGGGCAAATGGAGAATGAGCTAAGTCTTATTTATCATCTGTTTTGTCTGCATGGATATGCATGCTCTCTGTTTGCTCCTCATTATTATCAAGTTAAACTCCTGAGAAAGGGAACTGTGGGCAGCCATGCTCTAAATGTTATGAGATCGCTTCATTGAGTAGATTCTTAGATGGAATTGGTCTTTGCATATTCATTCGAGTGATAGTCTTTTCTAACACCATTTTTGGTCTGCTAGGTTGATGATACTGGAGCAGAAGAGAGAACAGATACTGATAAAAATATGGCTGCTATGTTTGGGATCTTGAAGAGCAAGAAACGTGTAAGGCTCGATTGTTTGATCCTCAATAGAAGATCATTTGCCCAGACTGTGGAGAACCTGTTTGCACTTTCTTTCTTGGTGAAAGATGGCAGAGTTGAGATAGTTGTGGACGAAGATGGCAATCATTTTGTCTGTAAGTTATATATGAATCTTCATTCTTCTGCATAATTATTCATGCATCTCTTGTTTCTTCTTCAATACCCCATTTTTCATGTTTTACTCCTGTTCAGTACCAAGAAATGCACCAGCTTCTGAGTCTGTAATGTCAAAGGAGGTAGCATACAGGCATTTTGTCTTCAGATTTGACTTCAGAGATTGGCAGGTAAGACTCTTGAGATGGAATTTGAAGATGCTTTTTCTTAAGTTTCTTTTTTTTTTCCATTAAGGTTACTAACATGGTTCTCTCCTGCTACTAAATTTCCAGATGATGATTGCTGGGGTACCTGATGGTGAAGAACTCATGCCCAATAGGGATACTGAATCTTCTGCTGCTGACATGAGCCAAGGTACTGCTGCAGACAATATGCCCCCAGGTACTACAGCCCACACTGAAGATGCACAGCCTCGAACACCAATACGTAAACTGACAAGGAACCGTGGGCTGGTTGTCCAGAATGACACGGTAGAGGAGACCCCACAAGGCGAAGAAGAAGACGAAGAAGAGGAAGATGGAAATGGTGCTCGAAAAGGTCTCCATCGATGTAAGCGCAGACTTGTGTAAGGGAGGCAATCTGGGTCTTATGTATATGACATTTATATTAGATCTTATGCAGTTGACTATTTGGGTGTCTTAGGTTATAACTTTCGATTTGGCGCTCGTCTTGATTTGGTGTCTAACCTAAAATAGCCTAATGAAATGTGCACTGTTTAGTTCATGCTAGAACGGACTCAGGTTTTGCGCCGTAGAAACTCGGTCTTGTTGTTTGATTGAAATCAAGATGGTATCATTCTACGAGTGGTTTTGTAATGTGCAATTAGTTGGCTATGATCTGGGCAGTGTTTTAGCAGCATCTGGTTGTGGATTTGCAGAGTCTTTATCATTTCTACATTGTAATGTACTTGAATTTTATGTAAATCTATCTCTGATGAACTAGTTTATGATGTGTAAATCCTCTTTGTTAGTATTTGGTGCATGCAGTAGTAATTTGAAGAACTTTCACTATACACTTGGGAAGTTGTTTCATTGAGATACGCTGGACCAAAAACAACTATCAACAACGTTGCTACTATTACTAGAGTCATGTACATAAACCAATTCCCAAGTCGAAGTATGAACCAGAATCTGGACCGTCTCCTCCTAACCCACTACCGGTTTCATAGCAAAGCCCTGTGTTGCTGTGAAGCTTGAGCTTCCTTCTCATCCTCCAGACCATCTCTCTTCCAAATGGCACAGTGCCACTCAGTTCATTGTCGTTTAATCTCAACTCCGACAGGATCCTCAGTTCCCCGATTGCCTTTGGGATCGAGCCATTGAGTTTGTTGCCGTCTAGGTGAACCACTCTCAGGCTCGTCAACCTGGCCAGTGACTCTGGGATCGGACCTGACAGGTTCATGTTGGACATCACTAGAACTTGCAGTGCCTTCATACCTGTTTCGGGGATTTAGGATGACAAGAACATATTAGATTTTGAAGTTTCTGAGTACTGAAATGCAATTTTGCCAATAGAGGAGATTTTCAATCATTTGAAATGGGGAAAACGAGAAAGAGACACAACTCCTTTCTTTCTTGCAAACCATATTGAAAGCGCCATTATTGTCACAATTTGCAACATAAAAGGAGTAAATTGTTAACTTAGCAGCTTCATTTCAACCACTACCTTCAAACTCAGTGCCAGCAAGAGCGGTGGACCACAACGGGTTGCCCTTGAGAATCAATGCTTGCAGAGAAGTTAAGCCTCTGATGGTCGCCGGGAGTGGGCCGGACAGCCGGTTGTAGCTCAAATCCATGAGGATAAGCTCCTTCAAGCCGCCGATGGCATCTGGAATCGAACCGGTGAGACGATTGCGGCTAGCATCGAGCTTGATAAGTCGATGGCTCGAGACGATGGTGGCTGGGATTGAACCCTTGAGGAGGTTTTGGCTCAAGTCCAGCACATTCATGGAAGAAAACGTGACCCCGGGTATCGAACCCGTTAACTTGTTGCCGCTCAAATCCAATGACTTCAACCCGTCCAACCGGCCCAACTCAACCGGTATCGAACCGTTAAGGTTGTTCCTGTGGAGATCAAGAACCCTGAGCCGGCTGAGGTTCCCCAGCTGGCTCGGGATGGGACCCACATGACCGTTCTCTCGAAGAACCAGGGTCTGCAAAGTGGGTCCTAATTGAGCCAGAAAGGAAGGAATTGGTTGTGGATTGTGGGTCAGGCAGCGGTAGAAGAAGAGGGTTCTCAAATGGGGGAGCCTGGTCACCGAGCGAGAAATGAACGACCTGAAGGGATCACACGTCGGGAAGGCGGTCTCGTCCGACAATGCTCCGAACGACAGCGACACCACGTGGAAGACGTTGTCCTTGTCGAGGACGCACTCGATCCCATGCCACCGTCCCCTGCAGACGTCGGGAATGTCCGTGGCCCAATCGTTGCCCGTCGCCCTCATCACGTCGTAAACCGCTTCCTGCTCGTTCGGCTCGGTCCGAGCACGGTTTGTGTCCGGGGAGAACTGACCCGGTTCGATACGGTCGGCCAGACCGGTTTGGTTGTTGGAGTCGGACACGATGATGGTGAAAGAGGCAATGTGAGTGAAATGAAGGAGTGTTATGAATAGTAGGAGAGGCAAAGAGGAAAGTTGTGCCATTTTTGGGAGGAGTTTGGGAGCTCTGAAGAAAAGTGCAGGGTTTTGGAGGTTCTTTCTGTGGTTTATATATATGTGGGAGAGGATGGCAGAAGAAGTTACTGCAAAATGGGGCATAGAGCATTGGTGGCTTGGTGGGCGGGGGAAGGAAATGTGGTGGTGGATTTAGCCGCAAGTAATAATGGGTTCACGAGAAGTATGAGACAGAGGGATTGTTGAGAAGTGAAATAAATAGGGTTTGGGACCGAACTGCAAAAAGAAATTGGAATGTTAAATGTTCTTCTTTCCGGCCCTCTGCATTTATGTGCTTCACGGGAATTCTCTGCCCCTTCTTCAATGTTTGATGCTTTTGAGTTCTATGGAACCAGTCGTGACAACAATCCCTTCACTTTCATCCCTGTGGAAGGTAACCACAGTGATTGATTCGAGTACAAAGTGGAGGATTTGGAATTTGGATTCAATCAGTAAAATGGGTACTTGCTCTGAATTCTGAAACCAAACCTCAACTCTATGACGAACCCTGGTCGTAGTCGCGATTCGAGGCAAGTGACATCATTGTCGTCGTTGGTTATGTCAACTAGGGTCACAACAGTCTCGTAGCAGATTCTTGTAACCAATCAAAACCACCCATCATCGTGTCGATTAGTCATTCACAACGATTTAGCAAACTAAAGTGTCGTCTCAAGCTAAGAAAATTCACATAATATCAAGGTGACATTATGTATTGGTAAAAAAAGTTGACCTCCTTAAAATCCTATGTTCTTCCTCTCGGTGCACAAAACTCATCATTGGGCCCTGGCTCATCGAGCTAGGCCTAGTACAGATCATTGCGAATCTTGGGCTCTTTAAGCGTATACAAAAATTATAACATATAGACCCCCTCAAGTTTTGTACAATCCAAAACAGTCCAAAAACTTTATATCCTTCTCTTCTCTGTTTCCACTTTGTCACTCTTCCCTTGGTGTCACCACTCACTCACCACCCAAGTACACCCATATATCTGATTTCTCAAAGGAAACAACAAAAAACACCATTCATTAATAGCTGAACTCGACGGTTTCGCAAAATCTTCCTACCGGTAAAACGACCACAAAAGCAATCTGCTAGCTAAGCACGATAATCGAGGAAAAGCTGGAGCTTTTGCACCAGCAACTCCCTCGATCCGTGAAGGGGCTTCCCGTCTTTGATCCAATCCTTCTCAAGCAGCCCTGCTTTGGCGCTAGCCACCATCTCCTTGTAGAAAGTGGACACAATGCAGTAGATGGAGGTCCTGAGCACGTCAGCAATGGCATATGCATTCGAGTGTAAGGGGCCGGCTGTCCTTTTGGAAATCATCGGAGGAACATCTCGTTTCCCTGTGTTCAGAGCAGCCCATCGAATGCCAGCTGGACCAAGCAGTTGGTGTGGAGATTGCAGATGTGTTTTCTTTCCCATGAATGCTTCAACAGCCAGCAGGGAAGATAAGAGAGTTGAGAGGGTGGCTGCAGTGCTGCCAGAGAGCTGAGCCACGCCATATCGGTCTTCCTTGTGTGAATGCGCAGTCAGGGAAGAAATGGCCCTTGCACACCATGAAATTTTCTGCAAGAAAGATAAAGTATCCCTGTTAAAAAGAGCAAAAAGAACATATTCTGGGTTTGTTTCGACTTAGAAGGTGAGTAACTTAAAGAAGCGTTAACCTATAGGCTGAAACGAGCACCCTTCTTCATCTAAATCCTTTGAACAACTATCCATGGTGGAAAGTATAGATCCTAACAATCAAAACTACTACTTAAATTTTTTCCACCCCACTTTTTTTGTCTTCGTTTCGTCAGTCCATATCTTCATATGTTCACATAGAGAAACTGCTATAGTGAATAACCTTGTTTAGTAACCTCGTTATGCACACTTGACCAGCCAACAAACCCTGATCTCAATATCTGTTTGCATGTTGTCAAGAGATAATGCACAAATGAATGATTTACCAAGTCAACATTGTTGCATCAGATAACCAGCTTTGATAATTTCAAAGACACTTGAATCCTACAGGACTGAAATGTGAAATCGATGAGATAAAATCATCTGCATAATCATCTACCTGAAAGTTGTTAAGTGGTTTGTAAATCCTTGAAGGTAGTTGTGGATCGGAAGCTGACAGCAACTGTTTAGATAACTGGTCTTCAGGTGAACCTTCCAAACCTTCACTTAACTTGGAAGCAAGCTCTTCCAATGGCCTCAAGCTCACAGCTGTGACTTTCCTGTAAGTCTCACCAGTTTCTTCAAAAAATGCAGCTCTCCTCCACATATCGACATTGTTTTCACACACCATGCAGAGATCGAGATATGCAAGATACCGTGGTAGAGAATCAGAGGCAGTTTCCTCCAGTGCTGAAATAAGAGTTTCAGTTGGATTTGTTTCTGCAGCAGCTGATCCTTTCGGTGGGGCATATACGAACCTCTTTGTATGTAGCACCTACAAAAAGTAATGGTGAAATCAAAAGGAGATAGTGGTTTCCCCTATCTTCATCTTATCATTTATAGTACTTCTAATTCTAAACAGAGATGAAAGGTTATGGGACTTTCAAAGGGTGAAGCTATCTAAGAGATAGAACACAAATACCTACGAACAATCTTATTAGATTATATCAAGTTGAAGTCAGAAGGACATGGGAGATTTGACATACAAGTAGAAGACCAAATGATGACGTTACTAAGCATAAAGGATAGTTCTTCAATGATTCTACCCCATTGAATTGCATACTGCTACACTACTACTTGTCATGCTTAAATGTCGAGCTAGAAATGTCAACTTCCTCTCGCGGCATGAGTTTGTTTCCTTTCATCAGCTGTTTAAATTCAGAGGAGATGCAGGATACTAATTGAAGAATAAAGTCCGTCAAACAGAAACATGTTCCCCTTTCACTAACCTGTGGTTCTATAAATATTAAAGTTTCATACAGCAAAGCAAGGAGTAAAAGCTACCAACAAACAACTAGCTGCGAACAATACACATCTACTACTATGGCAGATTACTTATGAGAGCGGAAGATGTGGAGGATAAATTCCTAAAAGTAAGGAGATGCCAACCTGGTGTAGAAGATGACTTAGCTCCCAACAAAGAAGCATACAGAAAATCCCCAGGTATAGAGTACACCGGTTGAGAAGGAATTGCGTTGTTGTCAATGCACTGAGACTCGCCTCACCAAAAGACAGCATCAACATCAGTACAGATGCAAGAGTGTACCCAGTAGTCGAAAGCCTAAAAGCACGGCCAATAGCTGCAGGAATCCCCATTTTGAAGCTGAAGAAAGGAGGACGCTGTTTGACAACAACAACAACAACAACAACAACTCAAAAGTCATTCAACCCAATCAGACCTCAGCTGCTCAGCACAGCAGTAGTATTACAATTTACACAGCAAATGACAACCAGAGATTGAAGGCAGAGTAACTTCGGACCTGAATAATGGGGAAATGAAGAAGCCATCTCCGATTATTGGCAAAATGTAACGCATAAAGCAGCCCAATCACAGAACCCCTAAACCCAACTACCGCAATCGCTTCAATCTCGCCACCACCAACAACCCTCCCACACATGGCCACCGCCGACACGAACCCGGAAAAGCAAGCTGCCGCCACGTATGCGGCGATGTTGAGAGAAACCTTGGCGCGGCGGCGAAGGTCGGGAGAAGAGGAGTTCCCGGAGACGAAGAGCAGACGGAGGAAGGAAGTGGCGAGCTGGAAGAAGGAAGCTGGGGGAACGGGCTGCGGAGAGGATATGGCGGCGAGTGAAGCGGAGAGGATGAGCTGGGAGAAATGGAAGGCTGTGAAGGAGAGAATCGAAAGGACGAGCGACTGAACGGAGAAAGAAGAAGAAGAAGAAGAAGAAGAAGAAGAAGAAGGGAGAATGGAGAGTTCGATGAGTTTGTAGGAAAAGAAAATGGCGGTGGAGGAGATGGATTGCCATATCAAGAACCCTAGGAATCGGTTCTTCGCCACCACTTCCGGCAGTGGCCGAGGAGGAGACATTTTGTCGGAGGGTTTTGAATTGGGGAAGAACTGAAGAAGAAAAAAAGAAGAGAAGAACAATGAAAAAAAGGGTTTTGGTACCTGTAGTAGTAGTAGCTTCTTGAGCAAGCGGGAAGAAAATTTCGGGCAAAATAGCTTGAAGGCCACTGGAGTTTCCACGTATTCACCAATTTGTCATAAATTAAAATATGTTGGCGTTTTCATACTTTTTTTCAATTTTTAGAGTAACTAATGAGAGGCTGTTTCGAATTTTTCAAGTTTACTATGATTTTTTTACCATTTTACCATAACTTCTAGACATACATCATACCAAAATATTATAGACCCGCACGATTTTGACTTGGGGTGCATAATAAGCTGACTTTCCGAGAGGTCATCCATTCGTGTATGGCTCCACATTCCACAATAAGTACGTTTAATTTCAGAGTTCTACAATAACTCTTTCATTTCACCCAAATACGTGTTTTGTTGGTTAAGGTGGATTTTTTCACTTATGAATTATGGATATCTCTCGTACTTTATCTATGTGGAATTTTACTAAGGGAAGGTGTTATTGCATACACCCATTTGATACTCAACGTCCTCGTTGAGTTTTGCTCCACCATCGCCCAAGTGGGGCGCTGAGAGAATCTGATAAGATGCGCTTTTGGATGAAATGAATTTTTGTAAGAATTCTGAAGTTAAACGTGCTCGTTGTGGAACTATGCAAATGGGTGACCATCTGAGAAGTCACCTTGATATGCACCCCCAAGACAAAAACCATGCGAGTCTAGACTCAAAGAGGACAATTTCTTAATCGGAAAAGACTTGGTTACAAAATATCCGTTTAGCCTCGTTATTTACCCAAAAAAAAAAAGACGAGTTGACAGAAATTTCATACTCTACCAACCACCACTTGTTGGTGATCAACATCATCAGTTGCTACTGCTCGATCATCATCTTCTCGCACAATCTCCACCTCTTTATGACAATAGTCAAGAGAGATTGGTTTGTACGTTATGGCAAAAAACAAATAAATCCCGAAGTCCACGACCGTCACCGCAGCAACAGAGAGGAACCATAGATCCATGTGACCCGCATTCAGATCCTCTGCAGGTATCCACCCAGGATTTTGCCCTCTCGCAGTCAAGAGCATCACCATCTTCACCATTAAGCTGCTGACGTAGTTCCCGAACGAAATGGAAGCCATGCAGAGCGAGCTCCCGAAGCTCTTGATCCCATCGGGGGCTTGCCCATTGAAAAACTCCAATTGTCCGACGTACATGAAAACCTCTGACGCGCCCACTAGAGCATACTGCGGGATCTGCCAGAACACGCTCAGATCGCTCACTTTCTCTCCTGGGATGACGTACCTCTTCCTCCATATCTCGGTGAGCGCGGCGGCAACCATGGCTAACGTTCCGATGACGAGCCCGATGCCCATACGCTGGAGCTCGGTTAGGCCCTTTGGGTTGCCACTAAGCTTCATGGCTACAGGGACGAGGACCTGACGGTAGATTCCGGTGCAGACTAAGACAGAGCATATGTCGAATGCCGACATGCTTGCCGCTGGAAGGCGGAAGTTGCCAATCTTGGTGTTCATCACGTCTCCTTGTTCGACAAAGAGGGAGGCCATTTGGGTGAAGACTACGGAGTAGGCGATGGTGCAAAGCCAAATGGGTAGCATTTTCAACACACATTTGGCTTCCTCTACTTGTGTCACGGTGCAGAGACGCCATGGGTGTGGATCTGATTTTTGGTCAGCGTCTGTGATCGTGGCCGCCTTGTCCAAGAACCTGTACGTAAGAGATAAAAATTCATTACAAATTATTTCTTGGAACTCAAAAGTGGTTTGTTCGTATCACAACCTTCATCGAGAGGTGATGGTTTTGAATCCTTATGACGACCCTCAATATAAATAATGGTTTAGCACAATGGATGATATGTTCAACCTCTGCAAACTAAAAGTCTAATGGTTTAGCACCACAAGGGATGATGTGTTCAACATCTGCAAACTCAAACTCATAAGTAGACTTTCATTTGAGAGACATGTAAGAGGTAAAAAAAATTCATATCAATCATTTCCCAAAAACTCGAGTTATTGGGCCTAATGACGATTTCGTTAATCATACTTGATTAGATAGATAATATCATGATTTATTAATTGAAAACTAAATCATCAAACATAGAGAGGATTAAAATTTACGATATTTGATTGCTATGAAGGATCTTGCGGCTGCCTTTGATAGCCGACTTTGCACCTTCAACCTCATATAGATCATCGGGATTCGATGGCGGCACGACCTTTCGCTTTCTGAATGACGCGATGAACACCTGCGCGACACGTGGCAGCGGGTTTCCGCAGGGCTTGATGTAGCGGTAATACGGTGTGCCTCCGAGGTATAGCGCGAGGGCTAAGACGGCGGAGGCAAGCGATGCAATGAATCCTATGGTCCATTTCCCGGTGTCCTCATAGTAAACGAGGACGGTGTTGGAAATTAGGGACCCAGAGTTGAGCGCGAAGTAGAAGTAGCAGAAGAATGCGGCCTTGGCATCCAACTGTTTAGGAGATGTCTCGTCGAATTGGTCGGCCCCAAATGTGGCCAGTGTAGGCTGGTGCCCGCCGTAGCCTAAGGCTACAAGGTAAATGGCCAGATAGAAGATTAGGGCGCCGGCGTTGGTTGCCGGTTGGCATTCTAGGAACCCATCACCGCAGTTCTTTGGCTTTATCAGGTACACTCCTGATGCCACTGAGATAAGCACCAACCCCTACATTCAACCAATTTTGATATTAATAGGTCAAGAACTTGAATATCATCAAATAATATTTTATGGAGGTTCATCAAATTGGCATCCATTAGGGCTTGGAAATCATGCAATCCAATTCAAATCTAACCATATATATGGTTTATGTTCAAATCAAGGAGTTGGAATATAGATTAGGGACCAGGCTAAATACTATACTGTTCAATCTATATCATGTTCGAGCGGTATGATCCGATAGAGTTCGGATAAGCCATACCATGTTTTGTAAATATAAATAGTTTGTTTTGTTCAGAGAACTAATAAACAAACTAATGTTGAAGAAGAAAAACTTGTCCTTTGACTCTAAACCTATATTGTATCATGCATTCCAAATTTTGATATCCTAAATTCAAGCATATAATAAAGACTCAAAGTCAAAGCAACCCATCTTTCAACATAACGGCATAAAGGTTGAGACTTTGATCTCGTTGGGGATTGGGGAGAGTGATTAAGTGAGCTAACATATTGAAAAGTGGGTGGGTTCACGACTTAGTGCGATAAGCAGTGATATGGACCAGACCAAACCAATAAATTAAAACAACTTGTAATGCAGACCAGGAACCAAACTGATTAATTGATAACCGTCTACAATCAGTTTCATCCATAATGTTCAAACATTTTGGTTTATTTTTCTAGCTCTAATACCTATTAACTCATGTTAGGATACAGTAATTGTATAAATAAATTACGTACCACCACAAAAACGCATTGGAAGATGCCACAGGTGAGAAACCGGCCCCAATAAGAGTCACTGAGAAAGGCACCAACGAGTGAGAATAGGTAGACAGTTCCAGTCCAAATGCTTACATCGTTAGCCGCATCTGCATTGCTTCTCCCCAACACTCTAGCTAAGAATAAAACCAGGTTCACCCCTACCCCAAAGAACGCTAGTGTCGCTAGCCCTTGATTTGCTACATCAACACGTATAATGCATTCAGTCGGGTTAATAAAAACTAAAAAGTATATCATTATAAATAAATAAATAATCTTATGTCATTTTGTAATGTATCGGATGTAACATAGCCAGTGAAAGGTTTACAAAAATGGTACCTAGCAATAACATTGCCGCTACCCAACCACCTTTTCCCTTGGCAACGTTTGGAGCGATATGCTCATCATCGTTTTGAATGGTAGTTGTTGTGTTAGTTGTAGTAACAACATGCCCTGTTTCTTCATGGATACTCTCCTGATAATGGGCTTCGATGATTCCATGGTTGTTGGAGGGTTCCATGATGGGAACAACTCACAATTGATCTGTTAATTAATTAGTTATCATGGTTCAACAAGTATGTACCGAGGAATATTAAAAAAAAATAAAGAAATTAAACTAGATAAATAATAATTTTTTTTTTTGAATTATTGTGTATTTCGTTGTACAAAATACACATACAAAAAAATTCGACATTTGGCTAGTACGGTGATTTGAGGTGTATTTTTCTTTTTCAATTCATAGTTCTATATCACTATCAGCCTGTTTGGATAGACAAAAAACTCAGGAATTGGAATTCCATTTTCAATTCCAATTCCATATTTTATGTTTGGAAGGATAAGAAGGTTGAGAAATGAATTCCATTTGGGCTAAGTTTTGGGAATTACAATTCCTATCAAAAGTGATAGGAATTGTGTTTATGAAGATGGAATTAGTGGGTCCCATCACTATTTATTATTATTTTATTAACCAACTATCACACTACTCTCTTTCTCTATCATTCATATTTCATTTCCCAAGATAAAATAAATATATTATATTATTAATTATTGTTAAAAGTGCAATTCATTTCTTTAGTTGGAGGAATTATACCAAACACTAAAATTGGAAATGGAATTCTATAAAAATAGGAATTGGAAATAGAATTCCATTTCCATTTCTTCTTGAATTGTATCCAAACAGGCTGTATATTGTTAAGATGATAGTGTGATTGTGGGATCTGATCCGTGCTTAGTACGTGTTTCGTTTGAGTATTGAGATATCCATCCAATCTCAAATACCTATCGACTCTCGTACCGTTTTTATGTTCAATTTTAAGAGTAAAGTAACTTAAACAAGGTATAGGAAACATAAACTAGTAATTCGATCTATTGCTATAAATACCCTTAAAGACAATGCCACGCAAAATAACACCACTGGGATCACGAAGTATAAATTACCAACCTCGGTATCGACGTCTTTGTGGGGAAGATGAAACGAACACTGATTGGCGATTATTATTGGGAGATGTGTATATTTATATACAACTACTCTGGCGATGGCGGTGATCCGATCATCAATAGAACAAACTCTGGCGAAGGTGATGAAGACCGAGTAGTATAAATCAAGCTACAACCAATTGTAGGCCAGGAAAGAACCAAAAATCTCACAAAATTGGACAATTCCGACGATGATAGTAGATCTTTTCTCATTTATAAGTTGACCCCACAAAACCGAATGAATAAGAGACGACAACACGAATTTTGAATTCCTTTAATTTTGCATGTAATCAACCTTGGCAGCCAAGTGGGGAAAGGGGAAAAAATAGAGGGCAAAGATCAAAGAAGTGAAAGGAAGTAGAAAATTTTAAGATTGTTTCTTCAGAAACATAGAATTTTTATTGTTGTTGATCAAATGTGTTGTCTGGAAGGAAGAGAGACAAAGTTTGTGTGGATTTATAGAAGGTGAAAGGTAGAGAAAGAATTGGTCTAATTTCTGTTGCTTATAAATCTGCTAAATTGAAGCTTCTCCTGGTTTTACTAAGGTAGATCTTATCTCACATTTTTTTACTGATCTTTCATATAATAGATCACTTCTTTCTTCTTGGTAATTTCAAGTAGACATTCCATTATGAAAACGATTCCCACCATAATTAGCCCATATTTAGCTAAACATGTGGGTAACGTGCTTCACTAACTTAATTACAACAATTTTCTTCTATGATTAACTATTTCTAGTGACTCAAATAATTGCTTCTTTTAATAATTTAATCTCTATTCATCAATTTGCAAACTCGTAGCAAATGCTTATCATAGATATACATATATGATTTTGATATGATACGTTGACAATTGAATACTGATACGATAATTGCTAATTTATGTTTTTTTTAAGCTTTGTTAGTCAAGTACTCACACCCAAAAACATATGCATAAATTAGGTGTCCAAAACTAGGATGCACCAAATCAGAACCAAAACCAAAGGGCTAAACATGTAGGATTGTTTGGAATCTTTGTTTGATCGTTACCTTTCACTCTAAAGGTTAAGTAGTAAGGCACAATCACAATGTCAAACTCTCTCAATGGAGTTAGCTGGTATACCCGATTAATTAAAGATAAAATTGTTTCATATAAGTGCATTCTCCATTTTGTTTTAATCAAACTAATATTTTGTCAAGTTCTATCGCAATGGAGTTAGCTGGTACACCCAATTAAAGATAAAAATGTTTCATGCTAGTGGATTTTCCATTTTGGTTGTAACCAAACTAATAATTTTGACTATACTAAAAAAAAAAAAACACACAGTTGCCTTACTATTTTGCGTTTGTATGTGCCAATTGCATAGAACTGAATGATAATAACAAATTAACTTTTTTCGTAACAACCGGTGCCAACTCCATCAAATCTTATACATTATGGGATTCACCAATAAACCTAATTTGTTGAGTGATACTCATGATGTTTGATTTTGTTTGTGAAAGATGAACTGGTTGCCTGAATTGAAACCCACATATGTTATAGCAACAAAAAGTCGTATTGCTTTGTTGATTAATTATCATGTTCCTACTCTAGAAATATACATGACTTCATCGTCCAATTCATCTCAAGTTTTTGACTTATCTTATATTTTATTCTCTCTCTATTCGGAGATTGCTTTGATTTCTCAAACAAATACAATTTCCTTCATTCATAAATACGATTTTTCTTCACGAATATAGCCTTTTTGATTTTCTAATCCACACAATAAAAAACATGGCAGAAGATGCATCTTCTTGCTTGATGACAATTGAGCCAAACGAGGGTGTTACTTATGATAATTTATATGCTCGCCAACCCAATTGCGCGTGCCCGGAGCTTCATATGGCACAATCAAAAAGAGAAGTAATTATCAACCATGAAATGGGCGCAAGGGAAGTGCACGAAGATATGCACGGGAAATTGGCTTATATTCATCTTTTCCAAAAAGAGTTGACGCCAAGCGACGTTGGTAAACTCAATAGACTCGTCATCCCAAAGAAATTTGCGCTTAAGTACTTCTCTTACATCCTCGAGACTCTCGAAGGAGTCACTCTCAAGCAGATGCTTAATGATGATGTGGAGATCGCGTTCTATGATAAGGCGATGAAGTGTTGGAAATTCCGATATTGTTATTGGAGGAGCAGTCAAAGCTTTGTGTTCACAAGAGGGTGGAACAGGTTTGTGAAGGAGAAGAAGCTAAAGGAAAAGGATATCATCACATTTTACAAGTGTACAACGGTTCATAATGATCATGCACAATCATTTTTCTTCATAGATGTTACTACTCATCGCAATGGGGTCAATCAAAGTTTCATGGCGGAAAAGCGGACTACTAATGTGTTGTTGCATAATGACTGGGGATTCAATTTGAGCTTGAATGTGGCTCAAAAGGAGGTGAATGAAAAGGAAGCGAGAGATGGCGATAATATGGATAGTTTGGAATCAATAAACAACCATGTAAATAAGGAAAAAGGAGTTAGGCTTTTTGGTGTCCAAATATGCTAATCCAATACATGGATAAGATATGCTTTCTATTCACTCTTACAAAAAAAAATATTTTTGTTTACCATAATTGTTAAATTTATGTTTTATTGTAAAAGCCACCTTTCAAAAAAATAAAAGTCGCGATAAAGCACATTTGACATTTTAATTATCTTACAATTTTATTTAGTTTTACATGTGATATATAGTGATATCTCTCATGACCTAATTAGAATTTATACTTACAGATTAGTGATACAAATATCACACACTAAAACATGTATTTTGGTGCATTGATGCTAACTACAACAATTTACAAATGTTAAAATCCAAAAATTCATGAGATACTAGACGAATAAGTGCAAACCCGTCACCTCATTGATACCCAAAATGTTTAAAACTAAAATAACAATAATTTGATTAATCAATACTACAATTTTATTGTTTAACCTAAAAGTACAAGATTTGAATCCCGAGAAGAACTCTCCCTTCACCTATTAACCATTTCACTAAAATTAGGGGTGGCAGTTCGGTTACCGGTTAACCGGTCGGTTAACGGTTATCCACTAACCGGTAACCGAAGTAACCGAACTTCGGTCGGTTATCGGAGGTTAGACGAAATGGTTTTTTGTCTTAAAAGTGGGTTGGTTAACCGATAAACGAGAAACCGAAGCCTATTTCGGACGATTTTCAGTAGGGGAAGTGATTATTTTGGTTAACCAATAACCGACCGATCGGTTATCGGTTATAACCGAAATGCCACCCCTAACTAAAATGGTAAAAATAAGTTCAAAACTAAACTACTCCACCTTGTATAGTAATTAATTAAGCCGTATTTCATAAGGAGAATATAAACAATTAATTAAACAGCTAAGCAGAAGAAAAATAAATAAAAATTACTGCGTTCTCTGCCTTCCCCGCCGAACAAATGTACAAGAATTTTGGTTGGATTTTGGTGGGCCCGCTCAACAATATTCCACCCGCTTAATTCAAGAATCCCTCGATTTTTTCATCAGAAAATAGAACCCCTCGATTTCTCCTCCCAAAACAGAGGCTTAAATAAAGCTCTAAAACCCTTCTGGCCTTCTCCAGTTACTCCGTCCGGCCGGTGAAATCCATTTTCCTCTCACATCTTCACTCCCTCGATCTACAAGTTGGCTCTCATTCTTCAGCTGAGGTAACCCGACACCACTCTCTTTCTCTCACTTTCCTTCTCTCGATTGAAGAACTAGGCGGAATGTAGGTTGTGTAGATTCAAGCGGAGTCTAACCCAGATCCTTCAGATATGTGTACAGCCTAAGATGGGCTACTCTTTTCCGAGTTTTTTTTATTACTGTTCTGGGTTGTTGAGGGTTTTCATAGTCCCGCGCTTTCTCAGGCTGAAATCTACATTTCGAGTAGACTCTTGGGTTATAGTGCGAGTTGTAGGTGGTCAAAACTACTCAGTTTACTTTCCGCTAATTGCATGCATGCTCTTCGGTCTTTTTCCCTTGCTTTAACATTCGATTGGGTTTGTCATTTCTGGGTTCGGAGTCCATTTCTTGCTTTATCTTTTCTCATTACCCAAAAAAATGAAGCTGGAGATGTGGAGGAGAACTGAGAATGATGGGTTCAAATTCTGGGTATGGACTCGTTTATGTGTATTACATGGCGCAGTAGGCTATAACACCGGGTTCTCTTTAACTAGTCGCCATTACCATTTCCGTTTACGTTGCTGATGCGGGAGCTCCTCGTATGGTAATTGAATAGCTAATATACGGTGCAATGATCTTAAAATCTGATCTTTTTTCATCCCATCTCAGCAGGTTCAGTTCATTAAGAATGGCTGCAACTGCCACCTCTACTCTGCAAATTGCAACAGCAAGGTCATGCATGTCTTCTCCTCGAAAGCTGGTGAAGGCCGGTGCCGCTGTCCTTGGAACCAGTTCTAAACAGTTGTCGTGGTCTAAGCTTGCAAGTTCTTCAAGTGTTTCGTCAGTACAACCATTGCAGAGATCGTTCATGAAATCATCTGTTAGGTCCTGTAAAGTTGCTACCAAGGCTATGGCTGAATCTGGTGATACTAAGCCAGCTCCTGGACTGCCGATAGATTTGCGAGGTATTCATGTCTCTTCCTTGATGAAAACCCTGATGGAGATTGGATTTAATGACTATTATTTACCCATTCCAAACCTCAGTGACAAGTCTGTTGAAAATCAAAATTAAGTGGCCCCCTTTGTGTATTTAAACCTTTGAAATGGTTGCCTCTGTTAAAATAGAAGCCCTATAATAACCACGTAACATGCTTCAAAGAATTGCTAAGTGCTTCTACTCTGTAGGCAAACGGGCATTCATTGCTGGTGTGGCTGATGATAATGGGTATGGTTGGGCTATCGCAAAATCTCTGGCTGCTGCTGGTGCTGAAATACTTGTTGGAACCTGGGTGCCTGTGAGTAAATTTTGACTGCTGCCTTGCTGACTATCTTTTTTCCATCGGCAGGGCAGAAGTATCTTAACCAAATTGAAACTACTTTTTGCAGGCTTTGAACATCTTCGAGAGCAGCCTGCGACGAGGAAAGTTTGATGAATCACGCGTGTAAGATCTTCTTGGCGCCTGTTCAATGTGATCCTGATATAGAAATCTGCTTCTGCAATGTATCATAACACACATTTAATTTATAGGCTACCGGATGGCTCGTTGATGGAGATTACCAAAGTATATCCGTTGGATGCTGTGTATGACAAGATGGAGGATGTCCCTGAAGATGTAATACATGAAAACAATATATTTGTGTGTTAGAGGCCATATTTTACCTGCTGTATGTTCAACTCATTAGTTTTTTTGTTTTTCTCCCGTTTTTCTTTGTTGCTTTGCACAGGTTAAAACAAATAAGCGTTATGCAGGATCTACTAACTGGACAGTTCAGGTAGGTCTTCCCCTTCCACTCATGCATAATTTTTCTTCAGGACCTTCAAGATGCTCATAATTAGCGATATTCTGTTATCTCTTATAACCTGGAATATTTTCTTCAAACTATTTCTTCAGTATAAACATTTTGACGTGTTGTGTTTCACATAATAATTAGACTAATAGGGGATAACAAACATTTAGCCCATCCTGGATGTAATTACATTGGTTGAGAGATCAACTTGATGGTGACAATTTACGGGCATGTATCCTGCAGGAAGTGGCTGAGTCTGTGAAACAGGATTTCGGCAGCATCGACATCCTTGTTCACTCACTTGCGAATGGCCCCGAGGTAATAACTTTCTGATCACGAAAAATCTATTCTCATCATTATCAAATGGAGCATACTAACAATTCCTCAAACTAGTAGGTAACCAAACCTCTTCTGGAGACATCAAGGAACGGTTACCTTGCAGCACTATCAGCCTCAAGTTACTCCTATATTTCACTATTGAAGCACTTCCTTCCAATAATGAACCAAGGTATCTTATCCTGCATTACTGCAATTCTCAGACTCAAACTGTTCTCATCTTTTCTGCAAGTAATTCCTATTTTCCTTGCAGGTGGCTCTTCAATTTCTCTAACATACATTGCATCTGAAAGGATCATACCAGGGTATGTATTGTCCCTTAGAAAATTCGAATCTCGTAGCTGCCAGTTAATCTACTATTGTGTCATTGTGTGTTTAGGTATGGTGGAGGTATGAGTTCTGCCAAAGCTGCACTTGAGAGTGACACGCGAGTGAGTACATAGCTCATTTATGTGCGCATTTGTTGCATACATATCCAATGGACTTATTAATCTTTATCTATATTTTTTCCTGATTTTTTTCAGGTGCTTGCTTTTGAGGCAGGGAGGAGGCGAAAAATTAGAGTGAACACCATTTCTGCTGGTATCTTTCAGTTCCCCACTTTCTTGTTATATTACTTCTTCTGCTGGTGATGCCTCCGTAAATTACGTGCATTGCTGGTCCTTTAGGAAATAATGCTCATTTACACAAGAAAAATTAGAAGTGCTGTTCTGTTTCATCATTCTTGAAAATATTCATTTAGTCTGTACTCTGTAGACGACCCAATGAAAAATATTGAATGTTCAGTTGATTCCATCACTTTTAGATAGGCTTGCTTGTTCTCTGAATGAATATCTATCAAATAACTTGTTAACGACTCAAACTTCCTTGTGCTAACCCTGCAGGTCCTCTCAGGAGTCGAGCTGCAAAAGCAATCGGGTTCATTGACACGATGATTGATTACTCATCTGCCAATGCACCTCTACAGAAGGAACTCTCTGCAGGTGATTAATTGATGAGTTCATCCATTCTTTTCATTAGATTAAGTTCTTCTTCCTTGACCACATCACGATTAACTTGGTGCTGGTGAAAACAGATGAGGTAGGCAATGCTGCTGCATTCCTGGTATCGCCTCTAGCCTCGGCCATAACTGGTGCTGTGATATACGTCGATAATGGCCTGAACGCAATGGGGGTGGGAGTAGACAGTCCCATTTTCAAGGACCTTGACATTCCAAAAGCCGAGCACTAGCACCTAACCATCCCTCCAAGACGGCCCGGGTTCTTTCATGTATTCTGTTTGGTGAATCTTAACAATTAGCGTTTGCATCGGATCGATTGATTGATGATGCCGGCAGCCTGGTTTAGTATGAGAATGTAGTTGTAGTTGTGGGATTCTACCATCCAGCTATATGCTGAAGGTTTGGTCCTGGTTGCAGAAACTTCTGTGTTTTTCGTTCTTTTTTTGTATGGTGTGACAACTTTGGCACTCCTTGTTTCTGTATCTCTTGACATTTAGATGGTTCTTAGTGGAAGTGCAGGGCAAGTAAATGAAGAGGGGCAAAAAAACTAATAAGCTCCCCCTTAAATTTCATATTTGCCTAGTATGGGTTGGATTGAGTTACAGTAATGAGTTGGGTTTGACTAGAATATGTATGAATTAAACCGAGTTGTTCTAGTCTAAGTTTATATGGTCTCTTTCAAGTGTTAATTATTGTGTTGGCATGCTAGTGTAAAGACTATTGAAAGATAAATTTAACAAAGATAGTCGAAATGACTGTCATTAGTTATCATTTCAAGTCTATTGATACATTTAAAAAAAAGCAAATCAATGACCAAATATAGTAGTATTCAAACAAAAGATAAGTAAACATATGTGATTGGCCTTCATGGTTAGCCAAGGAATAAAGGTTGGGGGAAATTGCCAAAAGCTCAATAAAGCAAAATCAGAAACTTGGAACCAAAGTTAAAACAAAAACACACTTGTTCCACAAATCTTTCTAAAGCCTATAGATAGATACTGACAGAGGTTTTCGTTGCAGGAAACTTAGTACCCACAAACTTGGGCTTCATGTCTGGGAACATTCGTTGTCTGAGGCTCCATCCATGTAGCAAACTTAATTTAATACCGAAAACAACGCATGTCATTCCTCTTCGCGCATCTATGATGCACATTTGGACTTTGCAATGTATACAATACACCATTGTCGTTCGTAAGCGGTAAGCGTGAAGTGGATACACCCAGTTTCATGAATTTCCATGAGCATTCATGCCGATCAGGATAGTCTCGAACATATTCGTTGTCGTGTTACGAATTCTAACATAAATCGAAAACTATAAACAAAATGTGAAGAGCAATCCAACAAGAGTGATGCCTTATAAAGTGGAATAAGTCTTCGAACAAAAGCATAGTCATTCTTCATGTCCATGAGAATGAAGAAACCAAAATATTCTCTCCCTCTGTCTTTCCTGCCCCACATTGCTCTCCATTATATTCATAATGTTCGACAGGTCTTGTCATCCACCTCTAGGTGAAGTTTTCTCTGCACACTCTGTATCCCCCTGGCCATGGTGGCTGCATTGCAGCTTTCTTCCCCTTCTCTTCCACCCTCAAATCTGAATCCAAAGTTCAATCCTTTTGGAACTGTGGCAACTCATCAGCAATCAAAAATTGCTTCCTCATCACGTTGCAGATTGTTCATAACCAACTCTCAGCAGCAGCAGCCACATCACCTTCATGACCACATCCCAACCTTACTCCCACCACCTAATGAGAACGTTGCGGCGGTCATATTCGGCGACGGCGGATCCTCGGAATCCTCGAGGCTGTACCCTCTGACCAAGAGAAGATCACAGGCAGCAATCCCCATTGCAGCAAACTACAGGCTGATCGATGTTGTGGTCAGCAACTGCATCAACAGCAGCATTACCAAAATCTACGTCCTCACACAGTTCAACTCCACTTCCCTCAATTCCCACCTCGCCAAGGCCTACTCCAGGCTCGGCCTTGGCCAAGGTGGGTTCGTCGAAGTCGTCGCGGCGTACCAGAGCCTTGAACATCAGGCTTGGTTTCAGGGGACTGCTGATGCGATCAGAAGGTGCTCGTGGGTTCTTGAGGAGCATCCGGTGTCTGAATTCCTCTTGCTTCCCGGCCACCATTTGTACAGAATGGACTACAGGAAGCTGCTGGAGGCTCATCGGAGGGGGAATGCGGATATAACGATTGCTGCATTGGGGTGTTCTTCTGGTCGAAGGGAAGAGCAGGAGGGTTTAGGCAGGTTGGAAGTGAATTCGATGAATCAAGTTATTGGTTTTCATGATGGGAGGCAGGGGAATTCGGAAGTAAGTTGCAGAGGTGGTGTGTTTGAGAACATGGGGATATATGTGATCAACAGGGAGGTTTTGAGAAAGCTTGTACATGAGAGTTTCCCAGAGGCAATCGACTTGGGAAGTGAAGTGATCCATGGATCGATCATATCCCTTGGACTTAAGGTGGGTGCTCCTTCTTTCTTTTGTCTTTCATAGCGAGAATTAGTTAATGTCAATAACTCAAGTATTTAGTGAAAGCAGAGTTTCAGAACGATTCGTACATCATTTTATTAGGTGGCCATTTTACACATTTTCCAATGTATAATGTGTTTTTGTTGTTTAGTTGTTAATGCTAGAAGGTTATCAGAATTGGAATACGAAAACTCTCAATTAAAACTTGTAAGATCATATCAAAAATCAATTAATCTAAACTCAGAGAGTTTTTTGGGCAGGTTCAAGCTTGTCCATTCAATGGGTACTGGGAAGACATGAGGAGCATATCAGCATTTTACCAGGCCAATATGGAATTCGTCAAGAGATCAAACAACTGTCAGAGGTATTTAAGTACTAATATCTCATCGATACGAATCAAAATGAATTCACATAAAAAGCTCGCAATACACAAAACTATGCAAAAGAAATGAGAAACTAATGTCAATTATTGATTGCAGCTTCTACGATATGGGTTCGCCTCTATACACCATTCCTCGTTGCCTTCCACCGACAACAGTGACTAATGCCCTCATTGCAGATTGTGTCATTGGAGATGGTTGCATCCTCAATGTAAGCTAAACAAATTGCAATTTTTCAAACAAGATGACACTCCATGTCATCATTCATCACGTACTAAGTGTTCTTTTTTCTGTTGGTTTCCTGGGAATCTTATCTTAAGAATAGAGGTGCAGGATCAAAGGGAGCGTGGTGGGAATGAGGACTAGGATTGGAGATGGAGTAGTGGTTGAAGATTCAGTCATATTGGGTGCTGATAATTACCAAGTAAGAGCTTCATTAAGTTAACTAATGACCCCCTATATGATTAATGGTTAAACTAATTCAGATTATTATGAGGAACAGGATGATAAGATTGGTGTTGAGGAGAGGAGGAAGAGGAGTAATGGGATGAATCGCATAACTATGGAGGGAGGCATGAACAACAATGGAAGGAATGGTGTTCCAATTGGAATAGGTGATGGAACTCTTATGAGGAGAGCAATTGTGGATAAAAATGCAAGAATTGGCAAAAATGTGAAGGTATAGTTTACTTGATTGCTATGAGATCCATACATAAGTTGCATGGTAGAGTTATTTAGTGACAAACACATGTCACACTATGAGTTGTAACAAAAATATGCATGTTTTGATATGTAAGGGATTAGTGGGGGTATGATCAACATTGTTTTGACTAGTTTGGTGCCTTAACAATCAATACAGATAATCAACAAAAATGGAGTCCTTGAGGCTGACAGAGAAAGAGAAGGATACATGATTAAAGATGGGATAATCGTGATCATGCGAGGTGCCGTCATCCCAGACGATACAGTTTTGTAACACAAGATCCCCAAGTTTGTCTCTTTGTTTAGCTATCATTAAGTTCATCACTCATTTGCCCTACTTTGGCGGATTATTTGGTTAGTTCAGGCTTATATTCGACATTATAGCAATAAAGTTGCATTTATGGTGATACCCATCATTCAGTTCAGAGCGGATGGTTTCTTTTGGAGTCTATTGTACCACATTGTAATCAAATACGTGCAATTGATTAATTGATTGATTGCATATTCACGAAGTACTTATGTGATTTCTATTGATACTCGAAGGCTAAAGACTATCGGCGGAAGATGACAAGTAGATGAGTTCTTGATCTATTTTGTGGCCTAAGAAATAACAATGCTCTTCAGTGGGCCATTTTATTCACATCAGAAAATTTGAGTACCGATTCAGAAATTCTCAAAAGGTTGGGGTGTAAGGAGATATTTTACTTTCACTATATAAGACCAGCAAACCTTCTGATGATTCTCCGTCCAAATTCATTTCAACGAGCAAAATCAATCAAGAACTCAAGATTCCCGCCCAACGACCTCCGGAAAGATCGCAGCGAACAAACTCCCTCTCTGATCACGATGAGGAAATCGACGACTCCGATTCTCCTCCTCCTCCTCTTCCTCCTCCCAGTCATCCTCCACCACCGCCCCGCCGCCGCGCTCATCGCCGACGAGCTCGACGCCGCGATGACCTCCCTCCGATCGCACGGCTACAACCTCCTCCCCAACGCCGTCGCCACCACGGATCTCCGATTCCGCCTCCTCTCCTCCAACTCCTCCCCCGCTTTCACGCTCTTCGCGCCCCCTGACCGCTTCCTCTACTCTCTCGACATCTCCGCCGCCGCGCCCCGCTACGTCCGCTCCCTCCTCCGCCACATCTCCCCCGCTCTGCTCCCGGCCAACTCCCTCCGCGGCCGGGGCGATTCCTACATCGACACTCTCCTCCCCGGGCACCGCCTCTTGATAATCGGCGGCTGCTGTTCCCCGCTCATCCTCAGAAACGGCACCGTCGTGGACCAGTCGGTGTTGTCCGTGGACGGCGTCCGCGTCTCGGATCCGGATCTTTACGTCGGGTCGACCGTCGCCGCGCACGGACTCGCCGGGATTCTCGGCGGATCGGACGAAGATGACCTGAATTTCGAGGAGCTTGATGACGGGGAAGGTTCTGGTTATGGCGACGATGGATTCTTCTGGTATCCGAGCTCTGCTTGGCCGTCGGCGGGAAACTACGGTGTGGAAAATCGATCGGCGGCGGCAGGGATTGACGGTGTTGAACATGGAAGATTCTCGAAGCTCATCCGACGAGGTACTGATGGCAATTGAAGTGAGGAATTTTGCGTTCGGTCAGTTCAACGTGATTGAATTTTGTTTGGTTGCTGAGAAAATTTTGGTACAGAGGGAAAATTGGGGGAGAATGGCTTTCAGTAGAAGGCAAAACTTTCTGCTGTGTGCATATCTTTTGGTACATAGGCCATAATTTTTCCTGTAAAATGTTTGTTTGGTTGCTAAGAAAATTTTAGTACAGACGGAAAATGGGGTAGAATGGCTCACAGTAGAAGGGGAAACATTTTGCTGTGAGCATATCTTTTGGTACATAGGCCATAATTTTCCTGTACAATGATGCAAAGCAAAACGTTTGTCGAGTAAACTCCATTGCTATGATGACAGTTTCTTGTAGCTGGTGAATGATTGGCTATTTGATCTTTTTCAGTTTTAACTTTCATCAATCCGTTGAATAACTTATCTTTAACTCATAAAATTTTCGGGGCATGGGTTGAGACAAGGAAGGACGAAATCGGTATTAATTTGATGTCCAATGAAGATAATGATTTAGTGGATACAATCGATTCGTATGAACAAGTACTACTTAACTTGTATAGCTTTTTTAAGTTTCAAACTTGAGAATGATTAACCCCAAAAAACAATTCCAAACTCGTTTGAAACTCATTCTCAAACGTCATAAATCGAGATCATTAGTTCATACCAAATATAATTATCCAAATGTAATTCCCAATTTCCAAACCTAGACGATTTGATGAAGTAGATTCATAATCAAATCCAATCTATTATGGATTTAAAATCCGTCATGGACTTTGCGCAAAATTATTATTTGCTTGAAGTTGTTGGGGGATAAAATCCGTGGGGTTCATATACTTTAAATATCAAAATATCAAAATCCGTAGGTTTAATGAACTTACAAATCTCATATCAACATGCGAGCATAATTCCATTATCTAATGAACCAAATTCAATAAAAAAATACTAAATACTTTTAAATTCATAATGTCAGTAAATTCAACATAAATTTTGGATCTTCTAAAGCCTAAGTACTACAAAAAAAAAAACATTCATTTTTAAAAATCCACTATGCAAACCAACCTAGAATAACCATGACCCAATTTATGCATTATGGGGTGGTTTGGATTGAGTATTTAGGTGGGTTATTTGAGATCAAATAACACAAAATCTGTTATTTGATCCCAAATAACATGTTTGGCTTACAAAAAGTGGGATGCGTTATTTGGATGTAGTGTTTTGCCAAATAACAGGTTATAGACCAAATAACACAAAAAGTGTTGTTTGCCAAATACTTGGGAGGGGCAGGTATTTGCCAAATAACAAGTTTGAAACCAAATATCACAAACCAAATAACAGTTTTTATATTATGTGGTATTTATGTGGTAATTGGCCTCAAACAACAAGTTTATCAAATACTCAATCCAAACGACCCCTATATATTTTCTCGTACTCGTATGGATAAGGGGGAAAAACTTGAGGCCGTTTGGATTAGAGATTTGGATGAGTGATTTGTTAGGGATTTTAAAACAATCTCTCATTCTGCAGGATTTTAATACAATTATGCGTTTGGGAAAGATGAGGAATTTTACAATTAAGAATTTTAAAAACTCTCAATCGTGGGTTTTAGAAATAGCTAATCACCATCAGCTATTTCTAAATCTCTCGTTCTTCTTTTATTTATTCCAAAGCCTACCCTTCATTCGACTCTTCTTCCTTCTTCTCCGACCGACCTTATTACTCCAATCACTCCACCCTCAACCGCAGACGCAGAGCATCCTGAGCAGCATCCAGATTTCCCCAACCACTGCCACATCTGTCAACCTTCCCCGTTGTCCTATGCCATTGACCCCCCAGTCGCCGCCACTACGGCTGCGATCGAAGAGCTCCAAAAGACGACAAGCAAGCCTCAGGTCCGCCTGCCGATTTGCTGGTCGGTGGTCGCGCCGCAAACATCCCCACATCGGCGCCAATTTGCTGTTTGGATGTTCTTGGTTAAGAGTCGAGAAGAAGTGAGGGAATCTGATGGGTCAGGTGGAATATCGGGGAAGGGGGTCAGATGCGAATTGCGATAGAGAAGGAGGAATCACCCAATCTGGGTTTCAATCGATTGACTAGCTAACTCGAGGCATATGAAGTGGAATACAAAAGCGGTAACCAGCTAGGGTTGTTTGGAATCGGAAGGGAGTGAGATGTATATGCAATTTTGGATTGGGGTTCTTATTTGTCTCCGATTCAGAGTTTGTTATCTTCTTCTTTTACCTGCAAACAATAATGGGATTATGGGTTTGTGATGGAAGCAGATAAGAAGAGTAGTATGATTAATTGGTGTAGAAGCAGGGGAAGAACAATTGATTGCTAGTTGTATTACAAACGAAGATAAACATGAGGGAAGATGACAAAGGATATTATTGTAATTTGAGTTTTAAGGTTAAAATTCTGCATTTTATCCAAACGAGTTATTTCTATTAAATCCTGCATACAAATTTCCTGGTATTTTAAACGAGAGATTTTAATCAAAATCCCTCATAATTAAAATCTCTCATCCAAACGACCCCGAAGTGGTAAGCCCACCACCACCATCCCTCAAAACTCAAATGCCAGATTTGGGCTTTTCTCTTCTTCTCCCTCTCTCTACCTGCTTTCAGTCATCCATCGGGTCCTCCCCCGTCTCTTCTTCACCTCTCTCTCTCTTCCCCAATTCCATTCTTCCTCCCTCATCACAAACCCTAACCCTAGCACCTTTCCCCAGAAAAATTTCCGCTTTCCTCGCACGATTCGCTATTCTACCTTTCCTCCGGGCAATCGATCATCAGCCGATTTGATCTGTAAACCTTCTCATTCCGATCTGTTGTATTCTGATTCGAAATCCCCCCCCGTTTGTTTTCATAGTTTCTAAAGAGCTTTTATTTCTATCAGCCATGGCCAGCTCTAAATCACTATGATGACAACCATCGGGCCCATAGGGTTTTTCATGTTTCTAGGGAACCGTCACAACCAATTGCATGGGTTTGAGCAATGCCTGAGCTTCGCCGAGGTGTACGCAGAGGGCGCGCAGGGTTAGCGCCTAAGAATAAACGACAATCGGAGGAGCCTCCCGTCACCCCTGTTTGCGCGAGGGCCGCTGTTGCTAGAGAGGCTAAGAAGAGGCCGAGGACGAGATTGCAGGCGAGGCGACTGAAGGAGAAGGAAGAGCAGGAGAATAATAACGGTAGGGAGGTAGACAACGACGAGGTAGCTGTGATATCGGATAGAGAAGAAGAGAGCGAAGGGAAAGAAGAAAATTTGGTTCCTGTTATCGACCTTGAAGCAGAAGGAGGAGTTAGAGTTGGTGGGATGGGTGACGATAGTGGTGGCTTGAGTGCTAACAATGCCGCTGGACAGGAAGAAGAGGGGACTACTGTTCCCTTCCCTGAAAGGGTAGGTGTTTTTTGCTACGTCTGTTGTGTTTCATGTGGTTAATGTTTAACCTCCATTTTCATTGACATTCTGTTTTATTGAGCTGGAGGCTTGCTTAAATGCACGATTCATTGTTCTGTTCAGTTTTGTTAATTATTATATCTCCTGTTGTTGGTCTTTCTGAAGGTTCAAGTGGGAGGGTCACCTATGTACAAGATAGAAAGAAAGTTGGGCAAAGGTGGATTCGGTCAAGTGTTTGTTGGCCGTCGTCTCAGTGGTGGGAGTGACCGTGGTGGAATGGGCCCTGGCGCCACAGAGGTAAAGTTTATCTAGTATAATGCTCTGCTGCCTAGGTGTGATTTAAGAGCTCATTGCAATTCCTTTCCTCTCTATGTTGCTCTAATTACAGGTGGCTGTGAAATTTGAGCACCGAAATAGCAAAGGCTGTAACTATGGCCCCCCTTACGAATGGCAAGTTTACAAGTAAGACTTCTTCATATGTAGCACAACTCTGCGAATAATAATGAATTTATAACACAAGCCAGTTTTGATATACATTTGGTGCTCTTCTGTTCTGCAGCACTCTTGGTGGTAGCTATGGGGTGCCGAGAGTGCACTTCAAAGGAAGGCATGGAGATTATTATGTAATGGTATGGTCTAAAAACTGGCCATCTACTTTTATTCCTGTAATATTTTCTTGAGACTTAACAAAAAATTCTACATTTTTTCAGGTTATGGACATGTTAGGACCAAGTCTGTGGGATGTTTGGAATTCTTCTGGTCAAGCGTGAGTTCTTTGTGCATGAATGCTCTCTTCTTACTATGGTGTTGGTCGGTTTATCCTACCAGTAGGATGTATCCAATGTTACATGAATTTTTTGAAGTTCTCTCATTTAGTCTTGTTAGCATCAACGCTTTGCCTGCTAACCCTATTATTCCTCATGTCTTCCATTTTATATCATTTGAAGGATGACTGCGGAAATGGTATCTTGTATAGCTGTTGAAGCTCTTACTATCCTAGACAAAATGCACGCACGCGGGTATGTGGATTCACGATGTCTGTTACCTTTTCATTGTAAGCACTCTAAAAGGTTTCTATAGGCTCTTACTTCATTTGTTGAATTTGGATGCATCTTTTGTGATGCAGTTATGTGCATGGAGATGTAAAGCCAGAGAACTTTTTACTCGGTCAGCCTAATACACCACAGGAGAAGAAACTGTTTCTTGTGGACTTGGGTTTAGGTGAGAAGCTTCTCCTGTTCCTTTAAAGAATTTGCTTTAGTGCTCTTAATGCTCATTGGTGAAATATATCACAGCGACAAAGTGGAGAGACAGTGGCAGTGGGGAGCATGTTGACTATGACCAACGTCCTGACATGTTTAGGTGAAGATTGATTCCATTGCTGTTTGTTTCTTGTGGGATTCTTGTTTCTTTAATTATTTTATTGGGCATTTTGAACATTGGATGGGTCCAATGATTGATTCCATCTTTATCTCTTGTTCTTGCTGAATTTGCTTTTTGTAGAGGGACTGTGCGATATGCTAGTGTTCATGCTCACCTGGGAAGGACTGCTAGTCGGAGAGATGACCTTGAATCTCTGGCTTACACACTCATTTTCCTACATCGAGGCAGGTTGCCATGGCAAGGCTATCAGGTACTCTCATTTGTACTCAAAATCATTCTCAAGTGCTAGAAAGGTGTACCCATGTTCTTGTCGTGCATGAAGTATATATAGGAAACTTTATATATTTGGATCATACTCTTCTGACCTTTCCCTTTATCTTTTGGTTTCTAGGGTGACAACAAGTCCTTTCTAGTTTCTAAAAAGAAAATGGCAACATCTCCAGAGATGCTATGCTGCTTTTGCCCACAACCTCTGAAACAATTTCTCGAGATTGTAGTCAATTTGAAATTTGATGAGGAACCAAACTACTCCAAGCTTATTTCTTTATTTGAAGGCTTATTAGGGCCAAACCCAGCTATAAGGCCTATAAACACAGAGGGCGCTCAAAAGGTATTTGATCAGCATTCTTTTGTAACTTCCATTATCCTGTGCATGCTGCTTGTGTTCTAATGAGCTGTGTATCTTTGTAGATCATCTCTCAAGTTGGTCAGAAGCGTGGTAGGTTAAATATCGAGGAAGATGATGGGCAGCCACGGAAGAAGGTTCGCCTTGGAGTTCCTGCTACACAATGGATCTCAGTGTATAATGCTAGGCGGCCAATGAAACAGAGGTAGGGGTATGGGTGGACTGAATGTTTCTCCTGATATCGAGTGATGTTTCCTTTATGTTTCCGGTTTGAGAAGTGCTTCAGTATGTTTCTTGTTTACTGATGGCACCATTACAATTTGGTTGCTGATATTGGTTAAAATATGGTTTAATGATGCTCATGGTTTTCGACGACTCGTGTGCGTTTCAATCAGGTACCATTACAATGTGGCTGATGGAAGGTTGGCACAGCATGTGGATAGAGGAATTGCAGATGGTCTTCTTATAAGTTGCGTGTCATCGTGTTCCAATCTTTGGGCATTGATTATGGATGCAGGAACTGGTTTTACTAGTCAGGTTTACGAACTGTCCCCTTTTTTCTTACACAAGGTAAATCTTTGAGTTCTGTGCTTATGGTTATCAAGAAAGCAGACCCACATCCAGGTCTTCTTTAACACATTCATCTTATCCTGTTTTCTCAGGAATGGATTATGGAACAATGGGAGAAGAACTACTACATTAGTTCAGTTGCTGGTGCGAATAATGGAAGCTCCCTAGTGGTCATGTCTAAAGGTTTGTCCGATTCATTCATGAGTTCTTACATAGTTTTTTTTTTGTTTAATCATTTCAGGTTGCTCCAATTATTTTGGTCTTGTCTATTATTTTGCGTCTCTCTATTTTGGTGGGCTGATATATCTCATTCATAGAGACTGTTTCTTACGATATAAATGTGGCCTTGAAGCTGTCATTATACTTCTATTTCATTACACAATATGCTGTGTTTTAGACTTGTTGCTATTCTCCATTTTCCTGCTTCTGGGACTTGCAGATTCTAGGAGTCTTTTTATTTTGCATAATCCAGTGACTCACTTCTTCAAGTTTCTGTGCTGTCTTTGCATCAATTATTTTTAGTTATTTGAACAGGTTATACTTTGGTTGAATTATTATTGGCAATTGAATTTTCTGTATGTTTGATAATACAGGGACTCAATACACCCAACAGTCTTACAAAGTAAGCGATTCATTTCCCTTCAAGTGGATCAACAAGAAATGGAAAGAAGGATTCCATGTGACCTCAATGGCCACTGCTGGTTCCCGCTGGGGTATTGTCATGTCTCGCAATGCTGGCTTCAGTGATCAGGTGAAATTTCTTTATGCTATATTTTGCACTTGTCATGTATGGGTGTAAATATTTGGTTAACTTTTCTTTTTCTGAAAAGAGAATTAACATGTAGATTACCAGTATTGTATATGAAGGAACATAGTAGTTTCCATAGCCAAGTGAACTTCTAACATCTTATAGCAATGCATCTGTATATGTACTACTTCCCTCAATGTATATGTATTCTATTATGGGGTCTCCTGTTTTTAAGTCCAAATCATCGCGTCGGGGAGGTTGAGTGATAGCCAGCCTTGGTGGAGCTTCTGATTCTCCTGGGTTCAAGTGACCATTGGTCACTATGGTGTTAGCACTAGACAGCGAATTATGTTTCAGTGCTTCTTTTGCATGCTTTTTGGAATATCAATATTAGCTGAAGGTGCCTGAAAGTTTTAATGCAAAATGGATTTCTTACAGTATTTGCAACATTCTGTAGCAGCTATATCTCCGTCCTTGAGGGCTAAGATTTTTTAATCTAATTCCCACATTTAATTTTTTTATGTTACGATCATTTATTGTCTGGAATTAACTGGGCTGTCATCTAACAAACTCTATTCAATATAGGTTGTGGAGCTTGATTTTCTGTATCCTAGTGAAGGCATACACCGAAGGTGGGACGGTGGTTTCCGAATCACTTCCACAGCAGCTACTTCCGATCAAGCTGCTCTAATTTTGAGTGTCCCTAGACGCAGACCTAATGATGAAACTCAGGAGACTTTGCGTACGTCTCAATTCCCAAGTACACACGTGAAGGTAAGCAAATGCTCTTCCCTGTATCAGAATTTTTTTGCTGCGGAAATTTTTTATCCAACTGTAATGAATATTACACAACTTACTAGACCGTTTGATGAATGTGCAATGCATGAAAGCTAGTTCCTGATGAGCTCTACTTATCATTTCTGAATCATTGCTTCCATTTTCAGGAAAAATGGGCAAAGAACCTGTACCTGGCGTGCATCTGCTATGGGCGGACTGTTTCATGAGATCCTAAACCAGCTGCTGTTGCAAATAAACGAAATTCGAGCAGGGCACTATTGTTGTTGTTCGGATGGTGTGCTGGAGCTCTCTTTCATTTTGCGGTTGCATTGCCATGTATAGAATGACGTAGGGAGTGTTGACGAGGCTGCTGCGATGCAACGTTGGGGTTATTGAAGGAGAGCAAGCTGTTTAGGTGTGCTGTGCGCTGTATGAAGGTGTTATATGTCATTGTTCGATTCTAGGACATGTAATTTTAGCTATTGAAGACGAATTATTATGCATCTTATTTGTTTTTGTATGCACAAAATGTTCACTGGAGGTTGTGCTAAGACATGCTCACGCATTCACTCGAGTAAGAAAAATTGTTGCTATCTATTGAAATGTGATCACCTAGTATGAGCTTCCTTTCATTTACAAATTTGAAATTTGCCTTTTCCCACCATAAGGATCTTGAAAGGACATAAAGCCGAATCGAATGACCATTTGGTAATTTGAATGATATATGTTTTGTGTCAATCAGTTGTTTCCCCAGAGCTGTGATCACAGAGAATTTACGGGTTTCTGCTGAACTTTTCGCTTAAATTAACGAGAATTACCCAAACGATCACTTAGTGGATACCATTATGAGAATTTTAAAGAGAAGGGACGATTCTGTTAACATAGAAAATGAAATGTTCAACTGTAACTAACATTCTCAATTTCGGTTGTTCTGCATCATCAAGTAACATATTTCAGCAAGCTCCCGGCACGGTACACTTGCTAAAGCCATTAAGTCATAAACTTTCACTTTCTCAGCAAACTACATCACCGCCTTTTTCCCTGTCTTAAGCTTATATTCTTCACTTCCCGAATGGTCCAGCCACCAAAATCTTGATCTCTTTGTTTGCATGACAATGCAGCAGGCAGCAGCGAAGGCAATGTTGCGCTTCAAACAAGGTTTCAGTGCATCTCACCAAAAATCGTGCAGTCTACCTCATACCTAACCCAATAGATGGATGATTGATCTGAAATCTGCCCATCGGAATGTTTTTTTTTGTGTGCTGCCTAATGCATCTTCTTACTGTTCTTTCCATATGCGCCCGGATACCTTAAGCTTTAGCTCTTGTCTATCCCCACCAGAGAAGAAGAGTGCCAAGTTTCTCTGAATGATTAATCCGTCCTGGCTGTCTCGAACTTTCTTATGGCTATCCCGGATGCTCCTCGGTATTCCTTGCCATATCAGCTTTCTGCCATTCCCACCGACTTCTAAGGTGTAACTAAACTGTCTTGCCTCATCTTCAGTGCCCATGAATCTCAGGAAAGCCATGTAAACTGGTGCCATCCCCAGTCGAAAAGCCTCAAAGTGTAAGCAGAACTGCCGGCCAAAGCAATTGAAGACCTGCAAAATCAGGAAGTCATGTTAAAATGCCTGCAAACAGGAGTTGACTGAACAAATCTTCATGCTGATTGGATTAAGGTTTCACGATAGTGGAGTTCCAAGTTCAAAGATAAGACCAAAAAAGTAGGCAATCGAATTATCAATAGTTAATCCGGTTTGGGTGACAAAGGCAATAATTAATTCTGCATGGTAAGAATCTTACAGTTAACATCCATGTAGCATTGTCAATTTCTTGGGGATTGGACTTCACATATCTATGATTGAAGGTACACCCATCATGCATGTCAACCTTGTGATCATTCTTGAGGTGCATGACGAGCTGTGGGATGTCTCCAGTGACAGAACATTCAGCTCCAGCATAAGGGCAGCCATAGGGACGGTATTTGCAGCTCTTTTCATGGCTTTGCTTGCTATAGTAAGGAAATATCTCATAACAGCCAAAATGCTGGTACTTGCAAGGAACTTCCAGCGACTCGGCAACTCTCTCGAGTGCCAAGCACCTTATGTTTCCAAGTTCCCCACGACAAGTAGGGCATGAGTTACGGACTCTTGCTTTGCATTTCTCGCATAGTGTATGACCATTGGGACACTGACAAAACAGGCACAAATTGCTCAGATGTTGAGATGAGATCATAGATGAATAGGTTTGATATTAGCAAATCTATAGTGAACGACAATAGTTTCAGGTGGAGATAAATTCAACTACTTCTGTCATTATGGACCCATCAAAATGTAAGATAAAGTTGTAAGATAACGAATGGATGGATTTTAAATCCATTTTCAAACATAAAAATGGAACCTATACCTTTTCGTGGTTCAATTGTTCAGGGAATCCTATATTTTCAAGAATGGTCATATCAGAACATCAATTCATTAGGATTAAGCTTGCTCTTACTTCAGAAGTGAAAAGAAATCATCCATGAATACTTCCAGATATCTAGGGCTACTTGAATGATACATAGTGATTCATCAAGTAATAAATCTGTCCTACTTCTGGTGTCTAGGTGTTGGAAATCTAAAAATGTATACCTGGTAAATTGGAGGGTAAATGAGATTCATGCAGACAGGACATTCTAGTAAGTCCTGCACATTGCCAGTTGATGTCCCAAGACTTCCACCTGACAGAGGGGCTGCTTTTCTAAAAGGGGCGCTCGAGTCGGCACTGAATGTCATTGTATCACAATCCGTAAATGTTATCTCTTCCTTGCAGGTGGTGCCTCCTGGAGCCATTTGGACAATGCTAATTCAGGAAAAACTCCCTCCAGCTCTATGCTAAACTCAGAATCAAAATTGTAAATTGTCCGCCCTCAGCCAGTCAGCCCCTGTTGTTGAGACATAATGATCCCAAAATTAATCTTCTGCCAAATTTTCATCATATTCATCACCAATTGCTTAGTGACGAATTCAATAAGAAGAATACCACCAAACAGAGTTGGTCCTATTTGCACATCTGCTGACCACCAATGGTGCCCATATCACTGAATTGCAGTTGCACCATATTCAGCTATTGCATCTAAACATCCAATTGATGTTCTAAAGATGTATAAATTGAATAAACTAGAAGCAACTTATTGAGAAAACAATTTGCAAGCTCCTGCTCCAGGTCTTAAATGTTGACTCTGAGAGAGAGTGAGACAAGAAGAAACCAACTCTAAATAGCATATATCAACCTTTTTACTAAGGAAACAGGAAGGACACATAAAGCACACACAGTGGCTACCCTCAATTGTCGAAAAAAGGGTGAGGTGAACAGGTACTATATCACAAAGAGAGAAGGACCGAGTGTTGAAGGAGAGTAGTGAAGATAAGGCTCACTTTGACTGCACATGTAAACAACAGGGAAGCTATGTTTGTTTTATGAACAACGTAAGGAAGTTAATATTGCTTATTTTCTAGAAGCAACATATACCTCAAGAAGAACATGACAGGAGAATATCGATAATGAAGTGTTCACAATACCCTGTCACCTCCACTCAAACAAGATTACATAACTCCCATTGACCTCCTTTTATATGCAAACACTCAAATTCCAAAATTTAACAGGGAACAAGCAAAGCCAAGTGTTTCATAATGAATACTCGAATCAAGTGATATGGCAGAAGTAGGCGACAGAAGAACATGAAGGGCCACAAGCAAGATTGAAGTGTGCAAGAGACAAATGAACAAGCTTTGAAGCTTCATCAATATAGCTTGAAAGAACAGCAACAATCACAACAGAGAATCACTTGGCTCCATCAGCAAATCCACATCTCGATATACATATATGCTTCACCACATTTCTCCAACAAAAAATCCCAGACAAACCCAATAAACTACTGAGGCGAACAGCGGATTCTGAAACCTAAATGCTCCACATTTCCTAACAAACCAGCGGAAGAACGGCAGAAACAGAAGGCGAAAGAAATGTAGACTGAAAGTCCACTTACCGAGAGCATCGGAAGACGAAGACCCAGTTGGATGAGTCGCCAGAATCGATCGAACCCTTCAAAGAAAACCAGAAACTGATGATTACCCAGGTGGGATGAGATAGAGATATAGAGCGAGATTCCCTATAGAACGCCAAAAGAAAAGACAAAGAAGGAAACCAGGAACAAAAAAGTGGGGTTAAAAAAACGCACATTGAATTGAATGGTTGTTCGACCAATCGATCTTTTCACTTCAGTCCCGCAATAATTGTTCCATCATCACCACCACCATCATCATGGGGCTTGAGTCGAGAAAGCAAGGGGAAAGGGAACAGGGGTGACGTGGCGCACGCAGAGGGAAATCTGGGAACCGGTTTTTCTCCGAAATTGTGTATGGCGAAAGACTGAAACTTTCTGTTTTGATTTTATTGATAACTGACAGAGGACAAGGAAGGGAAGAAGGAGAAGAACAGGAGAAAAGAAGAGAGAAGAGACGTTGATGAACCCAATGAGTCACCAATATTAATTAAAATTTATAATTATTTAGGAAAATTAAACAATAAAAATAATTTACAGATAGTCGAATCCGCCAATCCACGTTACGACATGTAATAGCTTCATCCATCTTCTTCCTCTCCTACAGCTTTGCATGCACCCAAATTTCAATCACCAATAATTCAAATTTATATTTGTTTATTCATTTGTTCATCATCATCATCATTATTCCTGGATTTAAATTACTGTTCTACTATTTGACAAGGTAAAGAATCTTAGTTGTGTTTTCCACAGAAGATTAAAAAAGCTCTGTTTTCAGCAATGGCGCCAGCCACGTCCACAAAAGCCCGTCAACGGGCCCAAATTCGCACGTAGCTTGGGCTTGACCTAGCCCATACGAATCAACTTGGTTATTTCAATTTCAAGCTTTATGAATCACGACAGACGGACGAATCAGCTTGATCAACAAACTTAATCCAAACCTTTGCCAACTCAGCATCATCATCGTCTTCGTCAACCGTTATAACAGAGAAGCTTCTTCTTCAACCTCTCTTCCTCGGTAGCTAGCTTGCGTGTACCAACCCAACAAGTCAAAGAGTCGGCTTAATTGACCAGAACACGTGACTCTATACATCATGAACTACTAAACATTTCTAACTTATAAAAGTCCCCCTCTCTGTTTCTCGATCAATCCTGCCCATAATCTCTTCTCTCTGCCTATAAATTCCCAAATCGAATCGAACCCAGAAAGCCAAATTACAACATTATAGTTCCCAGTTTCCATTCTCTATCTCTTTTGCTCTGCCTCTTCCTGATTGAATTCTCATATAAACGATTGATATGGAGCTTGTTCTGGGTCAATCTATGGCGGATGTGCTGACCAAAGTTGGGCTATTCGTGATTGTGCAAGCTTTGGTATACCTCGTGCTAACCACTTCGTCCACCGTCTTCTCCAAGAACGTCAAGCGCTCTTTCAGCTTCAAGCCGGCACGTTCGGTGAGCATCCGCCGGATGTTTGCCGCCATCTCCGATGCTCCGGTCGGCGAGCCTTCTCCGAGGACGACGAGCTCTGCTTCTTATGGGCAGCAGCAGCTTGATCCAATCTTTGGTGACGTTGGATATGCTAATTATTAGTTTGATTATCAGATGTGCTTCTCCATCTTTTTAATGTAAAAATGATTGATGGACAAGGTTTCATGATTTGTTTATTGTTTTATATGGTGGGATAGGACTATTGGGTCGTAGGAGGGAGGGAGGATTGGAGTTTGTAATTAGTTGGATTCATTGAGGAATTAAAGTTACATTCTTTGTAAAATTATGGAGAAATGAGATATAATCATATTTACATTTGTTAATTCTTTATTAGCTTGTTAATGACTTGTTGCCTTTGTTGGAAAATTGGTACTTGATTGGTTTTATTATGGGTCAGACTGGAGTACGTCAGGCGTATACTATATGTCAGGTAGTACTATTGAAATATTTCTATCTAGACCATAAATTAAATCGAGATTGGGGTATGATACTATATCTAACCTCTAATGGATAAACCCCATGCACCGATTTTCTAAATCCCACCCCGAAGTTTGATTTAATGAAAAACAAAAATTGACCGTTGAGATCGGTCGGAGCTCATCTAAGTACATCTAATAGTTAGATCACCTGTTGTATACTATACGTCTGACGTACGCCGGTCATTACCATATATATATGCTCTAGTTTGTTGAAATTTTGTATAACATATATTACTTGTGGGATAAATGTATACATAATACGCAAATCGTTAATGACTTGTATACTAGAATACATTATAGGTGGGGCCTTCTTAAAAAGGATTCAATTGATTAACACTTCATTCCAGCGTGCATAATTTTACTTAGCTTTGCATAGATATAATAGAACTATTAATCTCATATCTCGCAGCAAAAAAAAAAAAGAACTTTCTTATCAGTTGTTCGAACTCTAACAGTCATGAACATTTATAAACGTTCTAATTTGTATCTACCAATTTTTGTTTGGGAATATATGAAAAACATAAAAAATGGTGGATGGTTTCCTTTATTTGAGTGTCGTCAGGCCAGCTAGTGGTTCGTGAATCGTGAGTCAATTTATGTGGAGCGATTCCTTGGACAGACTTTGGGAACTTTATGGATTGACTCTATAGTTTAATAATGGGATTATTACAATTCGAGACATATATCCACCGCAACTGGTCACAATTTGATCCAAACCGGCCGCCTGCTTTTCCAGTCACCACATCCCTATCTGTTTATTGTTCCTTACCCACAGAAAGAAGGAATCAGCCTCTACCCAGAAACAAAAGAGTGTACCAAAGCAACAAGAAGAAGAAGACAATGAGTTCGTCGCCGTCAAAAACATTGAGAAAATTGGAGGTAGTTTCTCCAGTTCCCGCGGACATTGATATCGCTAACTCTGTGGAGCCTTCCCATATTTCCCAGATTGCCGAGGACCTTAATCTCAAGCCTGCCCATTATGATCTTTACGGCAAATACAAGGCCAAGGTAAAACCAATCAGGATTGCTAGTGTATCCCTTCTTCCAAACTTCTGCCCGTTTCCTTTCTTTCTAGCTTGAGGTTGTTCAATTTGATTTTGGCGCCTGATTGGGTTGCCTTTTTTTTTTGGTTTCCCCTTTTCTGGGTTCATGAATAATTGGCTCAAAGTTGCTTGCTTTACTATTAACTTGTTCTGAAGTATTGTTTTTTAGTTTATCTTTTTAAGATTGTATTTTGAAGGTTATGGTCTTGGCAGCTAATTGTCTCGAGGTGGAAGAACAAAGATAAACAGGGGAAACAGTATCAATTTTAGTCACTCGAGTTATTGGAATGAATAGGGTTGTTGTTTGTTTTCTGGATGTTCAAAAATGGTTATCTGGTGGAAGAACAAAGATGAGAGAAGATACTTGCTGCATTTATGCAGGGGGAATATTATATAAGATTCAATTCCATGTTCATTCTTTTTCGTGCATAATTCGAATCATTGGAATGAAGTTCATTTTTGTTGCTCTTTGATATGTGGGTATGGGAAGGTGCTGCTGTCAGTTGTTGATGAGCTGCAAGGATCAAGCGATGGATACTATGTGGTTGTCGGTGGAATCACTCCTACCCCACTCGGAGAGGGCAAATCCACTACTACTGTTGGCCTTTGTCAAGCTTTGGGTGCATTTCTTGACAAAAAGGTACCTACTTTCTGCTTCACTTCACTGTTTTCTTCAATTTCTGATATTCAGTTTCTGCTTGTGGCATAATTATGCATAAAAAGTGTAGAGCTTTGAGCTTCAGACATAAGATAAACTTGAATTATTATCTCAAAGTCAGTGTTACAAGAGTTACTATGCTGTTTCCTACTCGTGGGAGGTCATTGCTCATTGGAGCTTCTGTTTGAGTCATAGTAAGCTCGAGCTAGCTCAAGTAATCTCGTAGGAGCTTATTACGCTAGCTAAGGACCAAAGTGAAACATTTATTAGCTCTAGTGAATTTGTTGTATAGCTCAGGATTAGTTGAACAAAGCTAAGAAGGACAAAAAATGATCTTCTTTTGTGATGCTGTTTTTCCTCTGCAGAACTTCTGTAACCTTGTTCTTTTCTAGTTAAGACTGCAAATTTGGTAAAAGTTATATTACAGATTATGTGTGCCGACAGCACATTGTCTTTATGTAATGTATATTCATATATGTTTCATGTTTCATGAAGAATTCCGTAAGAAGCTTCTCTCTCTGTGTCAAATCGTATGATCAGGTTGTTACTTGCCTTCGTCAACCATCACAAGGACCGACTTTTGGAATCAAAGGAGGTGCTGCAGGTGGTGGTTACAGTCAAGTTATCCCAATGGATGAATTCAATCTGCATATGACCGGAGACATCCATGCCATAACTGCTGCGAACAATCTGCTAGCAGCTGCAATTGACACCAGGATATTCCATGAATCCTCCCAATCTGACAAGGCGCTCTTTAATCGATTATGTCCCCCAAATAAGGAAGGAAAACGGAAGTTCAGTGACATAATGTTCAGGCGTCTGAAGAAGCTAGGCATCACAAAGACCACACCCGAGGACTTGACTCCAGAAGAAGCAAAGAGATTTGCAAGGCTCGATATTGATCCGGAATCCATCACATGGAGGAGAGTGATGGATGTTAATGATAGGTTCTTGAGGAAGATCAGTATTGGAGAAGGTCCCGACGAGAAAGGGATGGTGAGAGAGACTGGGTTCGATATCTCGGTTGCTAGCGAAATCATGGCTGTGCTGGCCTTGACTACATCACTATCTGATATGAGAGAGAGGTTGGGGAAAATGGTGGTTGGGAATAGCAGGGCTGGTGAGCCAGTGACTGCTGATGATCTAGGAGTTGGGGGAGCCTTGACCGTGCTGATGAAAGATGCCATCAACCCTACTTTAATGCAGACCCTTGAAGGGACTCCAGTTCTCGTTCATGCTGGTCCTTTTGCCAACATAGCTCATGGCAATTCGTCTGTCGTAGCTGACAAAATCGCTCTGAAGCTTGTAGGACCTGGTGGGTTTGTGGTCACTGAGGCAGGGTTTGGGGCAGATATAGGTACAGAGAAGTTCATGAACATCAAATGCCGGTATAGTGGGTTGACGCCACAGTGTGCTATCATTGTTGCGACGATAAGGGCCTTGAAGATGCATGGCGGTGGTCCAGATGTTGTTGCCGGAAAGCCTCTTGATCGTGCCTACACGACCGAGAATGTTGCGTTGGTTGAGGCCGGCTGTATTAACTTGGCGAGACATGTGGCAAACACGAAGGCTTATGGTGTGAATGTTGTGGTTGCGGTGAATATGTTCTCAACAGACACTGAGGCTGAACTCAATGCTGTTAGAGATGCTGCGTTGGCTGCTGGGGCGTTTGATGCTGTTGTGTGTACTCACCATGCACATGGTGGGAAAGGAGCGGTTAGTTCTCTTGCTCGCATGTTCATCTGTGTCAATGGAAAACGATATATTTGTTCTACTATATGCTATATGCTGACCTATCTGTGATAAATAGGTGGACCTTGGGCTAGCTGTTCAGCGAGCCTGCGAGAATGTGAATCAGCCATTGAAGTTTCTATACCCTCTGGACATTGGTATCAAGGACAAAATCGAGGCAATAGCTAAGTCGTACGGAGCAAGTGGTGTCGAGTACTCGGAGCTGGTAAACAGATGTCTAAGAGACAGTCTTTAGTTTTTGAATTACACAGTGAATGATTAGGGAGAGTTTGAATAATGTGATAAATATAAGTGAGTTAGGTAGGTGACTCATATACTGCACATCCGAACTGATGATCTCTTTGAGACCCTTTTGTTTATTTATCTCAAGTTTTTGTTTTTGTTTTGTCACAGGCCGAGAAACAAATAGAGATGTACACTAAACAAGGATTCTCAGGCCTACCAATCTGTATGGCGAAAACTCAGTACTCGTTCTCGCACAATGCAGCTTCAAAGGGAGCTCCAAGTGGATTCATGCTGCCTATCAGGGATGTTAGAGCCAGCATTGGCGCTGGTTTCATCTACCCTTTGGTAGGGACGATGAGCACCATGCCTGGCCTTCCAACCAGGCCTTGCTTCTACGAGATCGATCTCGATACCGCCACTGGGAAGGTCATTGGCCTCTCTTGAAAAGCCAGCAAGGCCATTGGATTTATCTGTGCTTCGTGTTGAAAACACATGAGCAACTTTGTGCTTTACTTGATTGTGTCATTCGTTTGACTTTATAACTCTTCTTGAGCATTTCTGGCCGTCGATAAGGGTTAAGGTAACCTAAGATGTACGTAATTCAGCTGTAGACATTGTCTATGTACATTTTATCTGGTAGAGCTAAAGAAATAAAACTATGAAAGAGGACCTGGTTGCTTGATCATAAGGTTACAAAGGCTTGGTATAGTTAGATTAAAAATAAGGAGATGATGATTATTCAATTTGTTTTGTTTTTTCCTTGCATTTTTAGTCCAGTATAGTTAGAAAATAAAAGAAGATTGGGTTGTTTGATCATATATGCACTATTAGTGAATATGGTTTGGTTCACTCTATGGTCATATGGAAGATGAAAGAAAAATCAGGACCAATATTGAATCAAAAGAGTATTCAATTCTTTTTCTTTTCTTTCTAATAATAAATTTTTTTTTTATTTTAGAACGAAAATGGAATCGAATTACAATTTGACTGGTGCAATTTGATTCAAAAACTAATTCAATTTAGTGTGAACAAAATTGATTGTTTAGTTTTGATGATATAGAAGCTCTACCATTCATAAAACAAAAAAAAAATTGATTGTTTATTTGTTAAAATTGCATTGACTTCGAAACTTTAAGTAAACCACTACAAAAGGCAAGATCCTCCCAATACATCTTCATTAACACACATGAATAAACTTTGTTGTGTGAGGCCAAAATTGTATATAATAAAAGTATTTATATATATTTTTCTTGAATGGTGCTACTAATGATCTTAGCTTAATAAGTTAACTCAATAATTAGTTAGCTGATGAACAATGATGCTTGTCCAAAATTATATAAAAATATGAAAGGGCCCCACTAAATTCCTTCCACCTAATCCTAAAAGCATAATTATATTATATCCTTTGGCTTTAAATAATTGCCACATTGAAGGTTGATAATGTTTTCATGTATCATAATATTTGGATTCATGAAATGAAATGATGTTCTCTAAGTCTCCCCACTAAGCACTATGATGAGTAGTAATGGTCACTTCCTAATATGAATCATTGGAGGAGTGAATTTTCCTTCCTTTTCGTTTTTATCGATTTGATAACGAAAACAACTAAACAACTTTCTATTCATATAAATTTTCTCATACGCTTGAGTAATGCTTGAAAAACTCATAATTAATATAGTAATTAAAATCTTATTAATCTGATCTTTGATATGTAACAAAATAATACGATTTACCTACCATTCAAAGGGAACAAAAATTGTATTAATAATACTAAAAACTTATAACAAAGCTTTACTTGGTTGGAATTCAAACCTCATCTTAAGGAATCTTCCCTTTCTTTGTCTTGCTTTTGCTTTTTTAAGGACAATTGAAACACTCCCTTCAAAAACCCATCTTTGGGTTTTAAAATGGAAAGCGGGGAAAGGATTGTTTTCAATAAACTAAAAAGAAGAATTGCATTCCACGAAAAGGGGGGAAAGTTTGGAATTCTATGTGAAGTATAGGTTTGATTACATAAATGGTCACTATATCTTAGGGTCACTAACATATCAATCACCAAAATTTCAAATTTTCAATCAAAATCTGTCATTAAAATTTAGAATAGATATGTGAATTAACAGCCAAAGTATCATTTCTTGTCCATCATATGGAAGTCTTTGTCCTAAAATTTCAAAATTAACGAGTGAAAAGATGAAAAAGGTTATGTTAGTCTTGGATAATACGAGTTTGGATTTAGAACGACTATTGAATTTGGTTTGGATTAGAAAGGATGTGAAATCGCTTAACCATGTAAGCTAATAAATCTCATGTAGCATTTCACATCCTTGAATTTGACTATTGCAGACTTTTCATTGGAATAATTTGAATGAAAAATGATTGGATTGGATACATTGAGTGTCATGTTAGTTAATCAAATGACAATTTTGTCAAAGAACCAAGAATGCCATGACTAACTCAATAATGGCTTGAAAGTTGAGTGACCTTTTATGTAATTAACCCGTAAGTGCAACATAAGATAACTCTAAAAAAGCAGAGCAGCACAGACAGTGCAGCACTAGTTGCTGCCGGTGCCTGCCGGGAGTGGCGCCCGCTCGCCCATATATGGATTGGAGATTCTTATTCTCTCTTCTTTTGTTCATTTCTTTACCTTAATTCAAAAACCCACCAACAACATTAATCTGCCATTAACCATAACCCCAAAAGATGGAAGCTTTCCACAAATTTAAGACAAGATTTTAATCACCCTTCCATCACTCCATCCTCCATCATATATATAGAGAGAGAAGGTGAGTGTGTTGGGGAGTACTGTGAGTGTGAGGCAGAACAGAGAAAGAGAGAGAGAGAGAGCTCAAAACAATTGATTTGGTTCCATTAGGGAACCAACCATTTCTGTCACCATAATTTGCAATGATGCATTCGTTTTTTGGTAATAAGCTGAAAGAGCAAAAGGAATAAGAAGGAAAGACCAGAAGAAGAAGAAAGAAGAAGGAGCTAAAGGGTGGAAAAAGGAAAAGAGAAATGTTCTGCGGGAGAAGTTCGAGGTGTTCAGATGGTAATAGGAAGGGATCTGTGCCGGTGTTCCTCAACGTGTATGACCTCACGGCCATTAATGGCTACGCTTATTGGGTTGGCTTGGGAGTTTACCATTCTGGTGTTCAAGGTAAAAATTGAAAGCAAAGTTTCAATCTTTCTGGGTAGATCTGTTTTTTTTTTCCTTCTTCCGGATCATTGTGTTCCTCGATGAATTTGACTACACTAATGGTTTTTCCCACCCTCTTTGCTTTGAGCTGCAAAGTTCTTTTCTTCCACCTTTGATTCAGAGGTATTCTGGCGCAGGAGAATGCTGCTAGAAATCTGTTAGCTTGTTGTTGAGAACTTTGCTGAAAGAGAATATTCCATGGGGAATTTGCAGTTTTTCACTGGCCGGCTGGCTTTCTTGTTTTTTGTTTGTTTGTTCATCCATCCCCTTTGAACTCCTATACTAAATTGTTTTGACGAACACGTTGGTGTACCATGACGTTTCATCCATTTTCTAGTCCCTCTGCTGGAAACTTCTTTCAGCTATATTACAAGTATCTTGTCGATCCATCTTCTGGTAAACATGATACATGATGATGCACATATCACCTTATGCTGGAAATCCATCTTTTTGGTCCCTTTAATCCCACTTCCTTTAGCTTCAAATGGCGGATAAGTCGAGAAAAGGAGGAAATATCCTGCATACTTGGCCTATAAGCTATGAAAGTCGTGCTTATTAGGCATTGACCAACACCATTAGTAGTGGATTTGAACAAAGTTTTGATGTGTTCATCAAAATTACAAAATAATCCGCGGACTGTAAATATCATTAACCTTCCTATAGATGAGTAGAAGAATGTATGCTGATGATAGATGTATTATGATTGAGTGGCAGTTCACAATGTGGAGTATGCATTTGGAGCACATGAGTATCCTACGACTGGGATTTTCGAAGGTGTCCCAAAGCAATGCGACGGGTTCACATTCAGGAAGTCAATTCTGATTGGGAACACAAATTTGGGGCCAGGGGAGGTAAGGAAAGTGATGGAGGATTTGGCTCAGGAATACAAAGGCAATGCTTACAATCTCATCACCAAGAACTGCAACCATTTCTGCAATGCTGCTTGCCTTAAACTCACCTCCAATCCCATCCCCAGCTGGGTCAATCGCCTCGCCAGAATTGGTAACTAATTCCCCCAAAAAACGCTGTTGTCACTCGCATCTTTGCTTTTGTAAGGTCGAATACTGCATAAATGGTTACTGAACTATGGGGTAGCTAATGAGTCGTCCATGTCAGCTAATCATAGGGTCAAAATGTCATTTTGTTATTAATTTAGGTGAGTTGATGCATTGATCTGAACAATATGGATGGAAAATTTGACAGAGATGTACAAAGCCAGTGCTACCTTGGTTATTCCAAACTCTAGTGACAAGCCTTTTAGAAATCTGACCTATTTAATCAGTGACCGTTTCTGTGTGGTTCACCTTGTTTTCTTATTGCATTGGTGTGCCAGAGAATTCAATGTTCTTTTGTGATGTTTCAACTTTCAGGATTCCTATGCAATTGTGTTCTTCCTGCACACATATGCTCAACCAAAGTTAGGCATGATGACAGCAAGGTAGAGGACAAGCCTTGTGAAGTAATAGTTGTAGAAGAGAAGAGATTGAGAGATGGGTGTGATCATCATCACTTCAAGTCGTCATCAACGTCATCTACTAATTTCTCAACTTCAACTTCAGCATCAGCATCTTCCTCGGCCCCCAGTGCTGCTGGAGTTCATCATCAAGTTCGCGGCAGGAGTAGGACTAGAACTAGACGGCGCAGTTTCCCACCTTCTTCCCCCTTGATCTCTTCACCTTCATCAGTTTCATGAACATGCTGATCAGACCATCCTGTTTTGCACAAGCTATTTGTTCTTGACAGTTCGGTATATTTTTATACAAAATGGAGACTCCTCTGAAAGGAAGATCCAAATGGGCAGAAGAGTTGGATGTTGAAGGTGATGATGATTTCCATCTCTAACTAAGAAAAGGACATGCTATCATCACCATATATATCTGTACATTAGTTCTTCCTTTTTCCATTTTTGGATTAATGCCGAGTTTGGTCCCTTAACTTTGCTACTTTCCTCGAGCGAGCCACTAAGCTTCTTTGAATCAAGCCTTCCATCTATGCAAACTAGTCTTACCCGTGAATCTTCAACCTCGAAACTCAAGAGCAATGCCAACATCTTTGCCCTTATGATGATGAATTCTTATAAAATCTGACACTAATAGGGTTGTAAGAATTCGCGATATTTGGGGGCTTCGTTTTAGAAAAAGCAAACTATAGGGATAAAAATATCAACATTCAGAGGGGAAAATCAACCTTAATTTCTTCACCTTTTCTTCATCATAATCATAATATATGGCCTGCCTTTGCCTATTCCATGTGGGTGTATGAGAATTCAACAAAATGAAGCTGTCTTCATGTTAGGTGACTTCAATCATAAGGTCCAATCATTTCTGAGCTGTGTGTGCCAGCATTTCTTGTTAGTTACTCCTCATACAAGATTGATATATTACAACTTGATCTATACCACAAATCAGGGATTTTATAGCAGAAACTAATGCATTCATATAGCGTCATGAACCGAAATCATTAACCAGCAAATCCACAAATTCCCTTGCAGCAAACTTGGGGAAGAATCTTCTCACTAGCTCTAGCTAAGATAAAAGGATGGATGAAATGAAATTTGATAGAATCTTGTATGGAAGGAGAAATGGCTTTTTTTTAATGTTTGTGTACATAGTTCTGATTAAACAAGGAACTACAATTAAAAGGAGAAGAAAAACAGACACCAATCCAAATCTGTGTGCCTGTACATAAAATAGCCAAATGGGATTTGGATAAATAAAGGGCATAATTTAGCATTCATAATAATAATAATAACAATAAGAGCCAAATCAACCAAAGAACCATCATCAAGTTCTAGGTCTGTTTTTCTCGCAGCCATTCTACAAAATTGTCGAGGATTAAAGGCCAAGCGAGTTCTGGATCGTAGTTGCTAAGGCCTGGGAAATTTATCTGTTAATGAAAAGGGGGGATTTGATTAGTAAGAGTCAGTGACAAAACACGTTATCTCAAACAAATCATATCTACACTGTAAATATGCAGTGCACTATTGTAGATGGAATGCAGCATGTGGCATTGAAGATTGGAGGTCTTGAATAGAAGAAACTATGCATTACATGGTACCTCGTTGCAAAAACGGTAAAAACCCATCCACTGGTCCAGGTTAATGACCTTATAATCGCTCTGAATCTGTAGCAAAATATAAAGATTACAGAAATAAGCAACGAAGGGTAACAAGGGCTAACAAAATCAATAGATATGTCAGGAAACACTCAGAGACTAGCCACCAACCTTAAGATAGTCGATGAAGTAATCAACCTGAGAACGAAATTGAAATCCCAAAGCGAGATCAAGTAATTGGCAGATGCTTTCGATGTCTATGCTTTTCTGTTTTTCCTCTGATAGCAAACACAACAAATCAAAGTAAATTATCCATAAATGCCAGCGCGAGATGATCTTACACCATATTTTCATTACCTGTTAGACAATACTGGAACGCATAAGAATAGAAATCCACAAAATTTGTTGGCCTTTTAACCTGATACACAAACAAGCACCACAATCTGAATTATAATTATGCACCCTATACATATATCACAAAACCACCCATGAAAGAAAATTAAACTGGACAAACCTCTTTCTCAAGCTCTGGGAGGGCTTTCTTCAATTTATGTACATTATCAGCCCGCAGTGCTTTAAGGCCTCTGCGCCATTCCTCCTGTTGGAGGACAAGTCAAACAAAACAAGAGCAGAAGGGAAGGGGAAACGAGATTAGTAACAAAGTTGGACCTCGTATTGCTACACAACTGTAAGTGTAAGCATATAACTATCCAATTTTATAAGCTGCAACTGTAAGCACATGCCACATGTGCAATGATGCAATTTTCATAAAAACTGAAGCTGATGGAAAAGAACACCCAAAAAAAAAGCAGAAACACACTGATGAGAAGATGTCAGTTCAACCGACAATGAGAAGGGACCTCTAGGGCAAAAGCAAAAGAGAATTTTTTTACAGTAGGGCAGCCCTACTATAATGACCCTGAAGCATTTATAGACTAAAACCAATGCAGTGTCACTAAGGCATGTTTTCAGGGCTCGTTATCCTCAACAAGTTATAGAAGTTTATCTAATATACTAAAATCATTAAACAAATTGCTAGAAGGTGTTCTTATAACAATGAACATAAACAAGTGATTAGCAATGTAAAATGCCCAGTATAAACCACATACAATATTTGGAAATAAAAAAGAACAAAGGACAGGAGTATGAGTAGATAAGTATCAGATATTACTCCCTTACCAGTGTAAAGTACCCCTGTTTTTCAGATTTCATTTTCCTGCATGCATATGCATTATGTAAGTTACAAAACTTGAGAGAGTTTTACAAAATTAAGAAGTATGACATCTACTGCGCATTTCAATATAACCTACCAGGCTAGCATTAAGATTCTGACATCTGTATGATCCACCTCCAAATCTGAACACAGAGCTTCAATTCCTTCTGGGCTGCTCCAACAAGATATTTATGATATTAAAAAACATTAAAATTTTCCGCTCAGATTATGCAGTGACTAACAATTCAACCTTTCATACCCTTGGAAGTTGAAGCAATACAACTACAATAGAACTAAAATCAGGAGTGAGCTTGAATAAGCGAGGACTTACTCAATAAGACCTGAAGACTTGTTTGCATATGAGTAAAACACATTATCAATCCGCTCCATCTCTTTCGAAGACGCTTTACCTGTGGCTGAACAGGTAGGTAAAAGAAGTTAGCCCAGTTGCAGTTTTATTTTAACAGACTACCAAGTAATATCAAGAGAACATCTAGAGCAATGAAACAACAAATGTGTACAAGATGCGCATAGCTAAAGACGACAGATGAATGAGAAAAATCATGAAGGACAAAGACTGCATTGTCATAGGCAGACCAAGTACTGTATTCAGAAAGTATGGCAGCAGTTTTCCTGCTAGGATAAATTGAATCATTAAATGTGTGAGTGATCACTGGTTGACCTACATATGTAGAGCAACTTTGACTACTTCAATCAAGCACTTATCTTGCTTGATCAGCATGTCACAGTTTGTATTGCTATAGGGAGTTTCCACTTTGGTTCCAACATATCCTAGCAGAAAAAAAGTCTGAAACCCCTTTTCTCCCCCAAACAGTTCTACAATTGGTCACAAAAATTCAACAGCTTTGGTACAAAATTTCCGATCTTCTTTGGCCCTTTTACATGTTAAATTAGCTCAACCATATACCTCGCAGATGGAAAAATCCGAAATAAGAAGCTTCAGCTTCATAGAGTCGAGCTTAAAAGACGAAACAATTGAAATTTCGATAACTGGAGAGGAAAAGGGCATAACTTTTCACCTTCAACAACTAGGAGGTTGAATTTCAATAACAATAATAAGCTGAGGATACTACAATCTACAGCAACTTTTGACCACTCAATCCAGCACTAGCTTCTTTTTGATCAGCAAGCCACTTTCTTTTCTGTAGCTACAGGTACTTTTCCACTTCAACTCCAACATACCCTAGCAGGATAAAAAAAAAGTCTAAAGCCGAGCTATTTTCCACCCAAACCGTAGTTCTACAATTGGTCACAAAATTCAACAGCTTTTGGTAAAAATTTCTAATCTCCTGCGCTTCACCAGATAAAATTACCCAATTGAAGAACTTCCCAGCGGGAAATTCCAAATCTTCAACCTCATATAATCCAAAATTGATGGCTTAAACGATTGATTTCTAGAGGAAAACTCAAATCGAAAAAGATTATGCATTACCCGAGCGGAAAAGACCGCCGGCGGAAGAAGTAATCGGAGTTGAAGAATCGGATTGACCAGTCTTCCTGGAGGCAGAACGACTCATCGTCTTCTTCTTCTTCTTCAAGCAGGAGAAGGAGCCAGCTTTGAATATGGGAGGAGAGAAGCAGAATGGATGGAGAAAAGCTGGGGAGCTCCGAACCAAAGAAGGAGAGCTGATTCGCTAAGCGCCAAATTCTAGACAGAGAGCAGGAGGCTTTTCTTTATTTGGGGGAATATAAATACTAAATGGTACTTCTAGTTTCATAGCTAAAGATACCTGAACACATTTTTATTTTCCCTAACTTTTTTAATTAGCTTATATCTTCTTTGTTTTAACTCGGATTTCAAATTTTCCCACAAATGGAACGAGTTCATTGTGCTCTACAAAATGAGATCCATTTTCAATATTTTTTTAGAAAAAATGTTTCTTGCCTCTCGATACCAACTGCATATCATATGGTATCTTCTTCATTTTTAATTCGTTTTTGAAAACATTTGCACAGAAGGAACGAGTCTGATTCCATGATCTGCAGCCTCCAAAATCGGAAAAATGACATTTCGGAAAATTCGCCTGAAATCTGTGAGGGTACCCTTTAGAATCTGCCAAAAATGGACCCAGAATAAATTCGCCCAAATCGGCGCTTAATGGACTTAATCATCATAGAAGAATAGCCTCAGGCAAAATTCGTGATCTGTAACCTTCAAAATCCAAAGGAAATGGCCTTTCGTAGCCCAAAAAATTACAAAAATGGCATCCGAAAATAAATTTGCCCTAATCGGTGCTTAATGGACTTATCATCCGTGGAGAATAGGATCAATTGACTTCATTATCGGTGGAGAATAGACTCGGCCTGATTTCGTGATCTGCAGCCTCCAGAAACGAAAGAAAATGGCATTTCGGAAAAATCACCCGAAATATGTGATGGTACCCCTTTGGAATCTGCTAAAAATGGACACAAAATAAATTCGCCCAAATCGGCGCTTAATGGACTTTATCATCGTTGAAGAATAGCCTCAGGCTGAATCCGTGATCAGTAGCATTCAAAATCCAAAGAAAATGGCCCTTCGTCGCCCAAAAAATTACGAAAATGCCATCCGAAAATAAATTGGTCCAAAACGGTGATTAAAGGACTTATCATCCGTGGAGAATAGGATCAATAGACTTCATTATCGGTGGAGAATAGGCTTGGTCTGATTTCGTGATCTGCACCATCCAGAATCGAAAGAAAATGGCATTTCGGAAAAATCGCCCAAAATTTGTGATGGTACCCCTTTGGAATCTGCCAAAAATGGACCCGGAATCAATTCGCCCAAATCGGCGCTTAATGAACTTATTCATCGTTGAAGAATAGCCTCAGGCCGAATCCGTGATCTGTAGCCTTCAAAATCCAAAGAAAATGGCCTTTCGTCGCCCAAAAAATTACGAAAATACCATCCGAAAAAAAATTGGCCCAAATTGGTACTTAATGGACTTATCATCTGTGGAGAATAGGATATATAGACTTCATTATCGTGGAGAATAGGCTCGGCCTGATTCCGTGATCTGCAGCCTTCAGAATCGCAAAAAATGGCATTTTGGAAAAATCGCACGAAATCTGTGATGGTACCCCTTTGGAATCTGCCAAAAAAGGACCGGGACTAAAATCGCCCAAATCGGCGCTTAATGGAGTTAATCATCGTTGAAGAATAGCCTCAGGCCGAATCCGTGATCTGTAACCTTCAAAATCCAAAGAAAATGGCTTTTCGTCGCCCAAAAAATTACGAAAATTCCATCCGAAAATAAATTCGCCCAAATCGGTGCTTAATGGACTTATCATCCGTGGAGAATAGGATCAATAGACTTCATAATCGGTGGAGAATAGGCTCGGCCTGATTCCGTGATATGCAGCCTCCAGAATCGAAAGAAAATGGCATTTCGGAAAAATCGCCCGAAATCTGTTATGATACCCCTTTGGAATCTGCCAAAAATGGACCCGGAATAAATTCGCCCAAATCGGCGCTTAATGGACTTAATCATCGTTGAAGAATAGCCTCAGGCCGAATACGTGATCTGTAGCCTTCAAAATCCAAAGAAAATGGCCTTTCGTCGCCCACAAAATTACAAAAATGCCATCCAAAAATAAATTGGCCCAAATCGGTGCTTAATGGACTTATCATTCGTGGAGAATAGGATCAATAGACTTCATTATCGGTGAAGAATAGGCTCCGTCTGATTCTGTGATCTGCAGCTTCCAGAATCAAAAGAAAATGGCATTTCTGAAAAATCTCCCGAAAACTGTGATGGAACCCCTTCGAAATCTGCCAAAAATGGGTCCGAAAAAACTCGCCCAAATCTACGCTTAATGGACATAATGATCGTTGAAGAATAGCCTAAAGCCCAATCCGTGATCTGTAGCCTTCAAAATCCAAAGAAAATGGCCTTTTATCGCCCAAAAAATTAGGAAAATGCAATCCGAAAATAAGTTGGACCAAATCGGTGCTTGAAGGACATATCATCCGTAGAGAATAGGATCAATAAGTTTCATTATCGGTGAAGAATAGGCTGGGCCTGATTCCGTGATCTGCAGCCTCCAGAATCGAAAGAAAATGGCATTTCGGAAAAATCACCCGAAATCTGTGATGGTACCCTTTTGGAATCTGCCAAAAATGGACCCGGAATAAAATCGCCCAAATCGGCGCTTAATGGACTTAATCATTGTTGAAGAATAACCTCATGCCGAATCCGTGATCTGTAGCCTTCAAAATCCAAAGAAAATGTCCTTTCGTCGCCCCAAAAATTACGAAAATGCCATCCGAAATAAGTTCGCCCAAATAGGTGCTTAATGGACTTATCATCCGTGGAGAATAGTATCAATAGATTCCATTATCGGCGGATATAGGCTCAGCCTGATTCCGTGATCTGCAGCCTCCAGAATCGAATGAAAATGGCATTTCGGAAAAATTGCCCGAAATCTGTGATGGTACCCCTTTGGAATCTACCAAAAATGGGCCCAGAATAAATGTGCCCAAATCGGCACTTAATGGACTTAATCATCGTTGAAGAATAGCCTCAGGCCGAATCCGCGATCTGTAGCCTTCAAAATTCAAAGAAAATGGCCTTTCGTCGCCAGAAAAATTACGAAAATGCCATCCGAAAATAAATTGGCACAAATTGGTGCTTAATGGACTTATCATCCGTGGAGAATAGTATCAATAGACTTCATTATCGGTGGATATAGGCTCGGCCTGATTCCGTGATCTGCAGCCTCCAGAATCGAAAGAAAATGACATTTCGGAAAAATTGCCCGAAATCTGTGATGGTACCCCTTTGGAATCTGCGAAAAATGGGCCCGGAATAAATTCGCCCAAATCAGCACTTAATGGACTTAATCATCGTTGAAGAATAGCCTCAGGCCGAATCCGCGATCTGTAGCCTTCAAAATCCAAAGAAAATGGCCTTTCGTCGCCAAAAAAATTACGAAAATGCCATCCGAAAATAAATTGGCCCAAATCGGTGCTTAATGGACTTATCATCCGTGGAGAATAGTATCAATAGACTTCATTATCGGTGGATATAGGCTCGGCCTGATTCCGTGATCTGCAGCCTCCAGAATCGAAAGAAAATGGCATTTCGGAAAAATTGACCGAAATCTGTGATGGTACCCCTTTGGAATCTGCCAAAAATGGGCCCGGAATAAATTTGCCCAAATTGGCACTTAATGGACTTAATCATCGTTGAAGAATAGCCTCAGGCCGAATCCGCGATCTGTAGCCTTCAAAATCCAAAGAAAATGGCCTATAGTCGCCAAAAAAATTACGAAAATGCCATCCGAAAATAAATTGGCCCGAATCGGTGCTTAATGGACATATCATCCGTGGAGAATAGTATCAATAGACTCCATTATCGGTGGATATAGGCTTGGCCTGATACCGTGTTCTGCAGCCTCCAGAATGGAATGAAAATGGCATTTCGGAAAAATTGCCTGAAATCTGTGATGGTACCCCCTTTGGAATCTGCCAAAAATGGGCCCGGAATAAATTTGCCCAAATCGGCACTTAATGCACTTAATCATCGTTGAAGAATAGCCTCAGGCCGAATCCGCGATCTGTAGCCTTCAAAATCAAAAGAAAATAGCCTTTCATCGCCAAAAAAATTACGAAAATGCCATCCGAAAATAAATTGGCCAAATCGGTGCTTAATGGACTTATCATCCTGTGGAGAATTGTATCAATAGACTTCATTATCGGTGGATATAGGCTCGGCCTGATTCCGTGATCTGCAGCCTCCAGAATCGAAAGAAAATGGCATTTCGGAAAAATTGCCGGAAATCTGTGATGGTACCCCTTTGGAATCAGCCAAAAATGGGCCCGGAATAAATTCGCCCAAATCGGCACTTAATGGACTTAATCATCTTTGAAGAATAGCCTCAGGCCGAATCCGGGATCTGTAGCCTTCAAAATCCAAAGAAAATGGCCTTTCGTCGCAAGAAAAATTACGAAAATGCCATCCGAAAATAAATTGGCCCAAATCAGTGCTTAATGGACCTACCATCCGTGGAGAATAGTATCAATAGACTTCATTATCGGTGGATATAGGCTCGGTCTGATTTCGTGATCCGCAGCCTCCAGAATCGAAAGAAAATGGCATTTCGGTAAAATTGCCCGAAATCTGTGATGGTACCCCTTTGGAATCAGCCAAAAATGGGCCCGGAATAAATTCGCCCAAATCGGCACTTAATGGACTTAATCATCGTTGAAGAATAGCCTCAGGCCGAATCCGCGATCTGTAGCCTTCAAAATCTAAAGAAAATGGCCTTTCGTCGCCAAAAATATTACGAAAATGCAATCCGAAAATAAATTAGCCCAAATCGGTGCTTAATGGACTTACCATCCGTGGAAAATAGTATCAATAGACTTCATTATCGGTGGATATAGACTCGGCCTGTTTCCGTGATCTGCAGCCTCCAGAATCGAAAGAAAATGACATTTCGAAAAAATTGCCCGAAATCTGTGATGGTACCCCTTTGGAATCTGCCAAAAATGGGCCCGGAATAAATTCGCCCAAATCGGCACTTAATGGACTTAATCATCGTTGAAGAATAGCCTCAGGCCGAATCCGCGATCTGTAGCCTTCAAAATCCAAAGAAAATGGTCTTTCGTCGCAAGAAAAATTACGAAAATGCCATCCGAAAATAAATTGGCCCAAATTGGTGCTTAATGGACCTACCATCCGTGGAGAATA